TATATAAATAGTTTTTTTATATACATGTATAATATATGTAATGTTTCTTTATTTATTCTAGGAATGAAGAGCAAAAGGATATAGCAGTCTTTATATAAAATAGTTCAGGAATCCAGTTGGAAAGAAGAGCTTTTCAGTTAAAAGTATTTCCTGGGAATACACAGGAACTTCTATAAATGTTTTTCTGGAATAGTTATTCAAAAGGGCAGTGAAGTGAAGGATTACATTAGACAAATATTGCTGAAGTGGTAAAATCAGACCCAAGAGATGTACAAAATTTCAACAATACATGTTACAGCTGACTTTAGCTACTTAATCACATTGACATTTGTGTGCTTTTATGTTTTCTTTACATAATTACTACAGTTCTATTAAAATTAATATCTTTATTCTTTGTCACAATTATTACTAAAAAAAATACAGCATTTTAATATGGTTTTTCATAGTCTCACTTGCATTGTACTTAAATAAGTTGTCTGTAGATGTTTACACTAGGTTTTCAGGCATTTCACTTCACTTGATTGAAACAGCATTTAAATTTTTTGTTAAATTATGGCCTGAAAAATACATTTAACATTTTACAGGAGTTTTCACAATCAGTGAATGGCTGTTTATCACAGTAGTACATGTACATTTCACGGTCTTTTCACAATGGGCACATAATTTATCACGACTTTTTCACGGTGTACATTTTTGTTTTTCACAGGGTTTCTACGGTCTCTTTACCCAAGTTTTCGCGGCCTTTTCACGACAAATAAAGGCATTATACTGTACTATATCTACATTTCACGGTCTTTTTACAATGGGCACATAATGCATTATTACGACTTTTTCACGGTGTACATTTTTTTTTTTTCACAGGGTTTCTACGGTCTTTTCACCCAAGTTTTCAGGTGGCACCTCTTCACGGCCTTTTCACAAACTTTTCTCAGCCTTTTCACGACAGTCATTCCACGGTATTGTCACGGATAAGTTTCACGGCCCACCGTAAATTAACCGTGACAAACACTGTAAAAATCACCAGCATTTTTACGGATATTTTCACGGCCAATCTACGGGGCATTGTTCCAGTAGTGTATATTTATCGTGAAAAAAAACATGATTTTTAACGAAAATCGTCGAAAAATTGCGATGTTCGGCTTACTTATATCACTTGATTCACCTTTTAGGGGTTTTTTTTGTCTCACCTGAAAGACAATCCTCAAACAAATTTAGTTACCTTTTATTCATTCTAGGAATGTTGAAATCGAAATTTATCTAGTAACATCAACTTTGAAGAGAATTTGAGCTGTTTTTGGAGAAAAGGAGAAAATAAAATTTTTCGTTAATTTTGAGAACACTACCCAGCGAATGTACCTGCATTCTTTTAAAATTGGCAGATACTTTTTTAAAAGTGTTCATTTCATAATATTGAAGAAAATAAAGAGGTAACTTTTGTTTATAATACCACTGCATGGGAATTGAAGGTACTGCAGGTAGTCAAGCCATGGATTCGGTGACTTAATTTTGGTTAGTCTTGTCATAGTTCTGCTTTATTGTTCTCATGCTTTTTTGTCCAGTTTACATTAACCGAACCAATTTTACTACACAAGATCCGCATTTCTACAATGTAGGGTTCTTCAATGTTGCTCGAGGCTGAAGTATTTGAAAATCCAAAACCTGATAAAAACGTCAAAGAGCTGATCAAACCAAAAGTACCTAAAGTATAAACAAACTCAGACAAGGAATTAGAGCCTTGCATGAGGGAGATATGTTAATTCCTTAATTAAAAAAATGGTTTCAATTTTATAACAGCAAATTTCAATCTAACAATACCCGTATTTTCATACTGGGTACCGGACAACTCTGAATAAGGCTACTCCAAATGTTGTAATTTTGTTATCTTAAAATTAAAAGCATGTACTGGCTAGAATTTTTTTACAGTATAATATCCGGAAACATTGATTTCTTTTTTGGTCGTACTTTAATTATTACTCCATTTTTATGGTATACCTCAAACGAAGCTATAAATCATATGTTTTGTTGTCTGAAGATTGGTCAAACAGTTCTATTAGCTTTATGAAGTTAAACAGTAATATGAGTAAATTGGTAGTTCTGAAGTCTAGACAAAAATGACCTAGAAGTTACTTCGGATATAAATGGAATTATCTAAATAAACTTAATAAAGTGAAACTCATCAAAAGTGAGATATATCTATCATAATTCATAAATTGTACTATAGTTTTGTTGATCTATAAGTTCCGATGAACACTTAAATTCAAATCGCAATAGAATGCAGAAGAAGAAATAGGAAAGAAAATTTTATTCCAATTAAGGGCTCCACTTTTGACATGACAATAACATCAATAATTCGTTAATCAACTAACAATCAATTCTCTTCTAGAACTAAAATTGTAAAGTTGCATATTATATGCATATTAAGAGTGCTTTCATTTTGTTGTCCCGTTTTGTTCATACCAGGTTGCGTATTACAAAACAACAGAAACATAGCTCTTCTTGTTAAATACGATGTGTTTATGCAGTAACTTATATTCGGCTTAAACATGTTAAAGTTGAATAAAAACCTTTGTGCTTTTTTTCATTTTAATGCGTAATATTAAATAAATATATATACAACTTAAGATTAGTTGGAAGCAAGGAAATCAGTAGAGTGACTTTTGGCATGGCCATATAAGGGGAGATACGTTATTGAATCGCTACATTTTTTACCATTGTTATGGTTCTTTTAAATTTTATTTCCATAATTCATAAATTGTTCTGGAGTTTTGTCGATCTTTTAGTTCCGATGAATACTCAAATTAAAATCGCCATAGTCATCTAACCAGAAGAGTTATGTTTCTGTTGTTTTGTCTACTCCCTTCAACAAATATGTCTACTCCCTTGTTCACATGTGTCTACTCCAAGTCTTGAAAGCAGATGTGAAAAATCTAAATAGACTGAAATTCACTGTCATGAAAATTACTTGATAAATCTTCCTACGTTCATATAAATCAAATCATTCAAAGAAATTTTTGTTTGTTAAAATGAAGGGACTGATGGTATATGTACAAAACTGTGGAAAGTTAAAAAGAACATATTTTATTGATGTGTATCCCACTTCTTCTTTTATTCATAAAATATAAATAAATATTTAAAGAAATGTATAAACCTGCCAGTGATTTGAATTAAGTACGAGAAACACTGTGCTGACCCAACTCTATAGAAATTGTTTTATGTTTCGCAAAGACAACTTCGATCGGCCTTGTTATATATATGCGTATGTAAAATAAATCAGTTCCATGCCCTATATTTATTAAACTGAATTAGTTTGATATGAAATATGATTTACAGAAATAGATAACCTCATCAGGCAAAACAAATTATTCCTGTTCATAAAACGTAGTAATTGAACTGGGTGACATCTACAAGGGAAGGTTCATGACGTAGGTATTTAATTTACACCAATCAAGATCAGAGAAAATTGTTCATGGTAGTAAATTGGTAAATGTACGCAATTATAGCTTGGACGATTACAAAAACAGCTTATTGAAGCAGAAAATAAAGTTATATTATACATATAACTAATTACATGACTGCATTAAATAAAAGTACATTCTAGAAACCTGTGATACTACCGAAGAGTAACCGTTACAGACATTTGAATCTGAACATTGTTGTAGCTTTGTTCTTTAAGGCTAGGTTTAACAGTCTTACATTTTAATTCCAACTTTTCTTAAAAAAAATGGAAGGTAAATCCCTAACCTACGAATCTCTGTTGACCTATGGTTCTGTGCATTATGCACCTACTAATGGTGACAGAAAAGTAGGGATGTGACGTATTAATTCATGACCCGAAATCAAGCAAAATAAAACACAGGGTAAAGGAACATATCTTTTATTGATGTTTTCCATTTTTAAAATCACTATAATCCTTTAAAACGTTGCCGAAAAGTTCACATCTTACTGCAAGATTCAGACGCCCTACCTCTGGTTTGAGCTGATGTTGATAAGACTGCATTGTAAAAAGGACATTGATGCGGGATATAATATTAAGAAATTATAGACTATAACGATCAAATATAATAAAAGCTGTCGTCATTTCGCTGACAATATCATTGTAAAATATTGACAAAATACAATCATTTTGACGCGGGTTGACGACCACGGACAAATCAAACTTGATAAGAAATGTTCTATGAATAGAACAAATTATTCGGACGAGCTAAATAACAATTTCGATAAACATACCGACAGACAGAGAAAAATAAGTAGCGCACATAATAAATGTTATCTAAAAAAAAATACATTTGTACATTATAAGTGAGATAAAATTATTAATCGTGACACCTTAGGCGAAACTTTCAACGGTGTCCAATAACCTCAAGGGATAAACTCTATTAATATCATTGTTATATACATCGTATAATAGCGGTCATATTAAATAACCCATAATTGTCTTTTCTCTTTCTGTCTTAAACATACGTGAGACACCAGTCTGAGTGGATAACATTCCTTTTGCATGACAGAAGTTAAATAGATAAAACGTATTGGGTCTCAATACAAAAAAAAACTAGCATATAACAGAACAGTCAAAACATGCTACTTTCATATTTTCTTGAGGGAGTTGCAACCTCAGTTTTAATTATTCAAATGCGTTTTAAAACATAAAATATTTAACTACATATACTAATTACTTCAAATCATATAAGTAATTATACACTGCAGTATTGTTTTATCTTTGTGATTTGTTTTCAAATATTTCTGCTGTCTTACATTTTAAATGATTTATTAGTGAAAAATACTTCCGAAAAAAGCAAAAAGGAACTAAACAATAAAGAAATAATTTTGCAGTCATCTTTAAGGACTAGAGTCATCATGGCGATTGATTTGGAACACAATTTTCAAAGAAATAAGACATGTTTAAATCAGATGGTGTCAAATACTTACACAGTACATGAAAAGTCGTAACAGTTTAAACGCAAAAATAGCAGATTCTATTTTATCTATTTTTCAGCTGAAACATGTTTTAACTAGCAAGTATGTGCATATGTGTACTTCACAAACGAGTCAAAGAGATAAGAATAATATGATGGTAAGTTTTGTACCCTGTTAAAAGAAAGGACGTTTAACTTTAGAATATTTGTACAGGTTGTCCTTCAAGAGAGAAATTTTGAGTAGAAAAGATGATATCTCTGCTGGGTTAAAAGTGTATAAAAACATGTGCTTCATAATAAAAATCAATTTAATTTATCCACTTTCAAAGAAAATTTGGTTTGTCTTTACTATAAGAATTTTTTTTTAGATGTTGACGTTGCGTTTCTTTGACATTTAGAATACATCAAAGGCCAAAATGTAACAGTTTTGATACTATAAGTAAATATCATACGTCTATTGAACGTTAAGAAGGTGCTGCAAACAGGAGAATAGCGAACCAACTGAGAAGCGTAAATCTCTATAGGAAAAAGGTAACGTTATTTGAGGATAGGTATTTTGTCCTGTTCTACATCTGTGAAGTCGAAAAAAATATTTTGTTGTCAATGTACTAAAGTACCTCTTATCATATTTGCACAAATAGATTAGTAATATTCGACAAACATATGCCACCCAGAAATGTACATATTTATCATTGTATTCTTGTCTTTCTTTTTGCTTTGTCTATATGCCATTTTGGTTTTCTTTGTTGACATATTTGTTTGTTTTTATGGTGATTAAGATTATAACACAATGTTGACTCCTGTACCCCTATTTTTGACATTTTTACCTATTATGTCTGTTTGTTTTTTCACACATTGTTGTCAATATAATGGAATTTTATGCGACTGTCATACAAGTGAGAGGTTTAGCTAGCTATACAACCAGGTTAAATCCACCATTTTTTATACATAAGGAAATGACTGTACCAAGTCAGGAATATGACAGTTGTTTCCCATTTGTTTGATGTGTTTTAGCTTTTGCCATTTGATAAGGGACTTTCCGTTTTGAATTTTCCTTGGATTTCGATATTTTTATTATTTTACTTTTTTTTTAAAGTTCAAAAGAAATATCATGTTTCGTTGACTCTAGTTTATAATTTTTTGACGGTTTTGACACCAGCCCAGAATCCACCACTTACAAATGTATGTGTTGACATGATGTATCATTGATATGTTCCTTATCTGTAAATGTAGTAAATGTACTGTTGTAAAATTTCGAAATATTCTAAACACTAAGGTTCTCATTTAAACCCAATCATAGTTTTCCTTATCACAACTTTTCGGAAATTTAGGCTTTTAATGCTCTTCAACTTCGTATTTTATTTGTTCTCTCAACTGTTTTGTTTACAGCACTCCTGGTGAGTCTTATGTAGATGAAACGCGCGCCTGGCGTTCCAAATTATACGCCTGGTATATTTGATGATTTATTAAGCCATATAGATTTGCAGTGTAACTCTTTAAAGGGCAAGGTTTGATTTGTAGCCAAGTTGACCCTACAATTCATATTTGAAATATTCGCAAATTTGCACAATTTAATGTCTTTGTACTTTTATTTATAAATACAAATAGAATATTGCGGTTTTACTTTGAATTATTTTCCAGTCATGGGTTATACTAGTACATCAATGGGGGGCTGTCTTAAACTTGCAGTGAGATGAGAGGTATTTTTTTTTCTTGTTGAAGACCTCACTTTGACTTTGAGATGAAGAACAGCAATAAATAAAGGCAACAGTAGTATACCGGTGTTCAAAGAGTGCTGTTCCTTTGCTTTTTTTTTTGCTGTGCATATACTGATTTTGTGTCATGGATTGATACCCCATATCCTTTTTTTTTATTCTATTATGAAAAGACAATCCATTAAGTAAAACGGCGACAATTTGACTCACAGATGCTTAGAAATGATATATAGAGAACACTCCTGGCTCCAAAAGGCATTTATATTGGAAGTGTATTTTGGATTTATCTAATGTAATCAACAATTTATTATCCGATTATTTATTTTTGGCAGAATTACTGGGCTAAATAAACACCAAATCGTACCTCCTCCTTTATATAATGATATTCACAGCTTTGATTGTCCATTATCCACTGTTTTTGTCTGATTTTTTCAATGAGAAAATGTGTTTGGATATTTCTCACACTCACTTTTGTATGTACATATTATATACAAAAATCATAGCCCAACACATCACGGTCTCTTGAATAACCGTCATCCGCTCCAGGTCAAAATGTTAGAATACCAAGAAACATTAAGGTCATGGATATTGGTCTTGTATATTTGTGTGTGGCCGGGATAAATAAGTTGTTTGATTCTTATTTTCTGGAACAAAACTTTCCGAACAACAGTGAAAAACAAACAGTTTGTTTCTGTTGAATAAGTAAATAAATCTTAGAAAAATCATTTAAAAAGAAATACTTTTTCCTTAATGTTATTTAAAAAATAGCTTGTGTTGAGTTAAAGTTGAAAAACAATGTTCGCCCAGAGAAAAAAATAACCCCATCTCTTCTACCTTCTTTTGCAAATGAGCAATGGCCAGTGCCTTGAACCTTAGTGACCACATACTCCAAAAGACACGAACAGAGCATCAAAAAGCCGTCTATCGTCAACTGTACCTTAGGGGGTTACAACCTTATAGCTTAAACACAATTACATGATTTAATAAACTGGTTTAACAACAATATATGACATTTGAAGCATTCCATTACCGAAGCACTGGTTATCAGTTATTTTCCATATATTCACTTTAAATAAGATCTCATAGCCAATATGTCATTTTCAGTTTAATTTTTTCCTGAATGCACGTATTGCATTTCTAATACAGAATAATTGACATGAAGCATTTTCCCCGGTGGAGTTTCTGTTTTATTTTAATATCACGACTATCTTTTCCTATAATGTACTTTCATATCGTTGTAATGTCAATATTCTAACAATTACTATGTAAGTCTAGATTATTGTACGTATCATATATTTGCAAAGTTCAAATAGAACTGCAGCACTATTTGAATTCAATGACACAAAGATATACACTTGCCTGTATAAACTCTTACAACTGCAAAGCAAAGTTGTTTTGTTATTAATGTCCCACTCTGAATATGGCTAATGATAAATGCAATATATACTTGATTTGTAAATATAAGAAAAATTTCGCAAACAAATACATAATAGCAGGTGCACAACTTCAATATATATGAAATGTATCTGTACCCAAAAATCACCGATAACACTGTCCGGAAACAGTAAGTAAACAAGTTATGACATATATTTGGAAAGTAATGTCAGCTTAGGGAATCAGCAATTTTTATCAGCACAATACTATTAGAGCTATATGTTGTAAGGCAGTGATGTTTATTTTTGCTTCAAATAATGATAAATGATTACAATTCAGCACTTCTATGTCATACATCGATATATCAATCACTGAAGATTTTTTTTCTTTCCTTGATTAAACATGTTTATAGTTGTATCTGCAGTGATTAAGAAAGTAAACTGATTGGGCTGTTCTTTTGTAGATGTTATGAACATTTTTCATGTCTGATGAAAATATAAGATTATTTCCATAAATACACACAATAGTTTCTGCAGCTATTTATCGTTGTCGTTCCATATCGTTAAATTTAGTTATTTTGGATATGTCATGCGCATTAAGATTTTATCTAAGGTCATAGCTTTACAGAATATCAATCCCGTAAACCGAGCTTCTGAGAAACTGGTTGAGCTTGATCGATAGGTCTTATCTTTAGTTTTACATGTTTTAATTTAAGCCTATTTTTATGTATGTTTCTTTATAATCATTATCATTATCTGTAAAATAACTGCTTTTTTATAATTGGTTTATTGTCAATTATTTGTTGAACATAACATCATGTTTATGACTTCGCAGGAAAATATATGAAATTCCATTAGTGAAGAAAAAGCATTAATTCAATCACACCTCTTCAAAAACGATAACATGTTGTTCTTTTAAACAGATGATTAAGTTAATCAGAAATCATTCCTTTTTTCTCAATACAATATTTAATGACAAAAGAAAATGCTTTTTTTTTAATTCAAAGATGGATGATATTTGTCGAATCTTCCCTTTTATCTTTATCCCTTTCACGTATGTCTATCCTCATTCCACCAACCACTGGGGGTCCAAAAGGAAGTTTTTCCACCAAATAGACGTTACAGGTTTATTTAAATACTATTAGGTATAGAAACAAGTATTTACTAACAATAACAAAAACTTTTTTGTTGACGTCTTTGTCAAACTTCGGACGTATAAGATTAATAATGTGTTGTTTTCATTTTTACTATCTATACACTTTTTTGTTGGCGTCTTTGTTAGATAAATTTGCATGTTTGTTTGAATTTTTAGTCAGTTGTGTTGTATGTTTTCCCAGTTTTGGCTGCTGGATCCCAATCATTGTCACATTAAAATTGAGAAAGGAAATGGGGAATTAACCTATTATATAAAAATAAGGAGATGAGCTATGATTGCCAATGAGACAACTATCCGCCAAAGTTCAAATAAAATGGATGTAAGCAATTATAGGCAACCATACGACCTTCAACAATGAGAAAAACCCATACCGTATAGTCGGCTATGAAAGGCCTCGACATGAAAAATATGAAACAATTCAATTAAGAAAACTAACGGCCTAATTTATGACAAAACAATTTACGAAAAACAGACACGAACCAACGACAAACACTGAACTACAGGCTCTTGACTTGGGACAGGCACATAAAAAATGTGGCGGAGTTAAACATGTTTGTAAGCGCTCAACCCTCCCCTAACCTGGGACAGTGGTGTAACAGCACAACATAAGAACAAACTATAAAAATCAGTTGAAAAAGGCTTAACTCATCAGATCGATACAAAGCAGAAAAGCATTAAACAAAAACACAGACCGGACGTGTGGCAGGGTATGTCTGTTTGGGTTGCTCACACAATTTTGTCAATATAACGGAACTATAAACAACTATCATACAAGTGGGAGGTAAAACTAGCTATAAAACCAGGTTTAACCCATCATTTTCTTCCGAAAATGCCTGTACCAAGTCAGGAATATGGCAGTTGTTTTTCACTTGTTCTGTTGATTTAAAGCGCATGATTTTGTCAGTTTTTATGGATTTTCTCTTTTGAATTTGCCTTGGATTTCGGTATTTTTGTTATACTTTTTTTAACTTATCTTTTTTTTTTAAGAACGATGTATAGCCGAGACGTCAAGATATTCTACTAAATATCTTTCTAAAGTTCTTACTACTATTCTTTCTTGAAATTCGATATTTTTGTTATACCCTTTTCACCTATTGGTCAGTGATGTGCTACATACTTGTATTAACTAACTTCAATATAGATTTTATAAGCATTGACTTATCATTTACTGTTATTTGTGTCCATGCTCACTTTAAAGGGTTTTCAATTCTGTATGAAAATAAGGAGATGAGGTATGATTGCCAATGAGACAACTATCCGCCAAAGTTCAAATAAAGTGGATGTAAGCAATTATAGGCAACCGTACGGCCTTCAACAATGAGAAAAATCCATACCGTATAGTCGGCTATAAAAGGCCCCGTCATGAAAAATATGAAACAATTCAATTGAGAAAACTAACCTAATTTATAACAAAACTAATACTGTCATGTTACATGGATTTAAAAAAAAGGTCAACGTTTTTGTGTTCAAGCTTACGTTCATGAAAACATTGCTAACATTACTGTTTATACATTATATCTAACTTTTGATTTCTAACGGAAATATTCATACATTATAGATAATGCTTCATAACTACAATGCTAAGAACGCACAGTTTCGTATACTTCCACAATACAAAGTAAAATCTGAAGGAGAAGTGGTGAGTATTGTTTTTAGATTAGAAAAAATGAAACAATTGAAATAATGAATGGAAAAAAGTACTCTAATGTGAGAAAACAGTATCAATGGAGTATCTACAAAAAGGAGGATTGTTGAATAGAGAATATCGGTGCATAAAAAATGAATAGATCTGATAATGACAGGTTAATAAATGAAGAATACGGGATAATATAAAACTAATGAGTACAGAATTATAAATTAAGCAAATGAATAACTAAGCATCTTCTATATCTTGTTATTCCGTTTTGCTGAACTGTATGCTTCTCTTATTATACCTATCAAGGGAGAAATAATAATTAAAAATGTATATAAGACTACAATACAACAGCATATTTGCAGGTAGTCTCGTATCAAACCGGATATAAATAACTTTAATAGCTGCCTCGCTTTTTAAATTACAGGTTCAGATATATGACCAGATAGTATATGAGAGCATAAAATCTCCTGGTCACTTTTTTCATGCTAGTCAGCCTTTTAATGTAGACCATTTAACTTATGGGTAAGTATTTTTTTAATCTGTTTACAAAGAAAATTAAAAAAAAAAGCGGGCATACATGACAAAAACCATGTCGATTGCATTGAAATCAGTATAAGGCATGTTTTAATTCTATTTCAAAAGTTGCATTTGAACAAGATGGTCGTTGAGTTATCAATTACATGAAATTGCAATTATTAGTGTCCGAGGGATTCAGTACTTAAACAGTTTCCGAATATTTGTCTACAATTCCCAAGCATTTGGAACATTTCTGAAAAAGGTAAAAAGAACGTAGCAAAATCTGTACGTTTCACGTTGATACACTATAAAAGTCGACACCATTACTAGCGGGCTATTACACACGAGGGTATTATTCGCCGGATTGTTGATCTTTCAAAATTCATTTTTTGGTGCATTTTGCAAAATTTGTTCTTTTTTTTAGAAAACATAATACCTCTAAATTCCATCAGGCACATTGACCAGACAATTATTTTTAAATCCCTTTTTGTTAACCATGCATTTAAACATTTAGGCGTTTTTATCGTTGAGTTCTCTGTATTTTTGATGAAATGCAGTTAGGAATGCGCATTGCAGACAACAAATCTTAGAGACTTGAAAGCTGATAGCCTTTAAATTTTTTAGTACGAAGCAAACAATTGTTTCCATTGGCGATTAATCTTTTTTGTTTTCGTTTCAATTTTTGTTGTTTCTCAATTTTCTCATCAGTTATGTTTTTAGCATAATAAGGAGCTGAGATAATCATCAATCAAATACCAAAAGAACAAGAATGAAAAACACTACAGATGACAGTACGATCCGCAACAATGAACAAAATTCATACTGTATAGTTACCTATAAAAGACACCTTGTATAACAACATATGAAACCATTCTAAAGAGAAAACAAGCTAATAACTACGTTTATTTTCAACTTTGAGCAGTATTTTCTTACGTTTTTTATGTTAGTATGAATGATAAAATATGTACTCAGACAAAGCATATATAACATCTGTACAACAGTAGTCTATGTAAACGTATATCTAAAAACATTAATTCCGAAATCAGTCTTTATATATTAACATGCCTCTCAACAAAAGTAACTTTTACGTGAATTACATTTAAGGAACAACCCAGTGGTTCGATTGTAAGAATAACACTTTTTTATATTATCTACGAGTTCTTAAAAATGTTTACTAATGATCTACATTCTAAACTTCTCATCATCATTGAAATACAAAATTGTGTTTCATCTGTTCTTATTTTACAATCTCCTTAACGTTTGTAACTTTCCTAGCTTGACTATTGGATATTGTTCTCTTGTCGGTTTTAATGTTTGTTCATTTTCTATCATATCTGTCTTTTATTGTCGTTTGGGTATCTGGTTGATCCTTATAACTTATGATACATGTTCTTCTGTCATCTTCTTTCTAACTTGTTGAATGAATAAAAGAATGAAATTTATCAATTGTTTGTTACAAAGGCAGTAGATAAATTGAAATATCAGTAAAAACTAAACTATCAATATACGTTATATAAAATCAATATAAACATATTGGTTAACTTAAAGAAAATAATCAAACAAAAAGATAAACTGTATAGATTTCTATAGTTTTTGATATATCACCGGTGATTATTGGAATGTAAATACAAAATATTTTTGACTATCTGTTTCTTCTAAGTTCATGTTTTAATGACACATATATATCTATGTAGATCGGAAATCAACCTTGGTGTAGAAAGATCGGGGTTTTCCCTTATCAGATTCCATCCCGGAATACCAGAGCATGACCCTTATGTCAGGGTAAGATGTACTTTATCGAATCATTTTTCTATTAACATCAATGTTATACTCGCTATAGAAATATCTGTAGAAAGATAGTAAAGTGAATTATTATTCCGGATACATGGATATTGACCCCTTTTAAAAATAGTATTTTTATATATTCAATTTCCTAATTTCTTGATTCATATAACAGCCATTATCTGGTCTCTTCCATTAAGAAATAAAAATAATTCTCCAATCTAATCAAAAGGGTTGTGAATTTCATTGTGAAACATATAGGATGATATAATCTGGCTATATTTTTAAAAGATTTTTTTTGTAAACTTGTATTATTAATATAATGTTGACGATGAATGATATTAGACACAACTTCCAGGGAAAGATACAGGCTATTTACATTTTTTAGTTTTAGTTTTCTTTCAAATACGAGAGACCATTTAAGGCAAAAAAGGTATATGATTTGTGCCAAAATAAATATACGTTCGAGGGAATATTGGTCGAACGCTTCCGATCATAAGATATTTTAGATAGTGTCTTCTAATCTACACGGAGAGGGGAAAAGAATTTTGAGAAGTAAAATTTTTTTTTCTGTATAAATTCTTTGTAGGACCACAATTTATAAAACTATTGACATTCTGAAGAACTTAATCGTTCATAAAATTATGTGTTGTTATATTAATCTTCATTTTATAGATAAGCTAACAAAAATATATGTTGCCGAAACGCAGCTTTTTCTTTTACCTGATATTCACTATGGTCACACTTACAGTTTTGTTGAACGTCAATCGTAAACTTTTTTAGGCAATATATTTTTCATAATTTTTATCTTGATTTTTTTTCTGCTAATACAAAAGTTTTGTACCATCATATCTTAAATTTACATTTATGTTTTGTGTTATAAGCATTAAAAGAATACAAGAAATGTTTTCGATATGAAGTGGTACAATAATCATAATAATAATGATAATAAAGAAAGAAAACCGTTATAGATTTTTCTGTTTACATTTCAGGGAGGGAGTTGTATACGGTTGTTCCATAAGGAATTGGAGGCTTACTTGGTGGCAGAGGGCTTATTTGATGAAGAAGTTACAGAAGATGGTATACTTTTATTCTCGTCAAAACTTATTCAAGCTGCTTCGTATTTTGTTTTTTTTAAAGTATACCTTTAACGTCGACGTCAAAATTGCAAACTCAAAATGAACAGCTATACAAGAGATGATGAAATATACCATAACGTTTTGTTTGCATCTTTGTCCTTTAGACTTTGATGGATATTGTCTTATCAGCAATCATACCACATCTCTTTTTATATATTCAAACTGTTTATTCTTCACCCCATCCACTGTCTATTATAATGTAACTTTTTTGTGTCAGTTCATTTTAGGATACGTGTTATGGACCAGCATAAACCAAGAACATTATCTCCGCCGACATCAGGAAACACGTTTTGGCAAATTGAAGCTGAAAATGGAATATTAAATGGTGAGTATTCATAGTAGATACGACATATTATTTCATGGACGGTATGATATTTTATGCGTTTAAAAAAATCAAAACAAGAATACACCGTACCATCTAAAAATTCTAAAAAAATCAAATCCATTTCTCAGACAATGAAACATAATGCTTAAAGTACATATTATACAACGAAATAGTTAAAACAACAAATAGACAAATCAGAATAATCAGTAGATACAGTATGTTTTAGTATTTATATCAAATAGTAACACTGAATATCTAATTTGAAGGATAACTGTATGAGTTTATAGTTACTCGATACACTTATTCCTTTTTAATTTCCCATTGGAATATGTCATGTTTGTTTTCCTCGTAGGATCGTGTTACATAATGAGATTGTATAAGTATTGTTTCGCTTTATATTACCCGAAAACGTGTCAGCCTATGTTGTAAATCCTTATCGTTAATAGCAAATGCAAATTTCATTGTTTAATGAAGGATATTGTAGTGTCAATGTTTCTTAGTATCCAAAACTTGCTTTTCTGTGAAAATATCGCTCGATCGGGGTTCGTGTTTCTCAGTCTTTAGTTCTCTATGTAATGCTTTGTGGACTTTTCCGTTTTTTTTTTTATATCGTTTTACGTTTTTAAGCCTTGGCGTTGTCGTCCTCTATTGAACTTATAAGTTTTGAATGTCCCTTGGTATCTTTCGCCTCTTTTTTTCCCCTTTTCATTTATTTTTGAAATTTATTTGATTTTACATAAAGCAATTAATTGAAAATTATTAATCGCCTGTATTCAAGTATTTCAGGGCAAAATGATATTCCTAAAGAAAACTTAAAATTTCACACAGATCTATATGTCACCTTTAGATCAGTTTAAAATCGATGGCATTTGTAGGTGATATATTGAGATGGGAACAGCAAGTAAGACTTCGTCACATGACAACACGAAAGTACCTGTGTATAGATGCCACAAAAGAAATTTCATTGACTGATGACAACGAGGATCCGAAAACAGTGTTCAGACTTTATTCTGTTATTAGTGTACGCTTTTCTTTTATTTCCATGTTTGTTTGTCACGAGATAACGCACAATTTATAGAATCGTAAATTTTATATTCAATTAAGAAACTGGAGTCTCCTGAAGAAACCATCAACATAAGGGTAATTCATTACAAAATCTAGCATGTATCTTGATATTTTGTAGCTCGTTAATTTTGAACATAGTGTTAATGAAATGAAGCGGTCATGATTTGTAGCTATCAGTCTACTGTTTAGATAAATAAGCTACAGAGGCTTTTACTACTCTTTGGTGGTTTTATACTTTATTTAGCCTTGAATAAAATCAAAAATGTCTTCATATAAAAAAAATATTAATTATCTTAATTAGTTAACTATTGTTAAGTGTCATATCTTCTTCAAGTTAAAGCTTTGTCCTGCTTTCATTTTTGAAACATGATGAATATTTTGTTCAAATATACCGATTATCTCATAAAGAACTAACCTCGGAATGTCAACCTTGTCATCGATTACCCTATTGACAATTCCATATTTATCAATAGTACTTTTCACAACATTTGCAAATAAACATATTTGCTGAAACAGAAAATAGTATATCCCACAGCTTAAGATTTATAATGTTTTTGTGAATGTATGAACAAAAATGACAAAATGTTAACTTATTGAAACTTATTTTTATCTTAAAAAAATCATTATGAAAGATCCTTCTCAAATAAGAGACAACATTAGTTTACCAATTTTCAAAACTCGAAAATCCATTCAAATATACTAGCGAAGAAAAACACCCCTAAGGAAATCGCATGAACTCTCAGAAGAGCGTCTCCGCTTCCCATACATTACCCGCCATGTGCACCCAGACTCGGTAAAATATTTCATGATTGGAGAAAGGACAATATCGGTAAATTTATCTTTATTCGTTTAATTTTGTTACGATGTAAATAACAACCAATTTAACTCATTTTATTTCTATAGGAAAGAGATGAAATTCGCTATGAAAGCTATTGTAGAATAGAGCATGTTTTAACTGGATTTTGGTTGCATGCACTAAAAGGTATGGTGTCTTTCTTATTTTAAAGATAACTATCAAAACATCATCTAAACTTGTAATAAGAATTAATTACAATTTTGTAGACTAGTAAATTCCAGTAAAAATTTAGTTAATCATAAATCGGAAAGTACAAGTACAAAATGCTTCTTTTAAAAGATCAAATTTGATCTCAATGTTAAACAAGAAGCTAGTAATTACCATGAATTTATCAATTAAATACAAAATAACAATTCTTGCCGAGAGTGTTCTGATGGAAATCGGAAGGGAAAACAAATTAAATGATAAAAGATAACTTAAAAAGGAAAGATCTAAAAATATCGTTATTTTTTATGGGTTCTTAATGCTTTAATGAAATATAAATAGTTTTTTAAGTATCTGAAACAGTTTATTACAGAAATTAATTTTGTCTCATGCACGAAACTTATAGTGTCGTTAATACAGCTCGTTCATAATAAAGTGTTATCGACATTCATTTATTTTGAATTTGTTTTCTTTTTTCTTCTATGATAAAGATGAAGACTATATTCGAAAGAAATTTCGAGATATGGAGAACAGTAATGATCAAAGTCTGCGTGGACTTCGCTGGGATTCTGCACCAGTTCGACAGGTAAAGACCGTACTCACTTTGTATTAAATTATTCCATCTTTTATGATTATTTGAAAAATTTAAGTCAAAGTGGATGTTTTTACCGTTATGCAAAAACAGTTAAAATTTTCTTAAATATGTTTTTTTAAGATAGGCTCACGACGATGACACATTTTGCAGACTATGTTTAACAGGTATTGTATAAAAATGAAAGATAACAAATATTGGTTACATGTGTTTGAAACAATACTACACAAAACAAATCGTGAAAAAAATAATATATCCTACATTAAGTTAATATCTTTTATATAAAACATCTTTGTATACAATGTAAATATGGAAAATGGTGGATTTTTTTCAGGTATATAAAAGGTTATCTTTCTAAATTGTTCATAATAATTGTAATTATGAACTCCACATTTAAAATGAAGTTCAAAACACAAGTGTACATAGAACATAATACAATCTAAAGAGGTGAGACCAATTTCCCGAACCATATTTTACATTGGATCATTTTCTATACTCACAGTATTACAGCTTCAATTGTGTACTATGAGGTTCTAACAAAATTACGGCGTATTGCCTAACATTAAACACAATTTTAAATACCTAAAGGTAGATGCAATTTTAAACGGTGTTAATTAAAATCAGACTAATGCCTGAGGGAGATACATTCCTTTATCTTCAATGATTTCGAAATTAATAACAGCAAATTTCAACCTAACAACATACGTATTTGCATGCCAATACCGAAGAAATGGTTACTTGGCTATTGATACACTCGGATACTACCAACCAATGCACCAGCAGAATAGTAGTAATAATGTTTACGGTACCAATTTTGCTGGACCAGATGCGCATTTCGACAATTAATGTCACTTCAGTGATGCTCGGGGCCAACATATTCGAAAAACCAAAAGAACCAAAAGTAAAGGCCAACCCCGGACGTGGAATCAGAGCTATGTCTGAGTAAGATACGTTCCTTGAATTAAAATTATTTCAAAATTTATAACCACAAGTTTGAATGAAACCATATCTTGAAGTACTTGTTCTAAGGTAGATTTTAGCAATTTTCAGATTTTATCACAAAAATAAATATGAAGGACATTCTTAAATAAAACACAAATTTAAAGTAAAGCTTAATTTTAGTATTTCAGACATATAATTTATATTAGGTCATGGTGGTTAATAATGACCTTTAGCGCAAAATACAAAAAAACTGTGAAATCTGCGTTATTGTATCAAAACTGCATTCAACAGCAATGTTTAGAACTAAATAACATTTTTATATATTGTAAAACTTAAAATGTGAATTATTTAGACTCTGTAAAATTCCAGTAGGTTTGAACAACTTCGAATCTTGACCCTGTGAATGAAATGAATATAAGAGAAACTGGCATACCTCATTTTTCGTTGTTGTATAGAAATTAATTATATTGGACTATTTTTCCAAACTGATATTTTTTTAAAAGCTCATTAGCCATAATTCATTTTATGACTACCCTTCAACTTTGTTCTTTATTTTGGCATTTTAGCTTTTTTGATTCGAGCGTCACTGATGAGTCTTTTGTAAACGAAACGCGCGTCTTGCGTACACAATTTTATCCTGGGATCTATAATGAGATCATTTACAACCATTGGTGCGTGACACTGCTGGTGGAGGTTTCTCCCCGAGGGTATCACCAGCCCAGTAGTCAGAAATGATGACATGAATTATCATTGATATGGTCATAATTATAAAGTAATTGTTTACAAAACTTTGTATTTTTTGAAATACTTAGGATTTCTAATCCAGGAATAGATTACCTTAGCTGTATTTGGCAAAACCTTTCTTAATTTTGGGTCCTCGATGCTCTTCAACTTCGTTCTTTAATTTGCCTTTTAACTCTTTTGATTCGAGGGTCACTGATGGGTCTTTTGTAGACGAAACGCGCATCTGGCGTTCAAAATTTTAAATTCGGTATCTATGATGAGTTTATTCATAATTAGTTTTTATTCTCTTTGCTTAAACTTAAAATCCTAGAAATACGTGAATTCTTCAGTAAAAGATACAATCGAAAGCTGTCAGCTGTCCACTTAAATAAAGGAATAAACATTGAAAAAAAAACCTGGAACAAACAATATCAATCTCATCGTCAACTATGAATTGTTATATATAAGAAAATTTTCATTTTGAAAATATGTCATGCTGTGCATTGATAAAGATATCGTTTGAATCATTTTTTTAAAGCAAGCGATAGAATTATCTCTCTTTTTACAAGATTGCAAAATGTAGTTTAGGTAAAGACATGGGTAAACTAGAATATAAGTAAACAAAAATCGATTCTAAGATCGAATTGTAATTAATAGAACCTTTTTACAGGTAGCAGCAAGTGGAGAAAGTCAATATGACGATGCTTTTACAATACAATATGTAGAACAATACCAAATCACAGAATTCAACTTCGCATCAGGAATGGTACCTTTTCTACTGAATCTTGTTGAAGATGTAAGTATCAGCATGTATGCTCTTTTCCCCCTTTCAAATCATGTATAGTTTATCCAGTTTAGTTTAAGGGAATATTTTGCTTTTCATTTAACGTACTTTTTGTTTATATTTTTACAGAGAAAGGAAGGACATTACCTCAATGCTAAGAAGACACATACCATTTTAACTGCTATGGAAGAACTAAGGAAATTTATGATGATAAAAGACCTCCCAAGTAAAAACAGACAGAAGCTAATGCGAAACTTGAGAGTATGTATGAAAAACACGCATACCACACGTTTTAAATTAAACAACATAACGATCGAAAACAAATTAGTAAATGAATATTAAGAGATTAAATTAAAGTTAACAGTCTTTATGTCTCGAGTCTTAATTACAATTTTACACTGGTCTCTGCGTTATCTCTCACTTATATAACATTTTATTGAATACTATCATAAAATATTTAAGTACATCCATTCGCGTTATTTTTGAAACTCCAATTATTTCCCTACTTGTTATTTAAAAATGCATTCCTTTTTAATGTAACTATTTCTGACTTTTTCTTTTTTTTTTTTCTTTCAAGATAATAGATTTGTTGGTGAAAATATTGCAATGTCCATTAGATGGAAGTCATGACGAACAAAATCTAATACATGTATTTAAAGAGGCATATGAAATACTGTATACATACATGATTGGAAAGAGCAGAAAGAATGCGTTGTATTTTGCAAAGTATATAGAATTCTTCCAGACGCAGTTTACGCAAAAGGTATTGCAATATTACGTTTTTATTAAGATTGTCTCTCCTATACCGCCCTTCCCCTACGATAATGAATTTCCAAAATGGTGTAATCTGCTTACTACATCATTACAGCTATATTAAAGAACACATAAGAATACAACAATATTAGTCTGGTTATTAAATTGATAACCATTTAAAAGTGATTGAAAAGTTAGAAAAAGAACCAAAATTAAGTATTGACACAGATAAAAGTGAAGAACGTGATATCGGTAAACAAAACCATTCTGTAATAATGTTTATTACAAGGGATGAATTATTTTCTCATTTTTTTTCCTTCAACTAATAAAATGTCCAATATCATATTTGACGACAGAATGAGATAACAATGTTTCAACATCAAAGAAAGTAGGCATCGTTTATGCATTTCAGGGTGGAATCGGATTGAATGTTGCACAAATGATAGTAGAACTAATTAGAGACAAAAGGAAAATTGTAGACAGAATAACAAGAGAACAGATTGACGAATTTGTTGGACTTTTACAAAAGTCACAGGTACTACTTATTTGATACTGTCTATATATTTTAATGGGGTTAATGTTGCTCACTCTTTAGTTTTCTTTGTAAAATTATATTGAATATTATCTATCTTTTTGTCTTACTCTCTTTTCGTTTTGTTGCTATTTGAAGTTCTTTGACCTAAGTATAATATCATATGCTTGTTATCCTCTTTCTTTTACAAATGTTCAAAGCTCTGATTCCTTGTCTGGTTTTGGGCTATACTTTAGGACCCTTTGGTTGATCAGCTCTTTAATGTTTGTATCAGGTTTTGGAATTTCAAATATTTCGGCCTCGAGAATCACTGAAGAGACATTCATTTTCGAAATACGCATCTGGTGATGTAAAATTGGTACCGTTTATTTTATTATAACCTAGTGTAAAAATATGGGTAACGTTTATAGTAGCCATATGTGTAATTAAGCGCTATTTAAAAAAAGAACTTTACACGAAGCGTTGATATGCTACATCCTTATTTTTTTCAGCAACTATAATACATATAGCTTTTTGATGTGTTATACTAAGCTTCATCTGGTTATGCCATACTGTGTTACACGCTTTTAAATGCTTCTTTGCCCCAAATTGATATCTTTAAATTATAAAACATGTATGACATTTTCGTCAATCTTTTTTTCGAAGGTACTACAAGGCATTATCTCGTTTTATTGATTAATTGATTGATTAACTGGTGTTTAAAGCCACTTTTGACACTATTGTGATATTTCATGACGGTCAGTTTTTATTGGTGGAGGAAGCTGGAGCACCCAGAGATAACCACCTACCTTCGGTAGGAAAACTAACAATCCTAGTCAATTAAGATTAGAGTCGAGCGCCACTTGCAGGATTCGAACACTCACAACCTCAGTGTTGACAGGCTAGTGATACAGTAGTATGACTTCTTAGACCACTCGGTCAACAAGGCCCAATCCCGCCAATGTGTTGTTGTGCTGTGGTCATTTATTTTGTATTCTTGTCTTTCATTTTTGCTTATGTGCTTGAAGACCCATTGGTAGCCTTCGGCTGTTTTCTGCTCTTTGGTCGGGTTGTTGTCTCTCTGACACATTCCCCATTTCCATTCTCAATTTTATTTGTCTATATGCCATTTTGTTTTTCTTTGTTGACATATTTGTTTGTTTTTATAGTAATTAAGATTATAACAGAATGTTGACTGCTATTCCCCTATTTTTGACATTTTTACCTATTATGACTATTTGTTATTTTCACACATTGTTGTCAATATAGTGGAATTTTATGCGACTGTCATACAGGTGAGAGGTTTAGCTAGCTATAAAACCAGGTTTAATTCACCAGTTTCTACATAAAGAAATGTCTGTACCAAGTCAGGAATATGACAGTTGTTTTCCATTCGTTTGATGTGTTTGAGCTTTTGATTTTGCCATTTGATAAGGGACTTTCCGATTTGAATATTCCTTGGAGTTCGGTATTTTTGTTTTTTTTTTTACTTTTCCTGCTTGCCCTTTCGTATTCATTAGTGTTGTTTCGAAAAGAAAAAGACAAACCAGATACTGTGAAACAAAATATATGTTTAACATAGGCACATGTCAGGTAAAAAAAGGAGAAAAGGTTTAAAATTAGTTATACATAAACGAAATATTAAGCAATTTCAGTTATGGCAAATGTTAGGTCTCAACGCTATGTCAAGTAATTATTTCAGATAGCGCACGATATTTGTAATAATTATTAGCGTTTTTATTACATGATTGATTACTACTACGGGGGTTGGTAAACGCCATTGACTGCCCATGAGGGTCTTGCACGGTTAATTGATTGGCTGTTGATAGCTTTTATTACAGCTAGCGTATACAGATAGTACAGAGAACATCGAAGATATGTTGTATATATTATAAAAAGTGATTTTATAACAGATAACGTTTTTGTTACGCATTGAGTTGCAACAGACGTTTTTTAAACTACTTCATTATACATTTTCTGGATTTTTATCCATAACAAAAACAACAAAAACATTTTTATAGCATGTTCTTTATTTAATTTCTAGAACTACAGATTTCTAGACTTACTACATGTACTGTGTGTTTGTGATTCCGTTGCGATTCCTAATAACCAGTCTTACATCGTCAAGAAATGGTTACAAACTGAACAGGTATGGATTCTTGTGATAGTAGAAACATAATTCAGTTATATAGATACCATACCTGGATAATTGGAAACGTATGAGACATATTCTGATACACATATTAATATTTACGTACATTTTCAGCCCTTTAACCTTACAAGTAGCAATTATTTAACATGCTTTGTTAAAAGTCTTTATTTGAAAATGTGGAGCAACTTAAACCTTTTTATTCCTTTGTACAAAAGAAGCATCTGTATTTCATTTAAAATGTTGAATATTATGTTTAGGGCAGAGGAATATTTCTAACTGCAAGAGGCCAAGATATCAACAGACAGCCAAACATTTTGTACATTACGACCGATAGTGGAGCAACGTGGAGAGCACTTCATCAGTTTGTCGATGTAAGTTTGTAATATTCAATACGATCAATGAACTTTTCTTTATATCTAATCTTCAAAAGAGTGTTATAGACTCGAGGCGAATGAGAGCTTGACATATCATATATCTTAGACACCTGTATTTTGCTGCAGACAATATGTTTCCCTCTAGATGTCATTGTCGTTCGGTTGCTTTCTTATTAACGTATGCACAACATATTGATTTAATGATATTTAAAAGTATGCGTTCATAACGCAGCACAATGCATTGGTTTTTGAACGTGTCTTCATTGATATCCTTTCGGAAAAATTTGCTCAATAAATTACATATTTGCCTTCAAATGGTAGATTTACTCACTGTCCGTTTATACATTTTGAAATTATGAAGAAACTAAGGTTTCAACTCCCTCAGGCAAAGTTGAACTTAGATGAATTAGGCTATTTGAAGGTAAATCCAGAAAAGCGCTTCGGACGCATTAAATCAATAACGTGTTATTTTCATTTTTTACAAGCAGATCTATTTTTACTTTCATTAATAACACTTAAAGCCTAAAACGGGAGATAAGTCTTGTACGCCGAGAAAGCCAAGAAAAAAATAAATGATACTGGCCACATTTGATTATTTAGTATTCCGAGCCACAGTGTTATGAGTAATAATAACTGTCGATAATGTTAACATAAATAAAGGCAACAGTAGTATACCGCTGTTCATAAGCGATGGTGAAATTTACTCTTTCAGCCTTCTGACGAGGAGTATGACAAAGATCAACATGATTTCTTTATCCATCAGCTTGACCTTTATAAAGCTCTCTGTTTTGTAAGTAAAATAATTACATTTTAATAATCCATATGCTTATGTGATACTATATTCCCGCTCGTAGAATTGTACAGTATTTTGTATTTCCGTCCATCAGTTCTATCATTCGTTGAATTGTACTGCTAATTCAAATCACAAATCCATCATGCAGTAAGTTCTTGTTTGTGGGTTGATTTACATAGCGTGCAACTTTATGTTTGAAATGTTTCTTTCCATTCTCAATTTTATTCTGTCGGTCATTACTACGACCGATTGATAAAGGAATAACATCACCATAATTTCCTTGGCAAGTTAGCATAATACTGACAATACTTAAGAAAAAAAGAGACTCATGACAAGCTATTACTAGGATGTGTATTATATGTTTGGTGTACTTTATATATCTAAATATTTTATTTTGCCACTATTTGTCGTACAAAACTATTTTACGTTTGATTAATCGATACAAGTTAAACTTAATGTTGTGTATCAGCTATATTCGAAATAAAGTTATTTAAGCATGAACATTATTCTGAAGACGCTCAAATAGGACATATTGTCGACAGGAACCCACCTAAAACCGGTAGTGGATCCAGATTTGATTCAATTCCTGCTCAATTAGTGACAATCATGGTGTTGCCCTTAGGCAAACAACGAAGATCACAATATTTGAAACAATTTTTTTTCTGTTTGCGTCAATTATTTCCTTTTTTTTTATTATTATTTCTAGGGGAGAAACGATTATACAATTAATATGCTGACCAAAGAACTGAGGTACCTGACATGGGAAGAAACATTTCTGTCACTGAGATCAACAATTTTACCTGATGCTATTAGAGCAAAATATTGTGATCTTACAACATGTAAGCAAAACAAAGCCACCTGTCTGAAATTTAAAAAAAGAAATATAAGTTATAATTACTATTGATAATTTTATTAATTTTTCTTCAAAAGTCATAACTGTATAACTTATCATTCGTAATTGTTTTATTGATATTTTTTGTCACAAAATGATTATTGATTTTTTTATTCGAATTTAAAATTCACTTATGTATTTCAATTTTTGTAGGCATGTTTGTTGATACGGGTAACAACTATTCAGTATTAGACCATCCAAACATATGTTTCATATACGAATATGTTGGATCAAAAGACGAAGAGAAAAGCCAAGGAGATTTTGTAAATATTCATTTTAAAGATTAAATATTGTCCACCTTGTTTTTGTAGACATCGCAAATCATAGTAGCAACGTTAAAAAAATATTGACTTGTTCCAAGTTTCATACAAGTATTCATTTTTAAAAGGACAAAAGTATAGTTTTGTCATAGGTTTCAAAGATTTTCTTAATGTTCAATTTAACATTTTAACATTTAAACAAATTACTTCTAACTTTTTAATAAATAAAAATAGTAAAAAAAAACTAAGTATTATACAAGCTGTGTGTGAACTTTTTCACTCTGATCTTATTTTTTGTAGGTTGTCAAAGAGCTTGTTGCCATTTTCCCCGTTTTAAGAGATTGGATTGCTGATTTTCTTGATCAGAATAAATGCATGTTTGCGTGCGATATAGGCCATAACATGCTTATTGAACAGGTATAATAGTGTATATAATGATATATCTATAAAAAATAAAAATTTAGCAACATGTTTATTTTTTATATAAAGGCAACAGTAGTATACCGCTGTTCGAAACTCATAAATCGATAGAGATAAAAACAAATCCGGGTTACAAACTAAATCTGAGGGAAACGCATCAAATATAAGAGGAGAACAACGACACAACAAAAACACAACATTAAAATGTAACACACACAGAAACGAACTATAATATAACAATGGCCATTTTCCTGACTTGGTACAGGACATTTTAAGAAAAAAATGGTGGGTTGAACCTGGTTTTGTGGCATGCCAAACCTCCCGCTTTTATGGCAACGTCAAACACAACACCAAAACGACAACATCACATGACAGGACCACAATACAAATAAATGGGATAACATATAGGACAAAGAAACACACGAATAATAGCTAGCAGAAGGTACTAGGCTTAAAATTCAATACGCCAGACGTGCGTCTCGTCCACACAAGACTAACCAGTGACGCTCAGATAAAAAAAGTTTGAAAGCCAAAACAAGTACAAAGCTGAAGAGCACTGAGGACCAAAACTTCCAAAAAGTTGCGCCTAACACGGCCAGGATTTTCTGCATGGGACAAGAATATCCTTTTTATTTAGAATAATTTATAATTTTGCAAACAGTAAATATTATAAAATGACTATATAATAGATATACATGATAAAACCAAAGTGGGGACTAACTACAGAATAAAAACGGATACATTACATAAAACAACTTAATCCAACATATAAAAATACACAGCCGAGTTAGCTAAAGCCTCAACGCACAAAGTGACGTCATATTTGAAATTCTAAAAAAACACACAAAGTGACGTCACATATGAATTTGTAAAAATATTTCCCAAAAATAAGATAGGATTAGGATTGATTCAAGATAGATTTGTAATACTGCCATTACATTTATTAATAACAATGAAAATTACAATACTTATTAATATCAAATTGTGGTAGTAATTAGAAAATTAATTGTATTATCTAGCTATGTCGGTGTTTCTTCTGAATCAAACTGTAAACCAAATATATCGTATAAATATTGTTGAACCAAACTAAAATCTAATAAATGAAGGGGGTGATTAATTATCTATACCATAACACACGAATATAACAGAAAATACGTTAAGACATTTGACAAAATCCGACGAGAACAACAAATATAACATCAAAATTAAATACATGAATTTATCTCTGTCTTAATTCTCTAATAAGAATGAATCGAATACAATACAAAAATCATTTAGTTACAATGTTGGCGTCTAGATGATATTCTTTCTATGAAATGGTTCGGATCCCAGTTTGTCTTATTAATATAAGTCTCTATCTATAATCTATAATTCATAATGATCTAAAACAAACTTCCTCATACTTAGTCATGTAAAACACAAACTTGAATGAAAAATCGAAAAAAATAAATCACTTAATACTTGTCATTTCTACGTAAATATGCATCCCTGACTTTAAATGTTTAGGTTTGAGCGTATTTATTGAAATTAAATCCAGAAATGTCCCTCAGACGCACGAATTTTATAAATTGTTATTTTCATTTAGTGTACCTAATTCATTTATATAACGAAATCTTATTAAGCTTGTTTTATGATATATTTTTCAATCTAAGAGGTTGTCATTTTTTATTGTATTGCTTATTTGAACTTAACTTTTAAGTCCCTATTGGTTTTCACACTGCAGTTTTACGTGAAGTAGAATTTTCATAAGCCTTCAAGAAAATTGTTGCAGAGAACTTGTCGTAAATTAAAAGTTTATGACTTTATCTGATTTTGTAGAATTAAATTTAAAGAAATTGATGTTGTAGGTTGTGCGTCTGCTATATCATTTGGTAAAGTTTGGATACTATTTAGACGCTGAAGATGTTAAAAACCTTTTGCCGCCATTACTCAATCTGTTGGATGGAAGACACGATTTTCCATACCCGAGAGAAAAGGATAAAGAAAAAAAGGAAAAAGGTATGGTCATAAACTTCTATAAATATTTTATTACCGGAAAGTAAGCATGCCGGTTCTTTAATTATGAATAAAATTTGCACAAAGCTATTCTTGAAAGATGATTAAATCTGCTTCAAATTGGGCTTAAATAAATTGAAGAAATTGAAACATAATTTTCGCACAACTAAATTGTCCCGAAGTTGTTCCAAAGTTTTAGCATAATTTACATTTTGACAAATATGCATCAATAATAACAATGCGCAAAGGTTTCAAACATAATGTTTGCATTGTCGTATATAATGACTAAAAGGGGTAATTCGTAAATTTACCTTTAAACAGGAGAAACGTAAATAAGTGAAGATCGCTTTTAGTTAAAAAAAGAAAACAATTCATGTTAATGTTAACTCATATTTTCATGTTTTCTATGAGTTTAATGTTGATTTAAATATACAACAAACATGCATCGGCATATAGACTAAGTCCTCATATCTCTGTTATTTCACGGAACATAACAATATCTATCTATACTATAGAAACAAGGGACTCGATTCTGCATCATCATATGAAATACAAATCTTTCAGTCGATAATGTACCATTATTTCCTTGATGGAGGCTTGTTGCTTGCACATACATTTACTGTTAAAGTTGAAGTCATCTTGTCGAAAGTTTACGGTCGTCATCTTCTTACACGAAAACAGGATAAAATGGAAGAATGACTGAATTCAATACTACAGAAGTTTTGCGGTTACCATCACGAATTGATTGACCGAAACGATGTGTTTGTGTCTCAACTCGCTTGTTTTTGATGTTTTTAGATCTCTTGATACCAGGATAGTCATCTAATCTGTATTTTCACCTATTATGTCTTATTACCTATTGCGACATTCTGGCTGAGTTTGGATTTACATGGCGGATGATTCATTTACAGCAGGAGATACTAACCTTGTCGACGCACACTGTCTCGCTTTTTTTGTGATTCATTCTCATTCATGCTATTCCTTAAGCTTTTGTTTATTAACTTGATTTAAATTTTCTCAATTGACTTATGAAAATTTAACATCGATGAACTACTCTTGCTTAAATTCAGAATGTTTGAATGCCTTGAATTCTTAGGATTATTGTTGTTCATCACTATAGAGTATTGAGGTTAAAATGTCTTGTCTTCAAGGTCAAGGTTACAAACACAGTTTCAAATGTACAATGTCCCGTCCGACTGATTCTAATGAATGCCACAAGAAAAATGCGAGGCTTTACTTTGTTGTGTGTGTTGTGATTTAGATAACTCTGATGCAAAAAAAAACCTAAAAGATAAACTTAAGGCCAATTACAGTATAAAGTTTCCTGATATTATCTAATACGTTATGGTGATTTGGGAGATATGAAAGGGATGTCTTTCTGAACGGGTCGACAAATATTTTTACATCTATCACATTATTACAGCACTCCTTTTTCTACTCTTTTCTCCTTTTTGAAAAACCTAGATCCACTTAGATATGGAACTAGTTAATTTTAGCTTCAGTGTTGCATCATTGTTAATATAAACCACAGCAGTATTAACATCCGCGCATTTATTATCAGCAACCACCCCATCACAAAAAAATATTTTGCAGTACCTAGTGTTCATATATATTTATTTAAAACTTGTGCGAATTACTAGTATATATTTTTTTTCTATTTTGAAGCAAAAACCATAACAAACATGACAAACCACCTGGTAAATTAAATAGATTCTTCAATTGAACTCCCGTTGTCCATTGATACTATTTCTTTGTTGATCTTAACAGATTACACAAAAGAACAGAAAAAGTTGGTGACAAAATATCAAACTTCTGAACGCTGGGACAAATCTCCAGAGACTGAAGCTATTGTCAATGCCAAATACCAGTACGTATTTCAAATAAGATTAAACTGTAAACCTTTTTTTAGATATGGATAGGTATTAAGAAATGCCCGTAACTCTAAAAAAAATCTGTGTTCTTTATCTGCTTCTCCTCTTAAATATTTGCAAACAATATATTTGGATTTTAATAAAAAAAAAATGAAAAAATGAAAAAAGGCGTATGAGCATGATAATTATAACATGTCTCTTTTAAAATTTTGTTCGTATGAAAGCTCGAATTGATTTTATATCATTTCTTTCCTTTCTTAAAAGGGTATTAGAAGTACTTGATCTCCTTCTGACTTATCAAAGAAACTCAAGACTTCAGGTAAGAAGTTTGAATCTTTAAACTATCGGTTATGCACTAGTTTTACGTGAATCAAAGTTAAACTTACTGTTGGATACGCATACCAGGATTTATCTTAATCCAGAATACAATTAGCTTCAATATATTGGAATCTTTATTAGCAAAATATATTGAAATAGAATAGCAAATATCATCCAAGGTCAACAGTGTCTGAGTGAGTAACAGCGTAGGTTTTTGAAAAATTCAGTCGAGAATTTATAAAAACAACTGTTATTTAAAAATATATCCTGAAGCAAACTCTGTGATTACTGGACGTATATTATTACCCTTAGAGACGAAATGTCACAAAGGCGAGATATATGAGCCCCTTAGTAGTAAATAAGAGCAGAGCAGATTCACAGTTATTTCTTTGTTCAATATATAAAAAACTTATACACTCCGGAGTCAATAGTCGGTTAAATGAAAATCGGTATTCCGAAATTGTATTGTATTAACTGTGGAACACAGTTGATTTGCCTTCTCTTACCTGCAATCTTCTGAGAGTTTATACCACAAAAGTTAGTGAGTTGGCTGTGCTGTTGGATTTATCATTTTTGATTGCCCACTTGGTATCTTCTCCCCTTATTTCCAGCGTAGGATAGCAATACAAAAGCCTACAGTATTAAGATCATATACTAAGTTCTTTCGTTCAAAGTTTACTTGTTCTTTACGATAGATGCATTTGAAAGACATCATATTCTAAGATGTTTTAAAATAAGCACCGATATTACATTGTTTAACACGAAACAATAAGACGTATTGTATATAATTTTAGAGTTTTGTCTCCAAGTTCAAAGCAGCTGAAGAATCAGGTGGTCAAAGAAATGTACAAGAATCTATGTTGCGAGATTCATTCAACCCTCATGATCAGTCGAAGTAAGTTAAGCACAAAAAGTATATTAATATATATATATATATAGGGCAACAGTAATTTACCATTGTCCAAATTCCAGGAATAGAATAAGAAGACAATATATATTTTTTTAGCAAAATATATCAAATGTTTCAAATAGACATTGCATGTATTATTTTATATTTATATGATTAAAATATTGACTGTAAAAGCAGTATATATTTTAAGAACTTGGTCTGATTTTAAAAAGTTCAAGATAAATAAGTTGACCAAGTGAAAAGCAATATAGAAAAATCTATTTTTCATTCATCAGTTGCTATTAATGTGAAAATAAAATGTTATAACATGCTCGTCTCCAACGAGGGTGGTCGTGGGTTCGATCCCAACCCGGTCAAACCGAACACATGTTCATTGGAATTTTTGCTTCTCGGCTTGGCATTCGATATTTAAGAGCAAAAACAGGTATGTTCGGAGTAAAAATCATATGCCCAAGTGTGATACACTTCATGCGGACTGTTACCTTGTGAACTAGCACGTTTAATATCCATCTTAGAGCGTCGGTCAAGTACAAAGCAGAGTGCATATTCTTATCATTTTCATATATAAATAAGGAGATTAGGAAAGATTGCCAATGAGACAAGCATCTTACAAAGTCCAAATGAAGTGGATTTAAGGAACTGTAGGTCACCGAACGTCCTTCAACAATGTACAAAACACATACCGTATAGTCAGCTATAAAAGGCCTAGTCATGACAAAATGTAAAAAAAATTAAATCGAGAAAACTAAGGGTCTGATTAATAACACGACTTTTAACGAAAAACAAATATAACAGATATGAACAACCGACACCTTCCGAATTACTCGCTCTTAACTTGGGACAGTAAAACCGGTACCTTTTTCGCGTAAACTATGCGGCGGAGATGCACATTTTTTTGGACAGTGGTGTAGCAGCACAATATAAGAAAAAGTCTAGCGTTTGATATTGCCGGGTTTTATAAAATTCCCCCTTTTAATTTACCTCAGAGTTTGGTATTTTTGTTTTCTATTTAATTTTGTTAATACTTTGTTTTCTATAAAATCTGTTGGAATGATTGAACAGATTTGTACGAAGCAGAAGAACTAACATATAAACAATAGACACAAAGTACCGATCTAAAGTACTCACAGTTACTGAAAGCTAATTTAAGGCGAGTTAAAACTAATAAATAAATGGTGTTCTCCATGACTAAAGTATCAGTCAGTTAACATCCCATGGATTTATTGTAAAGACGTAATAAACCGTTTGCGAAAAGCATGGCCAAAATATAAGTTAACAGACAATTAAAGCACGTAACTTATCCAAAACATCAAAGGCGATTTTGACACTCCAATAAAAAAAATTCCTAATTCCATTATTTTCATATACTTTGTTACTTCGGTACTGGTATGAAAATAGAATTAAAATATATGATTATACATGCACTTAAATTCTCCAGGAAGGCATTGTCTTTGCAAAGAAAAATAAACAAAGAACTGAGAGACATGTTTAACCAGTCGGCCTTATTTGATATGGATTTTCTTACCAAAGTATTAGTGGTAGGTAATTTACATATTATATTAACAATATGTTTGTGCAGTCATCAATAAGACAGTTACTCACACAATAACATAACATATAGTTTGTTGTTGGCATTATGACCTGTTGTATGATTCGAAACAAACGTAATTGAAAGAGATTACATGATAAACGGTGTGTATGCGGATTGACCTTCTCTCCTAAATGAAGTCTTAATAGTTGTGTTAGTCGCTAAGATGACATTTAGTTTCTCTTGTAGGATTTTTAGGCGCAAGGTTCATTTTTCAGTGCATCTAATATAATTCTCGAGTAAGTTCCTTATCTTCAGCATTTAGTTTACAAACATCATTATCGATTTCCATAATAACTACATGCTTTTGTTTACAAATCCTCCCCTAATTTTACTATATTTTTGTATGCTTTGGTGTTTGAGTTTTAATGTCCCCAGTGTGTTAAATTTCTGAACAAATTTTGCTATTATCTTAGTCGTCTTGGCACTTTTCTAGATTAAACTACTGTTACAAGTTTTTACATTTTATGGTAGTTGTAAATTCAAATTAGAAGAAATTAAAAATGAACCTACAATATATGATATGAAATTGTTAAAATTGTGGATGCCATTATGAACACCTACTACATATTAAAAGCAAGAAAATTTCTTAGGTTTTTAGGTTCTGTAAAAAGAAACAGATCAACATACATTTTTTTCCAATATCATGATACATACAGATACTATTTCTGCGTGTGTGAATGTTTTGATGTTATTGACATAATTTTTTTTCCAGGATTTATCAATGTACAAGTACAACAAAATGATAACGAAATCATTAAACATCTTAAACAAGCTGTATTCATCAAAGACAAACATGTTCAAGCTTTCCACAAAAGCTCAGGTATTTGATTTTAAAAGATAGTACGGACTGTTTATAAAAATTATAATTTTGGTTTATCCTCTTGAATTTTTTTTTCTTTCAATTCAATCTTTTTAATTACATTTGATTTCGTAGAACAATAATAACACTACTATTTCTTAATTTGGTAACTCCCTCTGTTGTCACACTAGTGTGTGTGCCTCGAAAACAGTTTGTCGTTGGTCGTTAGTCCGTTTCTATGAATGTTGGCGTTTGTTTTTGTAGCAGTTCTGTGTTCATGTTGTTTCGTTGTTTTCCTCTTATAGTTGATGTGTTTCCCTCGGTTATGGTTTGTGGCCCGGATTTGTTTCAGTTAAATCGATTTATGACTATTGAACAGCGGTATACTACTGTTGCATTTCTTTATCTATCACAGCTGTGGGTCAACTAAAGACTTTTGAATTGTTGTTTGCCTCTTATAGCAGAGACTTGTTGGTCCAGACTAAAAATTATATGTCCTATTTTTTTTATAAATTGTTACATCGTGAGCTAGACACGGCATTGAGCCCTTTACACAAAGTACGCTAATTCAAAATTTGAAGGAAATGTTTAAAAAGAGTTAAAAAAAAGGGATTCATACTGTGTCGAACAGCTGATATTTCATAAGTCCATTTATCTGATAATCGATTTATTGGCTTGTATTTGTGTGGTTTTCATGATAAAACAAGCAGTTTTTTCTTTTTCCATCAGCAAACCGGAAAAGTATTGACAAGATAGGGTCAAACTTATCTGACAAGATCGGGTCAAACATATCTGACAAAATTTTCGGAATTATGGGTCCTCAATGCTCTTCAACTTCGTACTTTATTTGGCTTTTAAACTTTTTTGATTCGAGCGTCACAGATGAGTCTTTTGAAAAAGAAACACACGTCTGGCGTACAAAATGTCAATCTTTGTATCTATGATGAGTTTATTTATCATATTGGTTCGAATAATATGACGTCGGTGATAAGTCCGGGTGATAGTTATTACGGCCTGGTTAACATATCTGATGTCACAAAACCGTGATATGTAACTTTACACATTGTTGTCAATATAATGGAATTCTGTTCGATTGTCATACCGGTGACAGGTTTTAATTCGTTTGATGTGTTTGAGCTTTTGATTTTGCCATTTAATAAAGGACTTTCCGTTTTGAATTTTCCTTGGAGTTCGGTATTTTTGTTATTTTACTTTTTATGAAGAACTGAGCAGTAGGAAAAGCTTTGAATTATGAAAAACAAATGGGTATCACTGATTTTTCTATTCGACGAATAGATGTTAGTAATTTCTTATTTTATTGACTTTGTAATAAAGTAATTCGGATAATGTCGCAATAAATTCTTACGTCATTTCTTGCTTTGACCTAACAAAATTATATATTTAATTGGAGTGTTTACTTATTAAATGAAAATATAGAAGGGCTGATCTTATCAATTAGTTGTATAAGATTATTTTAAATGTTTGATAACTTTTTATATAAGGTTTTTCACCTCTGCAAGTACATTAATTAGAAACAAGACATCATAACAATGAACATTAAAGCTGTAAGCAACCGTTACTGTATTCTTAAATAAAAAACCAAGGAAACTGATTACTCTGGCCAAAATGTCGTACGAACATTATTTCAGGACTAAAAACGTTACTGTTGAACTTATTTACAGGTCGTCTGGATGATTTACACCTCATACGTTGTGGACGCTAGTCCATCGTTGAAGGCGCTATGGTGAACTTTGCTTCCTTAGAATAGCTAGCTAGTATCTTGTCCAGTTAACCAGAAAAATATGAATAATCATATTTTCATTTAAAATAAATATGGCTACTAAAACATTCGGTTTTATTTCTTTTTTTTTTCTTCAGACAAAAGTATTACACTTTGTATGAAAAGCTAATCACGCAAGTTTAAAATATATGATATTGATTTATCTTGTTTGGCTATATAAACCTAATAAATGTTGAATTTATATATTTGCCTAACATCAGACCAATTTAAGGTTTCTGATATTGTATGTGCGTTGGATTTCTATAATCGGCCATTTGGATCGCTATGTTCCCACTGTTTTTCATTCCGATATAGTTATTTAAATTACTGAACACTTTATAGATTTTACTAACGCAAGATTCGTCGAGAGTGCACAGAGAGGTATTGAAAAACATGCCCATCTTGAGACGATTAGCCAGAACAAAACTAGACGATCAACAAGTGAAATTGATGTGTTCTATTCTGGACGATTTAGCCGAGTAAGATATTTCTTATGACATTACCTACAAATATTTATATCTCCATATGAAAAATATAATTGTTCAAAAGATATAAAGGTCTATACCATGTGGAAGATACCAAAAAAGGTCCAAGGTAGAAGAAATATCAGACACACAAATAAAAAAGTCTGCTATACTCAGAACCAAAAACTGCACAGCATGAAATGTGTTCTAATTTGTAAGGATTTTAAATAGGATAATGGTCGTTTAAAAGTCTGAAAGTCTGAAATAAGGACGAAGAAACTTGAATTATATAATTATTACATGATTGACAGGTGTATGCTATTACATTTAATCAGAAAACTGATTTATTAAACAAAATCAATCGTTTAGAGAAAATAATCTGACTAAAATACAAGTCCTGTGTCCACGCTTCACATGATCTTTTATTTATACAGATTGGTAGAAAAAATTCTTTAATAATGAAAAAAAAGAGAAAAGGGATTTATCAACCTCACATTTTGTCATTATTAGATTTTGTCACCTTCCAATGACTCCTGATGAACCACATCCAATGAATCAGAATATCATGATAAGTAATGGTAAGTTTATTATGAACATTATAAAAATAAGGAGATGAGATATGATTGACAATAGACATCTATCCACCAAAGTTCAAATAAAGTGGATGTAAGCAATAATAGGCAACCGTACGGTGTGCAACCGTACAGTGTGCATGTCTTTCATCTGTAAGTAATTTTGTGAATCTTAACAAAAGAAATTTGTTGACTATTTGGAAATGATACTGATTTAGGCATATTTATTACAAAATTAGCATATAGGTACTATAGATAAATCGGTTCTTATAGTAATAAAAACAATCATCCTTTGTTGTCAAACTATTTAAAATATAATTTTCAATAGTATCTGTTAGGTTTTAATAATTAGATAAACGTCTTTATGATATGGAATCTGATTCTTCTTTGAAGCGATATCTTGACATATAAATTATTTGAACACTAATAGTTGTCGCTAAATGTTTATATTATCATCACAAATGGTTGTATTTATATTCATATATGGTGATAAAGTAGTGTGTTCGCTAGTATACATTTAAATAGCAAATAAGTGTTTTGTGCTTTGAAATCTAACAGTTTTATATATTTGGAAAGGAAACCTTAAATGTTTAAAAGCGAAAACCATATGTTATTCATGAAGAACATTTTTCAATAAATTGTTAATTACATTTTTTACAGGAATTCTGACGATCTTATTTGATGTTCTCACCCAAGACATCGATACAAAACTTTTAGTAAGTAAACCTTTATAATACATGTGTACATGCAATTATCATGGAAACGTCATATATAGTCATAGTTACTTTAATGGAGAATAAGAAATTACCGCTGCAAGTGTTTCAAAACCAGAATCAAAATGTCAAACCTTCATTTTCTGTACAAAGGCATTATTTGTACGATATGGTACTGTTCTAATTGCAACTGTGTCTTATGTGTTCTGTAATACCAATATATTTAACATCGACTTTATACATTTTGGACTGTTCTTTCAAAAAATATTCTCAAGAATTTGCTTTTCAAACGTTCTGTTCTTTTCATTTATCAGATAAAGGTTACACAAGAAATAAGCTGTCAGAATTGAAAACTTTAATATTTGTCAGCCTGGGTCAATACTGTTGCTTGAAAAATGCTAGTAAGCGTAGAAACATTTTGATTAAAGCATTCCTTGTGAACAATTTTGTCAATCAAGTGTGCGCACTAAAATCTGTATCATTAAGTTACAAGTTAAAAATTCCCCATTTATAAAGTTTGTTTTCTCTCTTGAAGAACTTTAATTGTTTTACTTGGTCCCCAGAATATATATATATGTACACCTTTTTATTTTTTCTAGGAGCTATACAGAGGAATGAGAGATGTTTTCCAGAAGACGTTCCAGTTAGTAAAATTGCTGGCTCGTGAAAATGCACATGTACAACATCATTTGTTTGAGAGAATAGATGTTTTATTGGACGTGAGAGTTGTCGAGTCAGACCTTGCTTTAGCCTTGAAGGAGGTAGTGTCTGTTTTATATTGGGACTATCTAAACATTTATAGATTACCATATTACCCAAGACCTTTACTTAGATTTTAAAAGCAATAGCGATATTGTTTTGAAGATTGACGCTTCCTGATCAGCAATAGATCCAAATCATATCTTGTATAAACCTTATTTAAACTAGCTATCACGTTCTAAGTTTTTTTTTGTGAAATAGCATGATCCCTTGAATAAACTTATTCTAAAAGGTTAGAAATTTAACACTTTATTGGAACTTACATTGATTTGTTTTCAATGAACTAACATAATTAAATATGTATTGTCATACAGAGAGAACTTATGGTCCTACATTCTGTCGATATTTATTTGTTGGCTTTGCACAAGGCCATGTTTTTCTCGGAATGATTATGACGTCTTTCCACTGAACACATTGAATGTGTTCTGATTGGTATTTTAATCTTGGAAAACATGGTTTATTTAAACGTTGAAATTGGCTTTGGACTAGCTTCCAGTAACTGCGAAAACTTTAGATCTATTCTTTGTGTTTTTTGCCTATTGGTTAAGTATATTGTTGTTGTGCTATGTATGGTAATCAATCATTTGCATGGAAATTTCAATATCAGGATCCCTTTTTCGCATTATAGTAATTGAACTATGTATAAATATCACAAGAGCAATGTAATATAGCTTTCATAAATCATGTCCATGTATATTCGAACATTTGTTTGCCAAGCTGTGAATGTAGATTTTGCTTGTTTGGTCTAATGAAACAATAAATGTCTTGACAAGAGAATAAAATCTGGTTTGTTGACTCTGTACCCACTCAATAATATTGAATAATTTTCAACTTTCAAAATGATATATTGAAAAGACATGTTTTAATCAACGAGAAGCAAATTACACAAAAATATATTAAATATATTGATGATTTATCTGATATAACACTTAAAATATGTAAAAGGTACTTTTTACAGGTGTTCATTGGAAATCAAAATACATGTTTGAAAATAAGCCCGAGACAAATCCAGAAAATTGTATCACGTGCAGCTGAAATGCAGGAACGCGCTCCAGAATTTCTTGACCTCTTGGGCATGATTGTAAAAGTTGTTGGATCAGATCTCACGTTAAAACGAAACCAAGCTTTTGTTATGAAGTACATAATGCAAAATTACAAGAAGTTGGCGTATGTCCTTGATATGTCACGTGAAGACAGGTAAGAGTACAACATAAAGATGATACAGACTGATACAATTATTAGACATTTCACTTTTGATGAAAGTGTCCAATATAAAACAATTTCAAGTTTTTCAATCTTTTTAACTGATTAAGTAGATATGGCTTGAATTTATGTATGATATTTTTTCAAGCTCTCCTGAAAAAGAATTAAATATTTATACACTTAGAATTTTGTTTGAGAATTACAGATCATGCTTCATATGAAAATGAATAGGTAAAAATATATTATTCTTCGTATATTTAATATCGAAAAATGTATCAGTGAATAACATAATACCTGATTGAAAGATTTTTGCATTTTCACTTAATTGGAAAAAAATGGGGAATCCGTTCTCATTTGTGTTTTGTTTTTCTTTATTTGTTCCTCGTGTTTAAGAAATAATGGAAAACATAGGTTGATTTTCAATAATGTCCGGTTTAATAATCTTATTTTGAACTGAACAAATTTTTGCCGAAAAAAACCAACATAACCTGGTCAAATCGAGCCAAGAACAAATCTAGACAAAAATGCAAAGTAAATTGATCAATTTAGCAGAATCGTCTATCTTAAGAAATTTGTAAAGCTCATTGGGGTAGCGATAAAAAAAAACCTGAATTGAGTTACAACTTGGTAATATAAATAAAAGTAATCTATAAACATGTCGTCTTGTAGTTTGGAAAATAGTTTCCGAGTAAGTAAGTGTTTGCCTCATGATATGATATACATTTTATTCAATTAGGGAAAATATACTGACAGATCCATCTAAAATGACCACTATGAGATATTATTTGAGTGTTCTAGATTTGCTTGCACTGTGTGCAGAGGTTAGTCACTTTTATTAATATTTTGTTCCTCGTCAATTGTTTAATATCGATATGATAGTCTCGAGTAATACTGGAATTTCCAGAATCCTTATTTGGAGATTTTAATGGTGAATCACCGATAATTTAATTAACATAAATAATAATAATAATAGGAATGAAGGTCGTAATATGATTACTATAATGGTCATGGTCACTCGTATATAAAAAATCTTACTGAAACTGGGTGAAGACAAGTAGTCTTATAAGTAAACCTTATAAGAGATGATGGAAATGTCTACAATAGATTATATGAAAGAAAAACTTTTATATTCAATTCAGTAAATTTGACCGACTATTGCGTTGTTAACTCTTTTAAACATAAAAACATCCATCTACGTTAAAAATATATCGATACCGATACAAGATTAAATATTGTCCTACAACAAAAACAACAAAACTATTAAACAAAGCAAAGTGGTTGGTGCATATGAGACAATAGTCTTACGAAATGCAAAGACAAAATCAATATAACAAGAGTTCAGCTCTTTTACTGTGTTTTTTTAATATTTTAATCTTGGAAGTCATTAAAAATTCTTCAATTGTGAACCTTAATTGTTACAAAAGTTCATATTATGATAACAGTTGCAGGCAAACAACAATTATATGTCTGTGTCTTTCATTAATTACATTAATTCAAGAAAAGGTGTGATTAGGACCAGCTTATTTGTATATGCCTTAAATATAGAAATTAAGTATAAGGCTTCGGCCACCACATTTGTTTCTCTAAAAAAAACCGTTTTTCAAATTACTAGAAAGATGTTACCTCAGACATGAACATGAATTTAAACATTTGAATGAGTTTGACCAATATCAAAGAAAAAGAGTTTATTACAATGAAATATTATGCCATAATTAAGATCTGTGTTGAAATTACCCTTTTGATTTTTTTACTGAGATAATTGCTCCATTTTACCATTAATTGTATATTTATCTTCAACTTTATTTTTAATAGTTTGAAGCAAAATTTACAATCAGTATGTTAAGTGCCTAATATTACTAAGACTTTTAAAAGTACACTTTCTTCCGCTTGAAGGTAATATTAAAGATTACAAACCTGTTATACATCAATTGTATATATTTAGGGTGAAAATATGTTCATAGAATCTCTATGCCAAACAATTCTGCCGATGGATGATTTATTATGGGTGTTGAATAATTCAGTGATAGATAACACATACAAGAAACCATTCTTGCGATGTCTACATCATGTGTACATGAAAAGTATGGGACCTGAGGGAGTTGACGCTGGGGCAGGAGAAATGCCTCACAATGAGTAAGATCATTTATGTATAATTATTTTAGTTTTCTTTTTCATACCATAACCTTTTCTATATATAACATAGATTTTTTGCATGGGTTATCAATATATATATATGGTAAATTTGGTAGTCATATTCTAATAAAATGTGAATTGCTTCATGTGCAAATGATATATTCAAGTCTTAACACATTTCAATGTTTACGCTTCTCTATATCTAAACAAAACGAGTAAAATATATATAAGACCCTAGTCGGTTTTCGGTTCATCATTCACGGTCAAAATATATTATTTACTCGTTACGTTTTTACTTTACTTTGTTTTGAACAAGAACGTTCCTGAAAAAAACAATGTATAAGCTTTCTTAATATTTTACATTTTGAATTGTTGAAATATAGATTAATCTACTTGGAATAAAGGAGTTATTGAATATGTATGGAAAATAAGGCTATATTCCTCTTAGTACAGATAACAATACATTACTTTAGGACTTATTGCAACACTTTTTTTACTTGGAATAAAGTTTTTTGAAAGGGTTTAACGGGGACCAACCTTATGTTGGATCTTCCATCGCTTGTACATTTTGTTTTGACTCACGGTTTAAACATGATTATGAATTACACTGTGTATATATACCATTTCCTTACGTTGTATGTAGATGTTGTTTTTAATACATGTACATTTTAAAAAAGTTATATTACTGTGACTATTCATTGAAGCAATCGCTTAATGTATTTAAAATGTAATAAATATCTTGGCTTCTACAACTCTCTTGCTGCAAAGAACACAATCTTTAAAGGATCATGGCTTTATGCTTAATTGGTAAATAATATGTGATATGCTATTAGTGTTTACAATATAGCAAAGGCTTTTTCTAAATAGCAGTAGATTGTATGCATTATTTTTCATAGATTTAGCGAAGCATTTTGTTCTTTTCTTTATATATATATATATATATATATATATATATATATATATATATATATATCATGATTGTCACTAGTTTCACATACTGAAATTCTCTGAGTGGCCTTAATTTTGCGCCGACTCGCCTTATGCCGTGAGTATAACTATTACTCATAATATACGTCGTCAAATAGGAAAACCTATTTATTTTCTGTAACAAGGAACAAATTCAAAATGCATCTATAGCCTTAATTTCTTTGAATTTGTAAATCTTTTCAATACCTACTTGAAATATAAACAAAGTATTGCATCTCATGATATGACTATGACGATTTGAAAAATGAATGTATGATACTGATAAATATTCAGCGCTGTTATAGATCCATAGTTAAACATAAGATAGTGAACGAGGCTGTCTCGGTTGATTATCAAAAGGATGAAATTCAATGTAATTGATAATTAGACAATTGTGAGTTGAAGACAAACAGGTCAAAGTGTACCCTTTTTGACAGTGAGCTAATAATGATACCAATTGTGAAAAATGCAAAAGATTCAAGCATCGGTCTTAACAAGGTCAGTAACATAAAACGTACCACGACAACCACTGTTCTACTGGCATTTGGCCTGAGACATGTGCATTCAGTAAGATGGGCCAAGTACGTATGGCATTGCTCAATCCTACTTAAATGGGTCAGTGGTGAAATTCAAACCAAAGTAACAAGTTATAAAAATTCACTGAAGTAAACAAATAAGATTGTCATGTATATTTATGTAGAAGGCATTGATATATTGCTGAGTTCCATTAATAGACATTCATTTTGTATTAAAAAATATTCATTTGTAGTGATTGCTAATGTGACGTTGTTTATTTCTGAGTTAATTCACTTTCTTGTTGGTTATTCCTATTTTTGCTATTTAAATTTCATCTTATTTTCAAAGTTTTGCATTTAGAATTAAATGACAAGCATAAATGATTTGCATCCGAACATCAGACAGATCATGTACTAATTTAGTAATTGATGCCTGATGAACAGTAAAAAATATAGCATTGCATCGGTATTTTTAACCCTTTGAGTATAACTCACAACTTTCATCGCCACTTCAGTGGGTGATACAAAATCTACTTTTCATTAGTATATTGTGTAATATATATTGTATTTTTAAATGATAAAGAAAAACGATTATTTTGGTTTAACAAATAATTTATGCTATTTTCTACATTTAAGGCTAAGAAAATCGAACCAACCTCCTATAAAAAATATTTGTAAGATCTTTGTTTTGTATTGACTGATCTCATATTAATTGCACGATTATTAATTTAGTCAAATATCTTGTAAGTTATCTTAAATTAGACAAACTTCTATTTCAAATGTGTTCTTGCGTCTTTGTCTCACATTTCCAATGGATATACACGACACAGTTATTCCTAGTTATATTTGAAAAACATATCTCCGTCTTGAAATTGCAGTTTGTGTTAAATTGGCTTTGTAACTTTGAAATTGCGAACAGCAAAAAAAGCACAATTTCTATACCGGCAGATTTGCGGGGTCCTTTTGAGTCATGAATTGATTAACCCTTTCTGTTTTTAGCTCACCTGGCCTAACAGGCCAAATGAGCTTTTCTCATCACTCGGCGTCCGTCGTCCGTCGTCGTCGTTAACTTTTAAAAAAATCTTCTCCTCTGAAACTACTTAGACAAATTTAACCAAACTTGGCCACAGTCATCATTTGGGTATCTAGTTTAAAAAAATGTGTCTGATGACCCCGCTTGCCAACGAACATGGCCGACATGGCTAAAAATAGAACATAGGGTAAAATGCAGTTGTTGGCTTATATCTCTGAAACTAAAGCATTAAGAGCAATTCTGACATGGGGTAAAAATGTTCATCAGGTTGAGATCTATCTGTCCTGAAAATTTCAGACGAATCAGATAACCCGTTGTTGGGTTACTGCCTCTGAATTTGTAATTTTATGTTAATTTTGTAGTTTTTGGTTATTATCTTGAATATTATTATAGATAGAGATAAACTGTAAATAGCAATAATGTTCAGCAAAGTAAGATCTTCAAATAAGTCAGCATGACCAAAATTGTCAATTGACCCCTTAATGAGTTAGTGCCCTTTAAAGTCAATTTTTAACAATTTTTCGAAAATTATGGTAATCTTTTACAAAAATCTTCTCTGAAACTAAATTAAGTATAATGGTTGCATTATTTCATGCATCAATTGTAAACAAAAATATCAGGTGAGCGACACAGGCTCCTTGGAGCCTTTAGTTCCATTCTATTAGAAATATACAACACCTTTATATACTGAAGTGTTACAGTTTAAATATGAATTGAAAAAAGAATACATTGCTTAAGTGATAGATATGGAACTATATGACTTTCTTTGCCCAAATGTTAGAATACCACAAGAATTGTTTTCCTAGATGAAGTAAAGGCTACGCAGTTTAGGTCATTCTATTTATTGTAAAAAATGATTCTCTACTTGAAAAGGTTCAGTTATTAAATATTGAAAATATTTCCGTCCGGATATTAGAATTCAGTTGTAAATAATTTATTAAACCGAAAAAAATAATTGTTTTAATAGGGAGCTGTGGGATTATCTTTCAAACCTTTCGATAGAAATGAACAGATTGACAGACAGTATAAAGGAAGACCCTGACAAGATAGCAATTCAACTGAAAACAGCTCCAGAAAAGAGGTAAGTTAAACGAAACACATTTTGTTATTGAAAATAATTATATACTTGACCTTTTTTTCTCAAAAAGATGAAACAATTTTGATATATTACTTGATTTTTATTCTCACTTGATCTAAAGAGACGAGTAAACGATCAATTTGAATAGATGTTATGTAGAAGACTGCCACACAACCATTTATCTATTTATTTTACAAATGTAATACCTATAAATGAAAGAGTTTTTTTGTTCGTATGTGAGGTCCTAATGAAATATGTTTGTCATTTTAAAGAAAATATTACTAGAATAAGACTATGTGTAATGGATAATTTATGCCTCCATATAAATAATAGATGTGCGGTATACTTCGATGAAGCATTAATAAAAAAAAATCAATAAAACCCGGAAAAACCATCAGTAAAGTATTCAGCATCTCAATTTATAGTAATTATAAAAATAAGAAGATGTGGTATGACATAGTAACTACATATTCATAATAAAACAAATAAATTTATTGGCTAATAAATAGGAGTGTTTCAGTAGAAATCGTCTGTGATAAGCGAATACAAGAACTAAAAATAGTTACCTGATTTGATGTTTTCGTAAGACTTTTGAAGAAAATCAGAATTATTGTAAATGAAATGACCGAGGTCAAATATCATATTTTCCTTTATAGTGGCTCTGCTAGTGCTCCCGATTTTGAGTCTGCTGCATATGGATCAGTACTGTACTTCTTGGATGCAGTTTTGCCATTCCTTGAGACATTTTTTCGGGATTTTTATTATCCTGATCAGTCTACATACAGCAATGAGATAGACGAGACAGACCATATAGCAAAGGCAGTGGTGGTAAACGATTTATTAATTTTGACATCAGAGAAAGATGGGAGATTTGCAAATGTTAATGTTTCTTATCAAAAGAATGATATAACCCTTCAGTATTTCTGTATTCCAAAGACTAAACCTTGGCTTCTAAATTATATATGGAAGAATACAATATCAATGACTTTCATTTGTTAAACGATCATAATGAACTATTTAGGGTGCTCATGCATTTTCATCCTTGTTGCATTGAAGCAACATATTTTCAGAAAGATTTCTTAGAATAATCAATAGCACCTGGCTTAAGATAAAATGTGAATTAATATGAATTTTTTTTTTTTTAATTCAATAAATGATAAAGATATTAGTCTATGTATATATTTTCCAGATGTTTTCAGAAATAGTTGGTCCACTTTTGTTCAAACCACAACATATGAAAAATGTTGTCAACGCAATGACTATAATTGTACCTGCTTCAAATATGCCTAACTCGGTAAGGACTTTACAACTGCAAATACATTATACATATATTAGGACCATTAATTTTTCCATCTTTTTATTTTTTATTTACATCAACTTATATAGCATCTCACACAAGGATTTTCTCAACACCAATAAGAAAGAAAATACTGGACGAGTACAAGAGAGGCAAAGGATACCAAAGAAACATTCAAACTCATAAGTCGAAAACAAACTGACAACGCCATGGCTAAAAACGAAAAAGACAAACAGATCATTATCCCGTCTGTAAAGAGGAATGGCCTATCCCCCTGAATTTGTATCACTAGGGTGGTACCAGAAGACTATGAATCTTATAAGAATGTAAATACCAAAGAGTACGAAACAGAAGATTTGATATGTGTCTACATATATCAGCATAGAATAAAACTTATATCCAGTGCTTCCGTTGTGTGAAGGCAATTTTGATAAAATTTGCACATTTTATATGTTTTTGTAAATTCTTATAGACCTGGTATCTTTTATGAGTTTTTCCATTGTTGAGGCGATATCACTAATTGTGGACATTTCGTTCCCGAGGGAATTCTCGGTTCAGTAGTCAAACTCTTGTAATAGCTGGCATGGAAGATATAAGGATTACAAGTTTAGTACGCCAGACGCGCGTTTCGTCTATTCAAGATCAAACAGTGGCGCTAGATCAAGACAGCTTGAAGACAAGTCAAGTACGAAATTGAAGAGCATTGTGATAACATTGTTCCTAACGGAAATAAAACAAATTTTATACTTCTTACAATCAATTATAACTGAGTAAATTTTTAAAAATAACACTTTTTTCTTCAGAATATTGAACACGTGCTTGGACGTTTTTCATGTGGTATAACAATTGAGGACACCTCGTCTGCAGTTAGAAGGGTATGCATATTTCATATCAAGAGCCAGAAATGCAAAATATTATATGAATACAATTTATGAATAAAAATTCATATCTGGTTTAAAACAAATTATAATTTGCAAAGTATTGTTTCTGATTCAGCGGTGTCAGCTTCCATAACAGCATTTGCATGTGCAATCTATATATAATGCCTCGGAAAAGAATTAATTTTTGGAAGCCGCTTTGTTCATTAATTTAGTTGCAATTATGGTAAAATCAAATACCAGCAAAATCCTTACCCCATAAGATATTGTCAACATGCTTATAAGGATTTCGTTTCAGTAAAGCTCCTTATCGTAAATAACAATACAAATGACAACGATGTATACAGTTGCTTTTGTATTTCCGTTTTATGAAAATGGTTAAATGAAGATAAATCACATGCTATAGTACATGTTAGATAGAAAGTATAAATTAATCACTAAAAACTTGCATTTTAGGGAAACATCAAACATTATACAGATGAGGTAACTTTATTTTGTTTTCCTTTTAAGAAAATTGCGAATTGAAGTTATAAGACATGCTATAGTACACCTTGGGTGAAATGTATAAATTAATGTGCGTATCAAAATTATACCTTTGATAACTATTAATCAGTAAAGACCTGTATTTTAGGGAAACATCGAATATTATACAGATGAGGTAGAAATCAATTATAAATTTAAGCTCTTTGCCAAGAATGCTGCCACTGTATTTGCTGGTCACAATACTGTTTCAGCACAGCTTAAGTTCAAATCTAACAGAGGTAAGCATACTATTATTTTGTAATCAATCAATGTCACTTTGATTCATGTGTTATTTTCAGTGCATTACGTTTTCCTTCTATAATGTGATCCGACAGTGAAGAGTAACAAATATTTTCTATTAGACACGACATTAAAAAAATGAACATAACACCTTATTAATTTCATGCGTCCGTGCGCTTTTCTTGATTTACCTTCATCAGGAACGCTCAAAGCCGAATATTTGAAAGTCAAGGATGTATAAGAACCGAAACAATTGAAGAGCTATCTATATAACCAAAAGGACCTTTAACAATATGCAAATCCATCTTAGGTCAATTATGCCTGAGGGAGTTGAAACATTAGTTTCTTTATAATTTCAAAATTTATAAACGGACAATTTTAGAAAGGTTTTTTAAAAGTCATGTCAGTACTGATTACTGAGCTGATGATACCTTGGGGGCTGATAGGCCACCAGCAATGGTATCGACATATCTATTAAAATGGATCAATGAATCTACGGGTTGTATGTTGATCTACGTTGGTATCATTTGCCAATTAGTGTGTCGCTCTTTTCTACCATTTTTGAATTAGATATACTTCATCCTAACTAAAGTTAAATAACTTGCTTACTTCCATATTCTTTAATTAATCTAACATTTTAATGTAGTCTGGGTAAACATGATTTATGTATTAACTGATATTTGCTTTGAGCTAACTTTCAGTCGGTAATTTGTATCTTTTGTCTTTATGTTCGGTGTTTGTTATGCTTTGTGCCGTTTTGATCAGTGAAGCCATTTCCAATAGATTTTTACAGTTGTTTCTTATGTTGTGCTGTCATACCACTGTCCCAGGCTAGGGCGCGAGTTGAGTGACCATAAACACTTTTAACACCGCCACATGACTGTTCATGATCCCAAGTCAGGAGCTTGTAATTCAGTGGTTGTCGTGAGTTGCTGTCTGTTATATTTACTTTTCGTTTATTGTTTTGTCATGAATCAGGCTGTTTTTTTCTTTTAAATCATTTACATTTTGTCATGTCGGAGCCTTTTACAGCTGACTATACGGTATGAATTGTGTTCATTGTTGACGGATGTATGGTGACATACAATTACTTATATCCTTGACGTTATTTGGACTTTATGTTGGATAGTTGTCTTTTTAGAAATCTTACCAATTTTACATTACTCTTGATAAACGAAACGTTAGAAGTAATCGACAAGGACATTAGAATTTCTGGCGGTATTTTTATAGAAATAATACCGATTCACAGTTTTAAACACAACTCAGCTGCAAATTTTATAATATTGTACTGAAATTCTGTACATAGGTTAATTTCAGGTATCACACAATGCTCGTTACTGTGCTGTGTGCTGTGGATGACGTAGCTATATGAAATATTCTCGGAAATACACCTGCAAATTTTGTTTTTCTTTCTAAATAAAAGTAGATATTGAGTATACCACTCAAATCACATGTGAACCGGAAAATTAATTTACAGGTAGTTAAAGGTTTCAAATACATATGATGTGATATACGGTTAAGTAATCAATTGCAAAAGACGACGGAATTAAAAAAAATATATTTAATGTATTACAGAATTTACTGAATTAGGAGGGAACGAAGAATTACCTTTAGGTGAAGAATTCCAAACCTTAGTAAAAGTTTTCATTGATCTCCGTGAAAAGAAAGCAGAAAAAAGATACGAACTGTTGGCAGTCCTGATAGAGCAACTGCAGTATGTAATCTTTTTAATAGATAAATAAGTTTTGTGTTGAAATGGTAAAATCTATTTAAGCGATCTTTCATTTACATGCTTTTAGAACAGTATTTCATATCACAGTTACACATTCAGAAATTACTAAGAAACTGTAGTTCCAACTCACTCAGGCAAAGTTGCCGAAAGATTAATTTGGCAATTTTTTTGGGTCCCTTTTGATTATATAGTTCTTCATGTGTTTAGGTCTTAGAGATCATTGCCTTTCAAATGTTTGGGTTTTAGCGCTCCTATTGAGGGTGAATCCGGAAAATGCTTCGTTATTTTTATTTATAAGTTATGGTTTATCTTATCCTTCATCTAAATGGAGTACGTGTTTAAACTTTCACATTTGTATGTAGCATTTCAATTGCTGACAAGAGAATGACAGAATCTGCAAGGAATGAGATGGACGAACTTAACATTAAATGTCTACAAATTTTGAGAGCAGCCATTCACAATGAAGAACGGAAAATGGACGAGAATTGGGAAGTTAGGACAGCAGAACATAAAATAGAAAAGTTAGTAATTATCTAAAGATGATCATAGGATTATCGATTATCAATAATTTTTATTTATTGATATTGTATTCTCGTACTAAAATTGTTACTTGCCAAAGAATGTGTCTGTGTCATTTTAAAAGATATGCATTGTTCTTCAATACCAATGCCAGTCGGAGATCCAATCAAAATCAAATAACAGAAACGAGGATCTTTACCAAAGAAGGTATTAATGATAAAAATTTCCAAATGGCATATTTGGATTGAAAACAAATATGTCATTGATCATTCAAAATTCAATTGCCGCATCAGAAGAAATATATATGCTAGGTAAAACATATAAAAACCCAAAACATGTATAGCATCTCGCTTCAGATTCCTTTTTTTTTTAACAGTTTTCTTACAGTTTTGCTAATATATGATTTAGTTACTTTGAAAATTGAAACAAGAGAAGGACCAAATATATTAGTCAAGTAAAATACCTGAGAAATGAATCAATCTATCTGAATGAAACTTTATCCATCTTATATTTTTCGGCAAAACATTTTCTCTAAATAAAATATATATTGCCTTTGTTTTATTTTAGACAATTGAAATGGATAGCGAGCATACAGAACTTTTTCGATCGGAAAGGTTCAATGAGCAAAGGTTTGCCCCATTTGGCGACGAGAAATGAAGATGTGGCAAGAGAAGTCCTAGGATTTCTGTGTGTGTTGTTGTTTAATGCAAATCAAACAGTTCAGGTATATGCTGTACTATATTTTAGAGAAAATTATCGGAAAGGCTAACAAAAACAAACGTCTAGAATGGAAGATGATACAAAGGGGTCATTAAAAAACCATCATAAGTCGATGAAAGACTGGTTAATCCATGACCAAAGGAAAAGATAACAAATAGACCAATATCAATCTATAAAACACTACACACAAAAAAATACAGATCGATCCACACAAACTCAAACAAAAACCGGGGTCGACATCAGGCGCTCCAGGAAGGTCCAACAGCTACCACTTCACTAGTGACATCCGTGTCATTGACGTATACCCCACGTCTACCTTAATGCATATTCTTTATAACTATAACTCTTTCATACTCTGAGAAACTAGAAACACAAGACATTTTTAAATAATTAAAGACTCCATCGAAGAAAATTTATTTAAAAAATTCTAAATTGATGTTTTTATGACATTTTTTTCGTAATGGTTGTATTTTTTTTATATTGTTTTCAAGTACGGACCTTTTAGCTAACAGTCAACTTAAGCACTTTATTTTTTTAGAAATCGATGTTGTCTTATTTCCTTTCAACAAGGGAAGAAGTCTTTTTCATGGCCGTAAGAGATAGGATGGCTCTTTCAACTAATTCTATCAAAGAAAAGTAAGTATATGATTTCTAATTAAGTGACAATAAATGTATTATCAAGCTTTCATTGTTGATGTTCAAAATGAAAGATAAAAATTGTTAGAAGCCTTCAAATCAAGGTGTTAGATGTTTGCTTTTCAATAATAATCACTTTAGAAAGTCAATGTATACCCTAGCATTAAGACGCACGTAATGCATGTTCCCATTGTAATAAGTACACCATTTTTATTGTTTGTTGTTGTACAGGAAACTAGCTCCTACTACTACAAAATCAGACACGAACGGGTCAAGGTATTCATGCACATAGATTTTAGTTTTAAATTATTAGACATATTTATTCTTCTAAATAAGACCATAAGGTACAGGCTATTCAGCACAACTCACCACTTTTTTGGTGTTTCAATTTATGTGCTTTACATGAGTCGTATCGGTTTACCTAACTGGTCCATTTTCATTGTTATGTCGTCTATCTGCTGTTTTACATTTGAGGCTTGGTTCTGTTCGTTTATTTGTCTTTGAATGATCGTTTAAGATTGTTAAATTAAGAAAATTACATATTTGAGAGAAATTAGACGATGCCAATTTCAATAGTCATGATAGACAATAAGACAAGGCCACAAAAAATTAAAAAAATTAAAATTGTTTAACTAGTATTTGTGATTGTTTATAACCACATACATCCGACAAAAATAGCAAATCCTTTTGCACATTTTGTGGCCGTCAAGACAATCCAAATAGCAACTTTGTAACAAATCACAGTCGAGGCGAAAAACGGTAGATTCAGGATACCCTTAGTTTAACAAATCTTTGCTTTGACGATATCATTCAGTCAACCACCAACTTGCAGCGAAAAATTTAAGGTTGAAGAGGAATTTTATATTACGAGTAGCTGATCAACGGGAAAAGTATATGTGCATTATTTAGTGAGACAAAATGAATGATCGAGACTTAATAGGTTACATGTTAAGTTTTCTTTGACAGTGAAAAACATAGATTTTACTAGATTTACATAAATACAAGTACATTTACAAAAACGCGGGATATTTTTGATCGACAATTTATCTGTTGATTTTGATGGATTGATATTTCAGGACAGTCGGTATTTCAATAGGTCTTTTTAAGCACTGTCTATTGACCAACTTGTTTTTATACTCGTATGAAGCAGATGTTTACAGCACCTTCTCAAAGACAAAAAGAAAAAGCATTTAGCCAAGATCTTCCTTTCAGATAAATAACTGTGATGTCCTGCCACTTCTAAACGCCTGTATGTTCAAATAAAATGGAATCCTTTAAATGGAATTCTATGCGACTGTCATACAAGTGAGAGGTTTAGCTAGCTATAAAACCAGGTTTAAACCACCATTTTTTACATAAGGAAATGCCTGTACCAAGTCAGGAAGATGACAGTTGTTTTCTATTCGTTAGATGTGTTTGAGCTTTTGATTTTGCCATTTGATAAGGGACTTTTCGTTTTGAATTTTCATTGGAGTTCGGTATTTTTGTTATTTTAATTTATACAATAACATAATTATGATGAAGTGCCAGAAATTATCACTGCATAGGTTAAATGGTCAATGTTGTTGACCGATACGATCTGTCAATATTTCAACTCACTATGTTTGTCGAGGTCAGATATTTTTAGTTACCACATTTATCGATTTTGTCCTATTCCTTACGTTTGACATTTTGACTGAATGTTAATTGGCATTACAGGTAATGCATACATAGCAGGATACATGGTGGATTAAACCTGGTTTTATAGCTAACTAAAACTCTCACTTGTATGACAGTCGCATATAATTCCATTATATATACAACAATGTGTGAACAAAACAAACAGACATAATATTAAAAAAAGTCAAAAAAAGGGGTGCAGCAGTCAACTCTGTGTTATAATCTTAATCACTATAAAAACAAACAAATATGTCAACAAAGAAAATATAAATTGCATATAGACAAAGCACATAAGCAAAAATGAATGACAAGAATACAAAAAGTGACCATAGCACAATAACTCAATGGCGGTATGTATAAGTACCGAGCCACGCCAAAAGGATATTACCAAAAATGGACTAAACCCAACCATGTAAAAAAGGAATCCATGCACATATTTACATGAATTTAAGAAAATACAAAGAAGACATTTTTTTCTCTGCCAAACATTGATCTTTAATTATTTTTTTAACCTGAACATATTCCCACACGTGTCCCTGCAAACATACAGATAATGTTTAAGTATCAACGTTTAACCTTTAATAAATGTGCAGAAAAAGCTTTTGCTAAACAACAATGTAGTAATTTTGCTATTATCTGCATACAATGTTATTGTTGGCGTCAGGGTTTCATGCTCCTTTGTAATGAATTCCAAAATGTTCGATATTAAGTAAGACAAGATACAATGCGAAAGTTATGTATAGTCACTTCTATGTTCAGATCAATTGTTTTGTTTATATAGGATATTCGCTGTACTGTAAGATGACGTAATCTTCAGAGAAAAAAATAAGCCATTCGACCGCAGTGAAAATTTACATTATTTATATTTAATTATTATAATTATGAAGTAATCTAACTATCAATTGAAAGTTTACAAAAAAGTCAAGTATGAGATGATCCCAAATACATTTCTTTTACTAAAAGGTTCATATATCAATTTACAGAGAAATTATACAGCATAATAATTCGTTTATGAACATTTATCATGATATTTTATTTTCAAAAAGTTGGTTATCGCTTTGCTTTATATCCATCATAAATTGACCCAACACTTTAACTGGCTAGAATAAAACACTTTCACGTTTTTTTTTCTATCAAATTGTATTTATAAACAAAACTTTAACACATTCAGTTATTCGAGTAACCTTAAACATAATTTAAATCTCTGTAGTCACGATAATAATTTATTCTTCATAAAATATAAACAGAAATAAAAGAGAGGCGAAAGATACCAAAGGATAGAACCTTATGATGGGTGCTTTTTGTTTGCTAAAAGTTCTTTGAATAATCACAGATATTATCTAGAACTGTTTTTCACTGTTTAATTTGGTTTTGTTGTCTGTAACATTACGATATTGACCTACATTTTTTATTTCCGAATTCATACTATAGTGATGCATTTCTTAGTTGTGACTGTTTTTTTTCTATTGCTTGTTTAACTTTTGACTGATTGCAGACGTTTATTGGTTTCTTTTCAAGTTAATTGCGTATTTGGGTTTTTAAGGACAATTTAGAAATTGATATACAGTGTTGGTACCATTTCGATGTGGAAAGATATATGACCACCTTCATATACTTTTTGATTATCTTGTTGTTTTGTTGATGTATCATTAACCGTTTACCCCATGTCATGAAAAGGATTTATAGATTGAACAATTACATATATTTTTGCAGTGTACAGATAGCCAGGAGGTTCGTGAGTTAATCGTTGAATTGTTTTGAATGAACAGATTGTTCCACCTGATTAAAATTGAATGAGATATAAATCCTAAAATTTAGGAAATTCTATTAAGATATGACATATAAAAGTTTAGGCATAATGTCTTTTAATGAATCAAGTTGGACAATGCATGCAACTTTCATACTTGATTAGAGAATGACCTATGAAATGAATGAAATTTCGTTTGTGCAAAGTTAAGATTATGATTAAGAACCAGTATAAAATTTCAATAACATAGGATTCAAAATAATATCAATGGACAGAATAGTATCTATGACATAAAATATACAAGGTTCTTATGAATAATCATTTGGAAAAGAATTAAAGAAGCATGGGTGATTTTTATTTTAGTGTCATCGTCTTTGCGGTGGGTTTTACTCGACAGTTGCACTTTCATTTAAACAAAAACAGAACACTCATTGTTTATGTTTAATAACAGAAAGTAAATCTAAGACAAAGTGCTCGAACATGCAAAATCATGTCTCTAGATTTATTTAAGTTATTACCTGTTTAGTCTTTTACTGACAAAATTACTGCATGCCAAGTTGTCTTCATGAAGCTTACTTGAAATATTAATTCTTGAAATGGTCATAGTATTCTATTTTGTTTTACAATAATCTTAGTAATATTATTACATAATTTTGATAACATTTATTATACTTGTAGAAAATCATTATTTTTTTAAGAACAGCTATATATTGATCATCGGGCTCATATTTGTATTAGTCTCCTGTTTTATGCCAATTTTATTTTTATAATTATGTAGTGTATGTTCGATAAGCATCGTTAGGCTGATATTTGTCTGATTTGTACACGTCTGTCATGTGTGTTGTTTTGTCTCTTAATTTCCATTGTCCAAGCTAACAGTTTAAGTAAATATGTGTATGGCTGTGTGGGTGTGTGTGTGTTCATGGTAATATTATTATCTGACACATTATTATTTCCTGACTTTATACCAAGAACTTACCCTCTTTTTCCTACTATTTCAAATATTATGTCATTTTACAAAAATGCGCATTTATGTGAGCCATTATTTAAGGAATACAGAACTTGTTTTAACTTTTGTACATTAAGTAGTAAAGAAAACATGTGATCAATACAATAAGAGTGGAAAATATTATACATACTCAACGTTAACTATTTTGTTTTAAATTAAATCATATGATTTAATGAGTAATGACTTTACTTTTACCTAGTATTCATATCACTTGTTTAAATTTGAAGTAAAATACAGAATCCTGTTTAAGGTGGCAGTACATTGTAAAATAAAGAAACTGACGAGTCGAAGAAGACCTATCACCAATATATGTAAATAAACGAATTATTGTTTTCTGTATGTTTATTTATGTAAAGCATTGAATACATTAATCTTTTATTTTTGAAGACGTTCACTGAACTCGCAGCAATCTCAAAGAAAAAAAGAAACATCAAAGACAACGGGGAAAATATCAGAAGATTCCTTCCCTGTATCCAGATTGGCTCTGAAGGTAGGTGCTATATGTTTCATTAATTTATTGGATTATTTTAATTAATATTTAATTTTTCAAGTACTTTTAATTGGTTTTGAAATGAACACAACAGTAGATCCCCGATGAACCTGTTTTGATATACAAATCAAGATAACAAACCGAATTGAATGAACTATTAACGTAGCGACCAGGTGCTTCGACAGGGTAAATGTCTCGAAGCACCTGATATTACCCCCAGTTTTTGGTGGGGTTCGTGTTGCTCATCAGTCTTTAGTTTTCTATATTGTGTTTTGTGTAATGTTGTTTGTCTGTGGGTCTTTTTCTTTTTAAGCCATGGCGTTGTCAGTTTATTTTCGACTTATGAGGTTGAATGCCCTTTTGGTATCTTTTGCCACTCTTTTAATATGCATGCATCACACACCATGCGAATCAGATTCGGTCGAAATTTACATTAAGGTTGATACAATTTCGAAAATATAGAATACGACTAACCTTTTGGTAACTTCTGCCTCTCACAAATACAAATGGCAACAACTTCGGTTTTGGTATGTTGAAGACCACTTATCTGTAAATGTAAATGAACTAATTGTTTGTTTTGTGTATATTCATTTAAGATAAAATTGGAACTATCCCTTATTTGTTGTAGAAGTCCTTCATATATATCTATTTTTTTTAAATATATATTAAAACATTTTCATTTACTATGCCATTTGTTGTAGCAAATTCAAGCGTATGAAGATACTCTGCGACAGCAGAGATTGGCAGGCTGGGTATGTATTAGGTTGAAATAAACCCCCGCACTTTATATTGAGTAATATTACTCATTGCAAAGAATAAAAATTCTTCATGTGCCATAATATGAAAAAAAACGTTATGCTGTCAGCAATACAAAATTTAGTAGTGATTCACCAATTAATTACAGTTGTAATGATTAGAATTTTCATTTAAAGTTCACTGTTCTCTTGCATTTTAATTCATGTTCTGTCTAATATTTTCCTATAAACCTGTTCATGAACGCAACAAAAACATTTTTCAGTCGGTCAAAAGAAAAACATCGAGTAAGAAACCTAAAAAGAAAAAGAAGCAAAAGAAACCGAAAGAAAGAAAACCGAAACCTGCAATTAAAGTAAAAGATTCATCTATAAATGGAATAAAAAAGGAAGTCACGTTTGTAAACCCAGCTCGGAAGGAAAAGCAAGCTTTAATTGCACAAAATGGACCAAACTCCGTAGCAATCAAGATACTAGAAGTAAGTTTGTACAAAAAATGTTTTTCGGTCTGTGTGTCTGTCCGTTCGTCCGTCCGTCCGTCCGTCTGTCCCGCTTCAGGTTAAAGTTTTCGGTCAAGGTAGCTTTCGATGAAGTTGATATCCAATCAACTTGAAACTTAGTACACATGTTCCCTATGATATGATCTTTCTAATTTTAATGCCAAATTTTGACCCCAATTTCACGGTCCACTGAACATCGAAAATGATAGTGCGAGTGGGGCATCCGTGTACTATGGACACATTCTTGTTTTCCTTTGATTTCCATATTCACAATATCCTATAATTTCACAAAAACTTATAACTGTTTATACTTTTAAATCATTTGACCCAAATGGCCATACGTGTTCTTCTCATCACTTGGCGTCCAGCGTCCGTCGTCGTCTGTTAAGTTTTAGAAAAATCTTCTCTGAAACTACTAGGCCATTCGGAACTAAAGTTAACCACAATCCTCCTCTGAATATCTAGTTTTAAAATGTGTCCGATGATCTCCAATATTACCCAATATTTTGGAATTTTGGAATTTTGGATAAGGTGATACTTTAAATGGCAAAAAGGATCAGCATGAAAGATAAGTAAAATAGTCGAAATTTTACCCATTTTTATATCATTTGTGGGAATAATAGCTGACAGAGAGAAAAATATAATCAACAGGATACGATCAACAAATAAGGCAACATACACAAAGTCGTATGGTGACTCCTTATATCAGATATTGCCCCTGAAAGACGATTTTTTTCAATTTTTTTGTTTTTTTGTTTTTGTGTGGAAACTAAAGTAGATAGAGAGAAACTATGAAAATGCAAAAATAATCAGCAAGACAAGAGCTTTAAATAAGTCTAAGGGAAAGATCTCCATTTAACTCCTCATAGGAGTTATTGGGGTTGATAGACCATTTATACCTTTTTGTGTTTTTAGCGAAAACTATAGAAGATTCAGAAAAACTGTATACAACAAAAAAAGATCAACAGGACAAGATCTACAAATAATATAAAAATAACAAGATGTGGTATAATTGCCAACAAGACAACTCTCCACAAGAGACCACAGAAATTAACAACTAAAGATCTATAGACCGTACGGCCTTCAACAATGAGCAAAAACTTTACATATCAAAATATGAAGTAATCAACAGGACAAGATCAACAAATAAGTTAGAAAATATCATTTGACTCCTTGTAGGAGTTGTTGTCGTTGAAAGACTGATTCGTGTTTTAGCAGATACTATAATAGAAAGAGAGAGACTGTAAGTAACAAAACGATGAGCAGGACAAGATCTACAAATAAGTCATACATGGCTGAAATTGTCAGTCAAACAAGAGTTTTACCCATTTTTGTGTTTTGTGTGGGAACTAAGTAAATAGAGAGTAACTGTTGACAGCGAAATGATCATCAGAACAATTTCTATAAATAAGTCTACAAGGCTGAATCTTTCATTTGACTCCGTGTAAAAGAATTTTTTGCCGTTGAAAGACGATTTTACCTTTTTGTGTTTTTGTCGAAACGATAGTTATAAGATAGAAACTATTTACAGCACAAGTAATAAGCAGGACAAGATCTACTTGTAAACCAACATGGTTCAACTCTTTATAAGAATTCCCCTTGAATGACAAAAAAATTTACCCATTTGTTCGATTTTTGCTAATAACTTTTTATTAAATATTTGTATTGCATTATATCAATGTTATGAAAAATGCAATGTGAGCGGTACAGACTACGTGGAGTCTTTATTTTTTCTACTTATGTTCCATGTTTGCATAATTAAATACATAAATAACAAGTAAAAGAGTGAAAAGGACCTAACCCGATTAGGAAAAAAATTAACACCATCCACGCGGAACTTCTATATTGTAGTTATCAAACAACTATTCAATGTGTTATATGTTTACTATTTCCTACATTTCGTCGAGTGATGTTAAAATCACTTTGTTCTGTTTTGAATACGCGCGTTCACCACGATTTTGGTAGATCACAGGGGCCAACTCAGATAAAGTCAAACGTGAATTTTTTTAAAAAAGTATATGTAACTCCTCTCCCTAATTAGTATTATTTTAAAAATAAACCAATTATTGATCGATAGGGCGTCCAAATATGTGTCTCGACATATACGTGTTATGCATAGCGCTGGAGTACGCTAAGTAACCATTTATTTATGAAATGAATTTTTTTTCAATATATCGATGTAAATTTACCTTCTCCAATTATAGGATTCTGAACCTGAAGAAATTGAAGAAAAACCTGTATCAATATCGGAAGGGCCTGAGTACAGACATGATGGTTATATTGAGCTTGTCCTGAAAGTAATGGCCAGAATGTGTGATGGTCAAAACCATGATTTACAGGTATCTGGTGCAGTAAAAATTGTTGTCGTGTATGTTATTACTACCACTGGGTCGATATCTCTACTGATGGACTGTTAGTCCCTGAGGAGATCACCAACCCAATGGCTAGGACTTCGTTACTGGCTTTAAAAGATGAATATTGTTTGATTTGCTGTTATGAAATTTATAAATCATTTTAAGTTCAGGAATATATCTCCCTCATTCAAAGCTCTGATTCCTTATTCGGATTTTGATATAAGTATGGTCCTTTTTGGTTTGATTAGCGCTTCGATGTTTGTATGAGGTTTTGAAATTTCAAATATTTTGGCCTAGAGCATTACTGAAGAGACATTAATTGTCGAAATGCGCATCTGGTGCAGTGTAAAATTGGTACCGTTTATGTTATTACAAAAGAAATTTGACTTTTCCTTCTCATAATCTTAGGTTAAATCTGAATTCGTGAAGCTACCGTTCTAATAGGGTGAACATTGCTCATTTGATTCAATAAATAATTCCATACATGTTAATACCGTACATGAAAATAGCATAATTTCTGTGTCTTTATTTTTTCGCCCAAAATTCTTTATACTTTAACACTCCATTATTCACTATTCTGTAAACTACATCCAGATTCAATGAAGAACGCTTACTTTAGCTGTATTTGACAAAACTTTTAGGATTTTTGGCTCCTCAATGGTCTTCAACTCGTACTTAATTTGGCCTTATTAACTTTTTTTATTTGTGCGTCCCTGATGAGTTTTTTAGACAAAACGGGCGTCTGGCCTACAAAATTTCAATCCTGGTGTTTATATAAAACAAATATATGAATACAGCCCCCGAAGATTCAATTTTACCAGTATACAAAATATTTTCATAATTAAAACAACCATTGTTGGTATTTAGCAAAGACCATTGAGATATTATGCCATGGACATTGAATTTCCTCGCCAGTCTATAACATTTGTAATACAGGATCAATGCTTATGGAAACAACACTAACTTTTGGTATTAAAAAAAACCTGATTATGCAATTTATCATATCTAGGAAAATGCATACAATGATTTTCAATCATATGCCGATAAACCTGGAGAGAAGACAGACAAATCATTTCTTATACATTCCTCATTAATTTGGACAAAACTTTTGAAGTTTGCAGTTCAATAACAACTACATTACAATGCATATATTCTCTATTACATGTAGCCTGCCAAGTTATTCACATATCCTTTACAACTTTAAATCTTAAAAATCTCAATATTTCCATCACAGGGCTTATTTAGCTATGCGATAGAAAGAAATATAAATTTATACTTACCATTCGAATGAGATATCACGGAGGAGACTTTATCGTTTTCAATGCTTTGACAGTTTTCTCTCTCTTAAACTTTTGCAGGATTATCTCAGAGAACAGCCTGATAATGTGAAATCTTTTAATATAATCGCAGAAGTTACAAGATTTTTAAATGTTGTATATTCCAATATCAATTTTAAGAGCATTGATTTGGTTATTCAGCTGTTCAATACGATGAATGAGTTCACTGCTGTAAGTATTATAGTTTTAATACTTTTATTTTTTATAAAAACAACGGATGCACCTTACGGATAAAAAGCTGTGGAAAAATGACCATAACAATAAAGTCAATTTTAGACTGTACATGTATTGTTTGTACTTATTTCTTTTGTGTTGATAATTTTAGACATATCGTTAGATTTCTGTATGATAAGAGCCGCAAGATCGGTGTTATTCATGAAGCAGGACAAGCTTACCCTTGTGAAGCAACCGGCCCAAAAACCATGCTTTAATGAATCTGTATTATTAATTTCATACTTGTCATTTCTTCCTTTTGGGAATGGGTCGTCTTTTCTTCTACTATTAATTGTTTTATTGCCTTTTGTTATTTTCTTACTTTTCTTTAAAATCACAAAATATCCGTAAAGACCGAAATATCATCGGAGATATTCATTAACATGGAAACATGAATTATAGAAAATCCATCAGAAAATAAAAAGACATAAACATTATCCCCAATCGATACTGGGTAAATGTAATTTAAAAACAAAAACAAAAGGATGTTCATGTGTATGAGGATTCATACTTCAGCAGGTAAAAGAGCTGGATACTTTATACCTTGTATTTACGGATTTTCCGATTATATCCTATTCCCCATCGTGACAAAAACAAAAGGATGTTAATGTGTATGAGGATTCATACTTCAGTAGGTAAAAGAGATGGATATTTTATATCTTGTATTCACGAATTTACAGATTATGTCCTATTCCCCATTATGATTTTTTGACTCAGTGTCGATTCTCATGGAGGGTATTGCATGCATAGCAGGAGATGCTTACTCTACCAAAGCACATGGTCTCCCATTTTTTGGAGATTCCCCTAAGTTCTCTTTTTACCTTGATTTGTATCTTCTCGGTGAATTTATGAGATTTAAACATTACTAAACTACTTAAGCCTCTAAGTGTTGTTATTAAAGAAATATGTGTTGTGTGCATGGAATGCATACCATTCACCGTCTGAATCTGATTATAAATAAAGTAATAACAAATACCTATTTCTTTGTTCCAGGGTAATCAAGAAAACAGAATTGTCATTTATGACAACAAGATTATAGATTATATAAATTTCATTCTTAGGGCTGGTGATTTTGAATCATGCACTACAGAAAAGGTATTTATCTTTTTATTTTGAAGGTTTGTGTTAATAATGGGTATGCTATCCAAAATAATTTTGAAATCTCTACCAAACTTTTAAATATTAAAACTTTTAATATATTTTCGTCTGTAGTCTTTTCAAATCTCAGAAATATTTGATACTGGATTGGGCTATTAAGCTTAAACAAATGTAAGTAAGAATCTGATTAGCCTTGGTGATTTAATAATATATACTGTTTTATTGTTCAGTAGGTTGTTATGGTCAAGAACCAAGTTCAATTAGATGAGTTTTCTTTATTAGCCTTTAAGCTTTAAGCAAATAATTATTTTTCATCCTTTTCTGGGTACATGAATTTTTGTCTGTTATTCTAAACTGAATTGATTCTGATATTCTAATTTTATTAACCGCTTCGGTGGTTAATTGCTAGCGTGCTCGTGTCAAACAAAAGTCTTTGAAATTGGACTCAATGCCTTTGCTTCTCCACGAAACACGCGGCATTAAGAGGTGAAAGCAAATAATGGTCGGCTCGGAGTCAGAATAGTGTGTCCGTGTAAGGAGTCATGTCTTCCTGCGTACTGTTACTTTGTACAAAAGAACGTTAAAGTTACGTCTCAGCGTGTCGGTCTAGTACAAAGCAGGGACCATATTCATATTGCATTTACATGTTCTTGTTTCTCCTGGATGTGCATTTAAAGTGCCGCTGGACATTGAAAAGCCATCCATTATTATCATTGTCAAATTTCTTTAACATAATATTTATAAAAGTTTCTTGTGTTAGTTTCTAGAAATTGGGAATTGTTGCAGCTGAGTATTGAATCTTCATTTTTGACTATTTTAACTCTAGTGCCACTGATGAGCATGATATGGAGGAAACGCGCGTCTGGCGTGCCAAATTAAAAGTCTGATATCTTTCACTGGTTTTTACGCTTTATTCAATCTTTATCTAAATTACATTTAAATCTTTGTTTAAGAAAACATTGCATGCACATACATGAATTGATATTCAGAGATACATTTGTATATTTTGTAGATCCTTTTACTCAGAGAGAGTATAGCAAATCTAATTCTCTCTTTAATTGAAGAAAATGGACCAGGGGCTTCAGAAGTCAGTCTGGTTAGTATTAAGGTGAAAGTGTCGGATATGGATATTTGTGATTCTCAGCAATAATGGTAACTACATGGAAAGAAAAAAACACTTGTTTGAATATTTTCACTGTTTCCTAGTAGATGAAAATAAAGTTCTGTGAAAAGAAATATGTAGTATTTTCCTTGGTATGGCGTTTTCTCAAAGTGTATCGTCTAATTATCATAGTTGTTTTGGTATTATGCTTTATGCAGTTTATTTTTGTCATGGGAGGGGAATTTTCTGTACGGTTGTTAACATGTTATTGTGTACCATTGTCCATATGTTCGTCCATACATTTTACGTTATGTGTTATATTTTAGATTTGGTGCAACTGAGTATCTCAAATGTAACATAAACAAATTTTGGTCTTTTTTAAGAGGTGTTGTCTCTTTTACTGTTATTTGGTGTGGACTTATTGTGCATTCATGCCTAAGCAAATATGAGATTTAGTAGCCCATTCCGTTTTCCAAAAATGAAAACAGATAGTTCGTGCTTAAGTGTCAAAACAAAATAGTACAATAAAGGAACTATCAGCAATGAAATGACATGAAAAAAGTCAAAGTTTCAGTTTTATGTTATGCCTTTACATTTTAATATACAGGAGGTCAAAGATACGTTAGACAAAGTTGCTGTCCTCCAGTTAATGCAAGAATGCTATGAAGTCCATGAACCAGACAAAAAGAAAATTGCAGAATTGAAAAGCATAATGTTGGATGAACCTATAGCTCCCAAATCAAAAATGAAATCATTTTCCAAAATCGGTGGTTCATTACTTCAGAAGGTGAAAGTAAGTTTATCAACGTCAATATGGAACCTATTACCTTTTTTCTTAAGTATCATCTTTTTTATTATATTATGATGGGCTATCGGTCCATTCGTCTCAATGTATATATTAACGACCAAAGCTTATATGTCTCATACATGGAGACATTATTTTCAAATATGTTTTAATCAGCTGACAAATACAAAGAACTCTTTTTCTTGTGAAAAAAATAGATCCATGCAATTTATTTTAGCCCAACAGCCGATTTATATTGTCTGAAGGAAAAAATCAAATACTTTAGATTTATTATTAAAGTAAACTGCGAGATTACAAGGTGAGCTCGGTTGTTCCGGAATGGTCAGCAGTTCCTGATCCACTAGTTACAACCATCGTGTTACTTTTGCTAAAATACATTGATGAGTTATATCCAGTAATCTTACCATAGTGTATTGATAAATGTATCCTAATCTACCTAAGTCACACACAATAACAAGAGCAACACTATACTTGAAATTAATTTCATTGCGTAAAATTATCTGAAGTGAAAATATTAAAAAAACTTTATGAACTATTTGACATAGTAAAACAATTTATTATGCTTTCATTTTAATTCCAGGGTAAACAATTGGATGAACTGGCAGATGCATATATGGATGTTGGTTTTCGGTTTTATCTTATATTTAACCGAATGATTGATGTTGACCCAAAACTATTGAACAATCCAAAATGTGAGTGATCTGTACCAAATTAAGACCTTTAAAATTAGATGCATTTCTTTCTACTGCTCTGAAAGACGAGTATATACAGTATGTTCATATGTACATTCTTTCCTTGAAATTTCTCAGGAACTACAAATCAGAGTTTCCGGAAATGCAACACAAGGGTCATTTTCACATTCACCACTGATCAAATTAATGTTGACCGAGTCTGTTTATATATTCTTACTTATAAATGGCCTTGTATGAAACTTTTGTCTCATCAATCGCCGGAACTACACATTACAGCTTACTGAAATTTGTTATCTGGTTTTATGTGAACGTGCTATACCATATGGTGCATTTGTTCAACTATCTGTTTAACGAATACTTACTGCGGAGGTTTTGTAGGAGAGCAATATCTCACAGTTCAATTTGTTTTTGTTGCTATTCAGAGAATACATTTTTTACTGCATACATTGAATTCGCATGAAAGATGCCATTATTATTGTTTTATTCTGCCCAAAAAGCTTTTAATTTTAAATTGTATAGTTGTTTTTCTTATAGGAGTGACATTACAAAAATTATATAAACAAATAAGTTACGTTCTAGTTTTATGGAAGAAGCTCCATCAACGACTAATTTGTATACAAAGAAATAATTGGATTAAGTTAATCGTGGATTTTACTATGAATAATGATTTACTTTATGCTAATTTATAAGTTATCGTTTTCAGTGAAAATGAATCCTATAGAGCAACGGGCTTTTACGTTTTACAAAAAGAATTGTATGTCGATAGAAATTGTTAAAGACGACGAACTTCAGAAAGTCAACTTTAGAGTTAAAAACAAGGTATTCATTTTAACCTTTTCTGTATAATATATAAAGGAGTGAACGTAGAACGTTTTATTCTGCATTTTTCTTCATTCTAGTAATAGCGATGATTTAGTATTGTGAATAAACTCTAAACTCATCATAGATACTAGGATTGAAGTTTTGTACGCCAGACGCGACTTTCGTCTATAAAAGACTCATCAGTGACGCTCGAATAAAAAAAGATAAAAAGGCCAAATAAAGGTCGCATTTGAAGACTTAATTCTTACATTTCTCTAGTTTTCGTTCGAATTCTACGGGATTTTAACATCGGTAGACTACTGTTGTCTCTTACGTATGCTATCAATGACGAAAGAGTATCATATAAAGCGTTGTTCGGTGAACACTTTCAGTAACTAGTAATATTCGTCTCGATCTTGTTTTGTAAATGACATAGTAAGTTCCATGTACTTGGAAGGTTTTATTTGAAATTTCCTTGAAGTTATTCAGAAGCAGAAAGAATCAGAACTTCTGACAGCTTAATATTGCGGTTTTTTTATGTTACTACCTCCATATACCTGAAATAATCACTCTTTCATTTAAAACATTAACTAATCAATCAATAGTCCTTTTAAAAAACGATGTTTAAAGCTATTTTGAGTTTGCATTTTCAATACGACAATGCAAAGGACATTCATTTGTTTATAGAGAGTATTGAGAGAAGAAGTCAAAGAAAATTTGAAATGGAATGTGGATCGATCTTCACCAAGCAACAAAATTCGCGACCTGATGGGCTGGACAAAGGACATAATGAAGGATATTATATACCAAAGGACAATACTTAGTAACCCAATAGCTATAGGTTTAACTAAGGGTTGGTAAGTTGTCTCTTAATCACTTTTATATGTGAATTAATCACGAATAGAACATATTAAACACAATTGAATGACAATTTTGAATATTTTACATTTATACTTGAACTTAGTTGCGTTTAGAGAGAGAAAAATACGAAATGTATCAAGTAAATTTTTATGCTGGAAAAACTGTCAGAGGAAACAATTGAGTGCTTTTAAATACAACTTTTGTCGTTTTTATAGGCTTGTATGGAACCATTTAGTAACTGCCATCAGTTTTGTTATAAATATATTAATGCTAGTCACGTGGCAGGCTAAAGGATCACTGGGAGTTCCAGCAAAAATAAAGGATAATACTACAGATATATCCTTAGCAGTTTATGAGTAAGTGGAGCTAGAAATCATTGAAATGTTTTATGCTATATTGTCAGTCATGGTAATTGTTGTAAAGTATAGTTTTATATTTCACAATATATATAAAATAATATAATGCAATGAAAATCGTATGTTAATACTTTAAACATTGTCATTCTTATGTCACGATGAATTTTATCTGAAATTCAGCTGGTTTTAAGTTCAAATTAAATATATAAAAATAATTGTGTCTTTAGCCAGTCTGGAATACTTGCAAAATTAAAAGTCACAAGTATGCTTAGGTCTGGTAAATCGTTGATTTTGTTCCGTTCTTATTCTTTTTCTACTTACTGTTCATCTTCTTGTTTCTCGTACCTGAAATTGTCTGCTGTAGTTCTAAGAAACCACACGTCAGATGTACTTGGTGTGTTATGCCAGGCAATAGGTTAAACGCGAGAAAGAAGACGTAGATACTCTTTCTGAATGGATTAAGGCTGTGAGGTCGTTGATACAAATCAGAATTAAAGAAAAACTTAATGGGTCTATAAACACAAGCGGATTTTTGTAAAAACATTGAAATCTTCTTTACATGGGTACATAAGTATGTTCTGAATTGGTATAACAATTGTTTGGAAATAATTAACTTTTATCAAAGTTTCATGATTCTAGAAAAAAAACGGGTCATTTTGCTGTATATTTATCTAATTTTAAAAAATTTCATCAGTGACTTTTTCATAAAAATTGGTATAAATAATCTTCAGGACTTGATCTAAAAGTAGGAACATCATATTAAGTATTCTCAAAAAATTGTGGTATAAAAAGTGGGGACGGTCAATAGCTTAACATAATGTTTTGTATACTTTTGTCCATCGATGAAGTCCGTCTGTTGCTTATTTTATCCCAAAATATACCTAAGAGGTATTTTTATCGTTCGGCTTCTGTCCCATTGACTTTATACGTGCAATATCTCCAATCATTCAAATCCTCCGGATCAAAGTGGGTGCCATGTTGCCCATTTAGGTGCTTTGTATATAGAAATAAGAAGATGAGGTACAATCTATCCACCAAAGTTCAAATGAAGTGGATGTAAGCAATTACAGGCAACCGTAAGGCCTTCAACAATGAGAAAAACCCATACCGTATAGTCGGCTATAAATGGTCCCGATTGACGATTAAGCGTGTTTGTTTCTTAAAGACAAATTAATAAATTCATACCCTTCCTCGATTTAAATGACTTTTTAATTATAACAGAAGGTACAATATCATAACATCAATTTTATAAAAAGCTTGGAAATTTTAGTGACCCAAACAGATATTTGACACACTCTAAGTCTTCCCCTTTTTTACGAATCCAAAATTCAAGGATCCCTTATTTTTTTAACTATCTGAATGAAAGTTTGTCTTATAGTTAATTGTGTTTTTCACTGTTGATTCGTTGCTGTCTTGTGGACGAATACATGTAATCTTCGTGTAATCATCAATCATATTAATGGCTATATTTCGGGTAATTCAAATACTCGTTTCTTGGCATAGAAACAAGTTTTCGTTAATCTGAGCATGGAACGAATACTTTATATCACGGACTATAAATGTGGATACAAAAAAATGAAAAACTAAGCGAAATTGTAAATCCCGCAATGCATGAACAAATATGTTGTATTTTAGTAAATAACACGTGTTCTCGGTTGATCGTAAATATGTAGTAGTCCATCATGCATTGTTACTCATTTAATGGATTGGTCAAAAACTCAGGTAAAAAAAAATTGCGTCATACGTAAATAGACAATTACATGTGCGAGTATGCTAATTTATGCATATCCATATAAGGTAGTGTTCCCGACCTGTTTAACTCATGATTGGTCAGTTCTAGTATCAACTATAAGGACTATGCAGTACTTTTATGTATGACATACACAAACAAAGCACATAAAGACAATGAAATACAGTTCAGTGTTTAAAAAGTTTTGGCTGCTGGATCAAATTTATTGTCACATTAACCTATTATGTCTGTTTGGGTTGCTCACCCAATTTTGTCAATATATCGGAACTATAAACAACTGTCATACAAGTGGATGTTTAGCTAGGTTTAGGAAAATGCCTGTTTCAAGTCAGGAATATGGCAGTTGTTTTTCACTCGTTCCGTTGGTTGATACCGTTTGATTTTGTCAGTTTTTGTGGACTTCTCTTTTTTTGAATTTACCTTGGAATTTCGGTATTTTGTTATACGTTTTTTTCAAGGTGAACATTGAATTCCTATATTTGTGTAGAAAAGGCTTTTAATCTGGTTGAGTTATTTTCTAATAGACCCCCCACCCCCACCCCGCACCGCCATCTCCTTGAATGCATAGAATATATCAATGGTGTAAACAATAACCATGGTCGTATGAATCATGAGAAAATGTTATATACTGATTAATTCAATAAAAGTGAAATTAAGAGAAAATAGAAAATGACCCTGTTATATACATAAATATGTTTTCAAAGTGCCATGCATAGCCATGTTGCGCGAGTTACTTTGTAGTATTTTGAAAATGGATGAAATTTCTACCCCAAGATATATTTTTTTTTGGTTTCACATGTCATGATGAATTGAATTATAAATATGGTGAATCCCCAGGAGACATCCCCAACGCTTGATATCGAATTGTTTGATTGATTGTCGGTGTTGAGAGTTACTTGCAGCGCTCTGGCCATTTTAGAATGTTTAGATATATTGAAAATGGATGAGATTCCAATTCCTAAACCAATATTTTCTTGTTTAACATGTCAAGATGGATTGAATGATACATAGTGAGAAGTTTCATGAGTAATCCAGACCACCTGACATTTGATAATGTTAAAATAATGTATAGATATTTAAAACACCCAACCCGTATGCATATATTTTCATTTTTCCCGTATCAAGAAGAATAAAAATATAAATCTCTAATTGGTAAGTCATCAGGGGTCATTTATTTCCGTCAACCGTTGGAGGATGTTCAAATATATTGAAAATTGTTAAGATCCCTACTCCTAGTTCCTATTTTTATCTTGCTTCTCGTGCTAGGCACAAAAATTCATCAAGGATACCAGAACTTAGTTACTCAAAACAGTTGACCAATGAATTGTCCACTGGATAAGTTACACCGATTTCAACATGACTAATTCTATAAAAGTTAACAATTATACAGTGGATAAAAGTTTCAAGCAACCCAGTATAGTCTTCTAAAAGAGAGGCGAAAGATACCAAAGGGACATTCAAACTCATAAGTCGAAAAATAGACCGACAACGCCATGGCTAAAAAAGAAAAAGAACCAACAGAAAAACAACAGTACACAAAACACAACATAGAAAACTAAACACTGAGTAATTGGTACACCAGACGTGCATTTCAGTGGCGCTCGAAACAAAAGAGTTAAAATATCAAATAAATACGAAGTTGGAGAATATTGGAAACCAAAATTTCCGAAAGGTACCAAACAGGACGAGTTAGATCCAAGGTTTCATTTCTTTCCCTACCTCTTCGAGAATGTTCGAACATGTTCGAATAAAGTTGAGAAACCCAACCCCAAAACTGTTTTTTATTTTGATTTTAGCACTGTAAGCTCTTAAATGGATGACTTATAAGTACTTGTTTGAGAGAATTCATAATCCTTAGATTATAATCATATTTATTCTTTTTTATAGTCCTACTCCAGATATAGCAGTCTTAAGTCTAGAGCAGTATGATATAGCAATTTATGTTCTTGGAGGAACTCATAACTTCCTATGTGTACTGATCCTAATTAGTTATTTTGTTGGAAATCACCCACGTCTACCGAAAATCAAGACAACTGTCGAGTCAATTAAGTAAGTACGAGGTTTCTATATCGACTCATATCTATCAATCATGCATTGAATTTTCATACAGTTATTTCTGAAAGCTTTTCGTTCGTTTCCTTACTGACTAAAGTTAATTGTTGATCATGAATAAATGCAATGGTTGAAAGACTGTCATGTTTCACTTACAGGTCCATATAAATTGTGTAAATAAATATTCGAATCGTCCACATTAGATCCACCCAGAAAGTGAAATGACATATTGATTTGAACAAAAACATATTTTTACACGACTGCAATAACATGACGTGTAGATAACAAACTATACTCCAAAATGAAAAAATAAAGATTTTTAATAGTAATCTCTGATTGAGAAGTCAACATCAATTAAAAATTAGCAATAACAATGTACAAGCTAGCTATACTAACCTTATAGGCAGACCTTCAGTAGAAAAAAGAAAGATGATGATCAAGAGGAAGACGCCAAGAAACCACATCAGTCCAAACTCGATGCCAAGTTATTGAGCTTTACAACATTCTACTATTTGGTATGTCTTGATAACATATATTTATATATTTGTTCCAATTTAATGCACCAGATACGTATTTCAACAATTAATGTCTTTTCAGTGATGCTATAGGTTTAAAATATTTGAAAATAAAAAACCTAATACAAAACTTTTAAGACCTGATATGACCGAAAAGGACATCGAATAAGAGCTATGCATGAGGGAGATATATTCCGAAATTTAAAAAGTAAATAAAACAAATACAGTGAAAAAAAAGATCCAGCAATAATATGTTTTGGGGGAAATCTGACTTTTTTTTTCCAAAAAAAGATAGCAAGAGAGCAATCACTAATGACATTATAGTATTTGTCATTTGTATGTTTTGCTTATATAAGAAAGGAGAAAGATACTAAAAGGACAATCAAACTCATAAGTGGAAAATAAACTGACAACGTCATGGCAAAGGAGAAAAAGACCAAAAGACAAACAACAGTATAAAAAACAGCATAGAAAACTAAAGACTGAGCAACACAAACCCCATCAAAAATTGAGGGTGATCTCAGCTGCTCCAGAATGGTAAGTAGATCCTACTCCACATGTGGCACCCGTTATATTATTATATGTAATCAAATGAGCACGAGGTCAGGTCTATGTGTTACCTATTTAAGATGTGCGACTGAATTGGCCTATTTATATAAGGCTTGCAGGTAAATGATTCGATAGGAAAATTTACCTCGAATATTTATAAAGTAGAGTGTATCAATTGTTCCTTATACATCGTGAGGCTTTTATTTTTTTTTTTTTTTTGGTTTGATCGTTGCTGATGAATGTAAATCTAGAAAAACACTTCCGACGCACCAAATTTATAAAGTGTTATTTTCATATTTTTTTATGATAATGTATTGGACAGATAGTTAATATCAATTTGAAATGTAAGTTAACAAAATATCGCCAGTATATGAATAGATTGGTACTTAAATTTATTAACTCATTTATTTGTATGTGTCTTATGCTTTTTTGATTCATCAAATTCGTTTATTTAAGGCCAGGAAAGCCGAGTATCCTGTTGAGCTAACGTGGACAGGCTGTGTTTCAAAAGAAGTCTTATATGTTAAGGTTACAATTTTAATCGAGTTAAATAGATGTCTGTAAAGACTTGTCATACATGCATATATCTGTACATTAATATACTATGCTTTATATTATAAATTTATTCAGGCATTCCTTGCATTATCTATTGGTGGAACTTTAGCGCATGGATATTTTTTTGCATTCCACATGCTGAATATAGTGAACAATAATCAGTTATTAAGTGGAGTAATCAAAGCTGTAACACAGAACGGTAAATTATGATTTAGTCGATATACCTTAATGCAAGGATTATATCAAGATAATCTTTCTGTTCGTATGTGGTTACTGAAACAATGATCAAAAAGTTTTCAATTAATTCGTATGTTTTTCGTGCATCTTTGAAAATTAATGATACTGAAGAAACTTTCTTGTACAAAGTTTGTCATTATAAAATGTCTTAATCAATCAATTTTCTTATATAACATTTTACTTTCAATATATATCATTATGGGGTAAATAACAGTTTGTTTCGTAATACAATACACAAAATGATAGCTCATTTTAGAATATATTTTCATTCTCTTGCAGGTAAATCACTGGTATGGGTGGCTATACTTGGCTTGGTTGTGTTTTATCTGTATGCAATCGTTAGTTTTGCCTTAATGAGAAGCATGTTTGATCCAGAGTCCTATCTATATTGTGCCACGTTGTGGCAATGTACTATTACAGTTATTAGATATGGTTTGATAGGGGAACTGTTTGAGGTGAGTCATAAAGTACAATCAATTAACATAGTATTGATTATAAATGAAACAAGAAAAATCATAGTCATAACAAATGATTAAATGAAAAGAACAATTTGAGAATTCATTTTACGAGACTATTAATTCTGTTAATGACTTAAATTCGTTCCCTCAGTACTTATTTACTGAAATTTAAAACAAAAGAAGAAGAATTTAATTGTCTCTTATCTCTCAGATTAGGGAAGTCAACATGTTGTCATCTTTTTTAAAATCAGTCCCAATAGTAAGATATTTAACAGTGTTTCAATAGTCAGCAATGATATTTATCAATAAGTTAGGATTTATTTTTATCATTTATTCCATTTTTGAAAATGTGTGCCTCCAAGGAAGACATTCTTTAAGTTACATTTGTTCAACTGAATACAACCTTTGTTTTCTAGGAAATGAAAGCTCATAAATCGGAAGCAACGTTTGCAAAGTTCGGTTGGGTTGTGCTGTATCATGTTTCCTTCTTCATCTTTATTACAACAATTGGTCTAAACATTATATTTGGTATCATTGTGGACACGTTCTCGGAACTCAGGGACCTAAAGGTAAAATGCGGCTATTTTATTAGTTTTTTATGCTGCGTGTACAGTATATACTCAACTGCATATAATATCAATATTTACAAAAACAAACAAATATTTCAAACTTGTAAATAAATATGTTATGAAGACTGTCATTTGAAAAAAAATTTTAGCTGCACAATTGTATTTACATTTTCATATCTCTCTAAAAAATGTATACGTATATTATAAAAACTTATGATGAAGACCTCAGCGTGCATGAACGACACGGCAATGTATGGTCGCATGATTGTGATGCTATTCATTTTGATAATTGAAATATCTATAATATTTGTTTCAGTGGACTTCAGAGGCGGACATGCGTGATACTTGTTTCATATGCAGCAGAAACAGTTATGACTTTGAGCACCATGGAAAGGTTTTCAGATTTTTTAAAAAATATTTTTGACTTTTATCACCACGGAGAGGCTTTCATATTTTCTTAAAATTATGGCTGATCGTGCATATGTTTATAGTTAGAATAGTGAAATTCAATTGCTAATTTAATATAATGTTGAGCGTATCTTTCTCAGCTTTTAACCCAAAGCTGCAGTTTGTTTTACTTTCTGATATTCTTGCGAACTTAGTTTCTAAAATTTCAATTTTAATTTTATCATTTTGCATAGTTATGAGATCATTTTACCTAAATAGATGAAGCGACAATAATATCGTGAGATTTTTCTTGGGTAAATTATCTGATAAGTTTAAAATTAAATAAATATACATCAATTTTCATATACAAATACCAAATACTAACATTCCTGGAATTTTTTTATGAAAGGATATTAAAATTAAATGTTATTATGTTTATGAAATCATGTTTTGTTCTTGAAAATTAAGATTACTTATTGTGCATTTTTTTCAGGGCTTTGAGCATCATGTAAGACATGAGCATAACATGTGGGCATATGTATTTTTCTTCATTCATTTGAATGGCACAAAAGTAAATGACTACACAGCACTGGAAATGTATGTTTACAAATTGGTAAGTATTTGTGGTCCTATGCAGGGTTCCAGCAGTTGCATATTATTTTAAAAGTTTTTATATTAATTCTGTTTAATATTATTGTGTAGCAAAAAGAGGGAGAAGATATCAAGGGGGGATTAAAAGCCATGTCAAAATAGGGTTCTAATTTAAGCAATCATTGTTAACATATTGATGAAATGTTAATTTTCAACATCAAATTTGAAAACAACTTGTTTTGTTATCGATATTCACATACAGTTTATCAGTTGTTTCGTATTCTTAAAAAATATAATGTTTCAAATGCTTTTTCTTGTTTTCTTTATCCTACAGTTGCTGAAAGAAAATTACGACTTCTTCCCGCTAGATCGAGCTCTATCACTGTCAGGAATGGGCAAGGATTCCACAGAAACAAAGATAGATGATCTCCTTTATCATGTCACATCAATAGTTGAAAGACAAAGAAGAGAGGTAATTCCTTTTTATGTCGGTAGTTTTTTTTATGATTTTGTTGCTATGAATAAAATAAAAATATGTGGTACGACTGCCAATGAGACAACTTTCCTCTAGAGACAAAATGGCGTAGAAGCAAGCAATTATAGGTCATGGTAAGGTGCTATTATTCAAATAAAATGATGAATTTATGTTCATATTATCTTTCCAGTATATTTATTTTTACACAGTACGATGTTTCAATTATTCTAGGAACTTGAAAAGAAACGCAGTGAAGAAAGGGTAAGACAAAAAGTGTGGGAGCAGAAACATCGACTTGGGTCTTTCAGAAGACGTGCAAAATTGCCAGCCCCAGCCGAACAAGATCCTCTAACAGGAATGATTTATCCTCAGTTACCAGGTGACGACCCCACTGCTCAACCAGCACCACCACAACAATATCTTAAACCCACATATCCTCAGTCAGGTGTTTTAAGTGGAAGAACTAGTCCTAGGAGGTACAGTGACGTAGGACTTGCAACGAGTATGCTGGGAAGAGATAAATCAGAATTGTTATCACCTTTGCCTGTTGCATCTAGGTTTGACAGGCGACCATCAATTGGAAGTCGAAGTGGAAGCCCAAGTAGGATGGAACATGATAGATTGAGAAGAAGAAGTCCATCTCGATATGATGATGATGATCCATATTTTGGCAGTGTCAGTCCGATCAGGTATGAAGACAGACTGAGAAGCCCATCGTGGTCTCGGCAGGGAAGTGATGGAGAAATAAGACCAATAACACCTAGTCCTTTAACCAGACGAGATACTATCACAAGTGGTATGCTCAGTCCAAGATGGCAGGAAAGCAGAACAACAAGTCCGAGAGGTGGTATTCAGTTCTTCCCTGAAACAGAAGCATTCCCACCACCTCCGCCTTCTTTCATGGATCGTCGAGGAAGCACAGATAGAAGAGCCAGCGATTTTAGACCAGAATCCGTAGAAGGGTTGTTTGACCTTCCAGAGTTCGATCATCCGAGTGATAGAGACAGGGATGCAGACAGCACACATAGTAGTGAATATAGAGGAGAATCTCGATACTGATATGTTCGTCCAAATGTTCAACTTTAATAGATGAATATATATATGTGTCTGAATGACTTATGGGATCATGTATGGACAATTTAATGCAATAATAATGATAAAAGTAACTACATACAACTTTGTTGTTTGGAGGATTGTAATGACTTAAGTTACAGCTATCTGAACTATTGCTTTCGCTGACTTGAAAGTGTTAAGATAAATTGACATAATATTCGCGTCTATAACGTTTTTTTTTTAACAAGCTATGGGACCTACATTGCGATTGGTATACATAAAAAGTCATTAATACCGATATTACCTTTACGAAATTGATTAGGATATACATGTTGTCATAGTAAAAAAAACTAATATTGGAGTTCTTTGTAGATATATAGATATCAAAATAAGGAGATTCGTCGCAATTGGGATAGAATACAATAATCATCTCGGTTACAAATTCTTTCATTTAAAATATGATCGTCAAAGCCAAAATGTGTGCATGGTCTTTTCTGCACAATGTATGCAGATGATTGTAACGGTAGAATATATGTTTAAGTACTGTCAACGTCACCATATTGCACAATTTTACTTGCATTTCATCTTTAGAGTATCAAAATATATTGATCAATATTCAAAACTAAAAGTCGATGAATTAAATGGTATTTTCCATTTCAATCTTTTGGCTTATTTTCATTGATCATATTACATACATTTCTATGACATCATTATTGCTTGAACATAATGTTTTTAATTAATGTAATGCTAGGAGCAAGCCTTATATTTTTTTTTTTTTTTTTTTGGAATTTGCTATTTTACTTTTCATTAGCATTTAAGGTTTGTTAATAGATGATTTTAATAATACTTATGTATAATTTTATAACATTTCGTAGGCAAGGAGTATACTATAGTACCTGTTCGTTGAAAATAATGTGTTATTAGTATCAACTTTTAAAGTGTTTCAAGAGAGCTAAACAATGCTAAAAAATGCGCACATACGTTTATCCATTATCGCGGTGGACTTTATGAATCAAAACTAACCAGAAAAAACACATGTTTTGTTTTCCTTATCATCAAAATGTACCATTTCACCTCAAGGAGACTATTTAAATGTATGTAACTAAGGTAGGAGTCCATTAACAACTCATTTCTATTTTTGTGAAAATCATATTTTGCTTTTTTTAAGCGTAAATCACGTGTATCATGTGAATTGTCAATACCACGTTATTCTTTTTTATATTGGATTGAATCGGAACTGAAATTGTAACATAAATGAGTGGTACCACGGCTTAAATAATTTAATTCAACTATACAGGATTTTTTTTCTTTTGTCTTGTGTATCAATAAACGTTTATGCTATTTCATGTTACTTTAATGTTTGGCCTGGTATTTACATTCCAGAAAGAAACTATATCTATGATGATTTTTTGGATTTTTAACAGTTGAATGTAATAGTCAACCAACTCATGACGGCAACCACATATCTGTTGACATGATAACTTCTACATACCCTTCCGGATAACATGAGATCATCCCCGGTTTTAGACGAGTTCGTGTTTCCCATTCGTTAGTTTTCTGTGTAGTGTTTTGTAAATTGTTGTTAGTCTTTTTGTCGTTTTTCTTTCTTTTCTTATCTTGCCATGGAAATACAAGTTTGTCCTCGACTAATGAGTTTGAATGTACCTTTGGTATCTTCCGCTCCTTTTTCGGTCATTCTCCTTCATAAACTTGGTAAGTTAATTCTGGATCTGTTTTATATCACCATAAGTGAGGGTCTGGGTGAGGTTTCCAGAATGGAGAATGATGGGCAAAAACAATGGCCAAAAATTAAAGACTAGAGTAAAATAATAATAAAGAAAAGAAAATAATGGGGTACATTTTGTACTAAAATATGAATGGAAAGAATGGAGAAATATGGCCTTAGAAATAAAAGAATACAGAAAAGAAAATGACACCCATTTGTACCCTCACACGTGGAACAAACTGGCATACAATTGTTTTAACTGAGTTTGTGAACCAACTTTAGATGATGTTATATTACTTCCCAAAAATAGTATGGTGACATTTAGAAATCTGTTTGTTATATATCCTGATTGAGAGTTGTCTTTCGGCGCTAATTTCAAGAAAAAGGACAAGATATGAAGTTGATCTATTGATCTATTTGTTGCTCTCTGAGTATCTTTATTTAAAGTTTCTATCTATCTATTACAGCTTTCAATATAATAGGCAATAATGATAAAAATTGTCATTAAAGGGCAATAACTTCAATAAGGAGTCGACTAACGATTTTGGTCATGTTGACTTATTTGTAGATTTTGTATTATTGATCATTTTTGCTTAGTATTGTTTCTATCTATCTATTATAGTTTTTAAGATATTAGGCAAAAACGCCAAAAAAAAATTGTTAAAAATTGTCATTGAAAAGCAATAGCTCTAATAAGGAGTCTTCTGGCGATTTTGGTCATGTTTGAATTATTTGTAGATCTTGTCTTGCTTATCAATTTTGCTTTTTAAAGTTTCTGTCTATCTATTATAATTTTCGAGATCATAGGGAAAAAAATGAAATGGTAAATTTTGTTTTTTAAGGGCAATAACTCCTGTAATTAAGAAGTCGTCTGACAGTTTTGACGCAAAAAGACAAAAGGTAGAGCTCAACATTTTGAACATTTTTGCGTCTGTCAGAAATTCTCTATTCATAGCGGTTTTTAAAATAATAGGCAAAACTTGCAAATTTACCCCTATGTTTTATTGTTAGTCATGTCGGCCATCTTGGTTGGCAGGCGGGGTCATCGGACACAGTTTAAAACTAGATACCCTAATGATGATTACGGCTAAGTTTGGTTAAATTTGGCCAAGTAGTTTCAGAAGATTTTTGTAAAAGTTAATAGACGACGACGAACGACGGACAAAAAGTGATTAGAAAATCTCACTTGGCCAGATGAGCTAAAAAGTATAATATGACTCCCGTGCTTACAAGACTTGTTTTTGAAATAACCTTCATCGGGAGGCTCGAGTCAAAGTCTCGGAAGACAGAATTAAAACGATGCAGTGCTCAAAATAACACAAAAGGATCTAAACAAAAAAAGCCAAAACAGCCTAAAGTCAACTTTGCCTTGAGGAGATGCACTTTTAGATTTACCACAATTACATATTATAATGAACTGATTTGAGTAATTGAATTATGACAATACCGAAGCACTGGCTACTTGAGATATGAGACATGTACTCGCTAAAAGATTATTATTAAGCGAATGGAAATGCTAGCTTCGTCAATTTATGAAATTTTGCATAAATGTTGATTCATATGAGAACAAGAACGTATTAACCTAGAATTTAATTAAAATTTTAAAGATATTAACTGTGTTATGAAGGAATTGAAATCGATGGACAATACTAAATCGAGATAAATCCAAAGCAACGTGTAAGACGCCCAAAACAATACTTTTAAGAACATTGAACGCCTAAATCTACTCCTTCGGGTGATATAGTATCCTATATAAACTGGGTGTTATCGGGTGGATATTGTTACCCTTAATCAGCTTATGTTACAATGATAATGCTCTAATCGCAATGGAAAAAAAGTTTTTTACAAGCGAACCAACTGCAAAAGGTAAGATATGGTGTGATGTAGGTATGCTGTTATTGAGGCAAGAAAAATCACCTTTTAATATATATAACCACATCGATTGTCAGAAAGTTTTACTCTGGTTAAAAAAATACATTGACGAATGGTAATTCACGGAACAGAATTCTTGGGTAGTAGGTAAACTGTTGTAGATCATAATATACATATACCGTATTTCAGTGATGTGTACCATGAAAGGATTAATGATAACAGACATGACAATTGAACAGTACAAAAGACCACACGAGCCACCAACACCCGACTACACAGAAAAATAAACGTTAAACACAGTTGTGTATTGAATATTGACGTCCAAGAAAAAATTCAAAACAATTCTTCTTAAAGTTAAAAGAAGGACAGAATAAAGAATTATAAAAAATCTCCTTATAAATCTCGTGAGATCTTATCATAACATTTATTTGAAATCGCCAGTATGATTTGTTAGTGACCGGCGTTGATTAAACCATCGATAGAGGGATCTTTAACTTGATCAGTTAGTAAATATATGTTACAGTGAATTTGTAAAATCAGTGATTTTGTTAAATCCCTGGAGTAATTAGTGATTTTGTTATAAATCCCTGAAATTGTCAGGGATTTTATAAAATCACTGAAAATATTGCTAGTGATTTTGTAAAATTCCTGGTTACAAGTTTTAACTTGATTTTAGAAAAGTGTTTTTCTTTATACAAATAAACCAATGATTAAAAAACCTTATCCATCACAAATGGGAGACAGTTTAAATGCGTGTCGAAAAGATATGAAATTGTCAATAGATACAGCTTCCGGACTCAAAACCAGGGAATCAGTGGGTTCAATAAGCTAATTTCTAGTATATGTCCTTGAAAAAATGCCATGTTTTGTAACAAGATTCTGTTGTACATGTCTTTAAGACATACATAATATTTGATATCTTCATCTGATGAATATCGTTTTTTTACGATTTTTTTTTCACATCTCCATATTGAAGAACTTCATACCTACATTTAACAAATATTTACTTTTAATTTGATTTGGATCTAAAGAGTGGAGAAAGTGTAGAAACTTATTTAACTGTTTCGGTACTTATACATCCCTCGGATTTCAAATGTTTGGCTTTGCGCGTTCCTGATGAAGGTAAATCCAGAAAAGCGCTTCGGACGCATGAAATTATTAAACGTGTTGTTTTCAATTTTTTACATCACTGGGTCGATACCTCTGCTGGTGGACTATCAGTCCCCGAGGGTATCATCAGCTAAGTAGTCAGTATTTCGGTACTGACATGATTTATAACAAACTTTTCTAAAATTGGCCGTTTATAAATTTTGAAATTATAAAGAAACTAAGGTTTCAACTCCCTCAGGCAAAGTTGACCTTAGATGGATTTGGCTATTTGTTTTAGGTATTTTTTTTCATATAGCTCTTCAACTGTTTCGGTACTTATACATCCCTCGGATTTCAAATGTTTGGCTTTGAGCGTTCCTGATGAAGGTAAATCCAGAAAAGCGCTTCGGACGCATGAAATTATTAAACGTGTTGTTTTCAATTATTTGAATTTTTATCACTTTGTGATAGAATACATCTACAAAACAGTATCTGAGATATGACCAAAGTAAGAAATGCAAGTCCAAGACAAAGTGTTTTTACCTATGCCTATCTGTTGTCTTCTTTTTTCCTATTTTTTTTTTGTGGATATAAATGACTTTGATAGGCTTCAAATTAATAGTACAACACTTATTTGCTTTTTATATATCATATTTCAAGTCACAATAAGATACTCTCGTCCTGATATGCATGTAATATTTGCCACTGGATCACATAGCCTAAACTAATCAATTTCTTACTCTTTCAATATGTGATTTTCTTCTCTCATAAGGGCAATCACTCCAATGTACTGTCTTTATATTTGATCCTAAAATTTGATATAATAGGTTAATACTTTTCAGTAATTATATACAGAAGCACAATATATTACACATTAATTTATAAATTTATAGTTTCGAACAAGGTAATAATAAGAGCTTGTTTTGTCTTCTTTCTGTGTCATTTTAGCAATAAGTTTTAAAATTTCTTCATCTTCTATTTATCCCGGTTCTATATGTTACATTTTTAATTCTTCCTCAATTACAATGTATTTGAAGTATTTTTTGTGCGTAAGTTTGCTCTTGATTTAAAGACATATGTGCCTGCCACATTTGTCTACAGTATGTTAGTGTTTGATGAAAATTGCTCACTTAGAATTAATATAAAAGGCCAAAATAACCTCAAACTTTTTGAGTGTAAATGCTGTAGACTTTTTTTTATAAAGACTTTTTAATCAAAAAGAATTACTTTTTTTACAAATTCACAGAATTTTTATTTTTTTTACAAATTCACAGAATTTAATCAGGGAATCTGTAAAAAAAAATTAATTATTTCAGTGAGTTTGTAAAATCCCTAGTCAAAATCAGGGATTTTATAAGAATTTACAAATTCCTGATTTTACAAATTCACTGTAACATATATATAATACGTGTAGGCTAATCCCTTGCTCAGTGTTGAAAGATGTAAGAACTAGTACTTCCGCGAGTTTTAATACACAATGTGTATGCCTTAGCTCTATTTACGACGTTTCAATAGATAGGGTAAGAAATTCCGTCTAATGAAGGATTTATATATAAAAAAGAAGATGTGGTATGATTGCCAATGAGACAACTCTCCACAAGAGACCAAATGACACAGAAATTAACAACTATAGGTCACCGTACGGCCTTCAACAATGAGCAAAGCCCATAACGCACAGTCAGCTATAAAAGGCCCCGAAATGACAATGTAAAACAATTCAAACGAGAAAACTAAATATACCTCACTATACAAATCCTTGGTCTAATACTATTTTTACGAGAAACATTCATTTGTATTTACAAATAAAATGTTGATGACGACTCGGACTGAAACAATTTTGAAAGAATTCAAAAGTCGGTGGTAACTGTAAACCAGTAAAAGTATCTTTTTGGTTAATGCCATGTAACGCTTACTAAAGTTAGCTTCATAAGGACATATATATGCTTATATATAGCCAATGTGGTAATAGTACACATATAGGACATAAACAACATCGCCATCTTAAGAAGTTTGTTATGCCAAAATTGAAATCGTCTCTTTTCTCGTATATTTTTTTTTTTCGTCTTTTTATTTGTAACAATACAGTTATTCTAAAAATGTCCAATATTGTCTCTTGTAATCGCCAATATCAAGCTGGAATTGTTTTTGATGATTACACTCGGGACAATCAAACAAAGGCATGACCAAAATTGAAAACTGCGAAAAGACGGCAAATAATAGTATGATCAACACAAACCAAAATTTTATTTAATTGTTATAATTTCTAATTTCCCTTTCTGAAGTTTTTCCGTGAATGAAGTCATAACAGAAAAGAAAACTTGCTGAGATCGGCAATTCGAGTGCTGCCGTCCGTTACTTCCAATAAGAAGTCCGATAATTTGACCGTTATGTTATCTTGATATAACGAACAAAAATTATATTGTCAAGCATGATTCAACCATGTCTGTGTGTTTGCCGGAAGAAAAATGGTTATATCTTTTATGACTTTAGAAAAATCGGCTAGCTATTATTGCAAGAATGTATATAAATACATAAATACGGGAGGAGCTATGTGATCGAAATGACCATAAATGTAATAATGGTGTAGAGTATGTAGGAGAAGGTACCATCTGAATATGAAAAACTGTAGAGTTTTCAAGTATTAAACGAGAAAAAAATTTGAAGAGTGGTGCACAGTTAGAACCAATTGGCATCACCAGCAGTATATATTTTTTTCTCGAAAAAAACAAATGTGAAAGGAAGGCAGCTGAACGCAATTATCCATCTATAAGTCCTACTGACCAAAGAATGACACCAGGAATTAATATTTGGAACATAAAAAAGACGATAAATAAAAAAAAACATTTGACAACATGAAACGTCAAAACTGTCAGTTCTCGGTGGTATTTTCAATTGGATTCGACATAAGGCTAAGATGGTTTTACAGAAAAATCATACTTCAATCTTATAAGCAGACTTAAACATGACATTTAATAACCACTAAGTGTTATTTATTTATAAACTTTGCACAAAAACACATATCACATGATCACCAATTCAAGGTTACCTGGATGATATTATCCACACTTTACCTCAAAATGCGATATTCTCTCATTTTCCTTTTAATTGGCTTACGAATATCATTTGAAAGCTTTGGTGTGTATTGTTTTAAATAGTTTTAAAGAAAATAACAAAAAAATATATTTTTTTAAACATTGAAGTTCGCCTAAATGTATTACGACATTCGCATAAGGACGACAACTCTGTTCAGACCAGTCTACGACTGCAGACGAAACGCGGCCAATACAAAAATAACTTTTCTGAAAAAGCCAGGAAATCTCGTATTTCAATTGAAAATTAACAAAAATATGCATCAAACAACAAGATAACATATAACTGTTCTGCTGAAGAAGACCCTGCAAAGTATCCCTTTCATTTTACACTACAATCTTTCACAAGAACTTGAAGAAGACTCTCCAGATTTTGATTTATAAATATAAGACTTTAAAAGGAAGAAAAACAAGAAGTTCTTCATTTTCTACATGGACCAAGTATCAGAACTTGGGGATGCACTTCCTTGTACCAACAATAATGTTCCAATATTCCATGTTGAAGTGTGCCAGAAGCCAACAAGGTTTGCTTTTAATGACTGTTTAAAATGTTGCCCTTTGTTGGTAGAACAGTTGAGGACAAACTGTCAAACAGGGAACTATTCCCCAATTGAGTAAATTGAGTAATCATTTGATGTTGCATAAAACAAAATTTTCAGCCATCTTTTACTTTAGTGGTCCCTCTACTATAAGAATCCAGGTCGATTCGATCCCATTCACATTCACCCCTTTTTGCATTCGCACCCCACACGTTCACACCCTTTTGAAAGGTTTTGTTTTAAATAATTCTTTAATACTGTTTTAGTTAATGTAAAAAAAAAATAATAAGATTTTTATATTGCTTTAGAATAAAGTGACATACTAAAAACGTAAACAGGGTTTTGTTTTAAATAATATTTTTTGTGTTTTAGTTAATGTAAAATAAAAGTTATAAGTTTCTTATATTGTTTTAAAATAAAGGGACATACTTTAGTGTTTTGTGATTGAATTATTTTGATGAAATGATCCAGGATTTTTGAAAGGCGTGTAATTCCATATAACAGATTATATATCACTGAAGAAACCAAACGGCAATCAAACTCCTCACACTGACAAAAATTGCTTCAACATTAAAAAATTATTTTGATATAAAGTATACATTTGTACATCTAAAAAACATCTTATAATTTAGCCTGTATTTAAATATAGATAGGATGTGTGTGTAGGGGCGAACGTGTGTGGTGCAAACATGATATGGGAGCGAACAAACCCAATACCCTACTTTAGATGGGATTTATTTATGGTTAGGTAAGAGGATGATGTAGGGTAGGATTCGGTTTTAGGGATAGAGCCTGTGTTAGGTTTATGTATGGGTTACGGATAGTTTAGTATAGCTATATGGGTTGGGACCCTTGAAGTAAAAGAAGTTCGGTCTTCTTTCACTTAAGGGGTCCCTATACTTTATAGAGATGGGATTCAGTTATGGTTAGGTATGGGGACATCTAGGCCTAGGGTATGATTAGGTTTTAGGGTTTGGCCAAATTTTCTTATCTCAATTTTTTTTCTACTTTTTAACGGCACTAATTTATAGAAAATGGAACATTTTGGTCTAAAGAAACATATTTTTATTTTGGGTTTTAAAAATGTAGCCTTAAACATTGTCACTTTGTCAACATGGTCAAGGTTTTCATAGGCCTGTTTTTTTTTTCTTCAGTAAAATAGATTAGGGCTATTCAACTTTTTTGAAAATTTGCTGCATTATTCATGAACATCATGAATATGTGCCATATTTCAAGTATAAACTGTGTATTAAAAAAAAAAAATCTTTCCCATTTGTTGGGATAGTTACCTATTTGGGGAACAATGAGAAACTTTTCCCCATTTGGCTGGATAGATCCCGATTTGGGAAATCTTCCCCATTTGGCATGTTGTCCCCAACCTGTAGAATAGACCAATCTCAAGTTGTTTTTTATGAATGAGTTAGACCGGTTGACCTGAGGTCAATTGGCAAAACTGACATAATTGAACAATCGGTTCTTACTGTTACATAATAAATTAAGCATTTGGACATAGGAAATGAAAGGGAAAATGCATGTACATTGTATTTGAAAGTTGCCTATTAACGGAATAAATCTTATTGATATTCAGGAAACTACTACACTTGAACGATTGACGTCGTACAACAATTGCTTTTCTTGATGTAATCAGACATTTTCTCTTGTGACGAGAAAGACTGACTTCCTGTAAGGTGTAAAGGTGACAAAAAGCGGTATGGTTTAAGCTGGGCTTATGTATTGATATTTAGCTAGTTATCGTTAAACATTGGTAGGTCCATAGATTTACCCCAAAATACACAAAAACACAAGCAAAACAAAAGTCAAAATGACTTAAATAAAAACATTAAACATATCCTCTCAAGTGATAAAAAGGAATGTTTTTATTGTTTTTTATGAAATACAAAATGAACTAGCTACGGAAAACTATATAGTTTATAGTTTTCCTCATAGAAATTTTATTGGTGAATAGTTGTCATGGTTGTGTATCTGTTTCTTTTTGTTTTATTCAATCTTTAAAACTGCTACAATACTAGATATTTAGATACATGAAGTACATAATGTACATTGTAGTACAGTTGCCTTATCATTGGATTTGTACTAATATAATCAAACAAAAGTACCTACCAACATGTACAAAATGTACATTGTACCTACCCTATCTTTTTTTGAAAGTTTCTAGAACCACACACATTTTATGATTTATTCATTTTGCCTACATCTACAATGTATAAATACCATTAATTTTGAAGTTTAACCCTACCCCATATGCATTACCTTTCAAAGCAGGTGTTTTGGTCTTACATGTATGTCTTAGGTATGTTAATTTTTTGTTACATTTGTATTTGGAGAATTTTGTGATGTTGTAAGATCTAAGATGGTGTCTGTTTAATTTATTCACAACTATTTTAGACTGGATGATTTAACGCTTAACATATTGTATACATGGTATAGACCCTAGTACATTGTATATTGGCTGCTGTGGGTTGTTGTCTTGAAGTTTACTCCATGTCTCCTTTTATTCATATGTAATACATGTACTTGTACAATTAAATTGAGAATGGAATACATGTATCATCTTTATGTTTTGATTATAAATACAGCATTTGGCTTTTGGTTGTGATTTATTTTGCATTGTTGGATTGGTGAATCATTGACGTATACCGAACATCATAGTAAACAAACATATTCTTCGTGGTAAAAGGGGCAATTTTTACTTTCAAGTGTGTTTTTTTCAGCGCTGCTAGAAATAATATTGTTTGTGAGAAAGTACAGGCCTTGTTAAAAAGGCATAAAATGGCTTATGGAGATTTGTATATAATGGATTTTGATGACAGCTTCCTGCAAGAGCATGTTCAGTCAGTCTTTTTGTGTGATACAGATTTAGCAAATTCAGAGAAAAAGGTAATCTACAAATATAATTATGGGTAATACAGTGTAATAATTCATGTGAACTTGCATTTGTTTATCTTTCGATTTAAAGGCATGCAAGAACCAGAAATTTTGACCTGTTTTTATATTAAATAGATTACTTATATTTCATTCTCCAACACAAGTACATCTATGTAAAAATGAAAAATTTCCCCATATTATAGATGGGTCCCTCTTTTGAAAAAAGTTATGTGAACTAGTGTTGGCTGAGAGAGATCCTTATTGATTTTGTGCAACTAGTTCAAGGTCACAGCAGCAATTGATAGACTGAATTAATGGCAAAATTTTGTTTCATGATGATACATGTATCTTTCGAACCATATGTCCAACCTTCAAACTCAGCTTGTGAATGATCATTGGAATAAACAAGACACTAATTGTTTTTTGGGTCAGTACGTTAGTCAAGGTCACAGTAATAGTAGACTGAGATTTTGGGAAAAGTTTCATTTCCACACCAGATATTTTGAGCCGTAACATACATGACATATTATATATGATGTAAATACATAATATGCGATGAACCTTTATCTTTTAGTCATCTTTTGTAATTTGTATTTGTAATGAATATTTTAGCAAGCGATTAAAGGATGATGATAAGAGTGATGAGATGAAGATGTAATTTTAAAAGTTCTGTTTTCAGGAGGGATAAATATTTTTTTATTACTGTGGAATGAGGGATGAATTATTGAAAACTGAATAGCTGATTTCATTTAAATGGAGCCATAATTAAGAAAGTATTCAGGAATTGCGGTAAATAATTTTTTTAGGTTTACAAAATTTTAGAGCGTGCGAAACCAAAGAACAACAAATGTATGTTTCAATTTTCAGTGGTCTTTATAGTACAATGTTTGTGATATAAATTTGATTGATCTATAATATAGAAATCTATATATAATTTACAGGGAATAGATTTAACAGGGAACAATATTCAGATACATGTGTACCAGTTACAGGATGATGGACCTGGTACAGAGGAATTAGATGATGAAGATCTAGCCGCTGCTAACCATTGGTTGTTACCTTCTACAGACTTTCATGGGATGTGGGACAGTTTAGTATTTGATGATGATATTAAAGGAAATGTAATTATATTTTTGGGTTGATTTTTTGTTTGATTAGTATAAAGACTACTTTATTTTTTTGGTTTTGTGTTAAGACTTCCCTGTGAAGCATGGGTACAGTTTGTAGGTAAAATTGATTCACTTCTTCCTTAAATTGAATGCTGCTTTTTAGTATTTTTTTATAGTTTCTGTCAAGTTAAGTATGTACCCATATACAATGGGCATGTGCACAGAAAAAAAATTCTGCAGCATATAATAATATGCTTCGTTGGTCCGTGTGTCTGAAACAAATGGTGACTTGTGTACCCCTTGATTGTTTAAAATGAAAATGATATACAGGTGGAAGATATAGGGAAGGGGAATATGCCTATTTATTTTTTTTAAGAGTCAATAGGTCAAAGGTCAATGTTACTAAAAGAAAATGTTTCTGGGTGGTTGCTTGGGTTTCCCTTGCTTGATTGGAATGACTTATTCAGATGGAAGATACATATATAAGGAAGGAGAAGAAGCTTGGGGTCAATTGTTCAAAGTTCATGCCCTTCATTAGCGAATCAAGCAATTTGAAGAGCAAAATGTGAAAATATCTTGTTCCAACCACTACTTAGTCTCTAACTTCAAATCAGAATTGTAGTCAAACAAAGCAAAATAATATAAAGTAATTGAAAATTATGGCAAGACTTTAGATATTCTTTTGAAAGTTATGTGTATATAATGAATTGTATATGAAAAAGTAAATCTAGCTGCAGAAAAATATTCTGAATTATATTTCAGTTGTTGAACTATGCAGCAACTACTCTTTTATTCTCTGACAGAAAAGTAGATACAAATGTGATATCCTGGAACAAAGTAATATTGCTTCATGGTAAGGTTATATTAAAAAGAGAGGGAAATGACACAAGCTTTTAATGTAGCCTTCAAGTGACAAAAAATTCTGTTATTTATTTTTCTTTTCGGAAATTTTATTTGAGAATTACAAATTTTTCATTAAAAAAAAACAACCTTTAAGTGATTACAATAATTTTGGTACATGTATAAGATAAAAATATATTAGAATTTCTGATTTATGCATATTTACTTTTGACCATCCAATTTGTATATTTATTAAAAGGAAAATGGGGAAACATAATTATCTTGTTTTAATAATCTTTTATTAGACAAGGTCTCGCTGTGACTGAGAGATATATAACAGCAATTAAATCGCTCATCCATTGCCTTTGGTTTTGTCATGTGAGTGTAGTGATTTTGGGTCATGGACTCCCTTTTTCCATAACTTGTGCAGAAAGATGTTTTACAACAATAAAATATATTTGAACACTTTCGAAGTAATATCATCATCCTTCAAAAAAGTATTGAACAGTTTTTTTTTATGAGCTTATCTACTGGGCAGATAGAAATAGATTTTTGTACTGATTTTAGAGGACTGGATTGCTACGGGCAAATAAGACATAATGATATTTTCCTTTGGGAAAATATTTTTTGTTAATTTTGATTTTATGTCTGTGGCTACACTTACTTTTTGAGGGAATTAGGATAAATTAAGGACAAGAATAGGCATTGTCAAGCATTTAAACACATTCACTAGATGGTGTAAGTTGTAGTCCATGTTTTTATATAGAATGTAACAACATTGCCACATCTAGATTTATATTATTCCAACAGACTAAATGCTAGGATAATGATTCAGAACTTTGCACAAATGGTTGCAGCTTTTTTTAAAACTAATAAAATGAATTCTTTTAGCATTAAAGTAATTTGAATTTTCTCAAACAACCAATGACTTAATTAACAGATAAATGTGTTCTACTTTCAGGGCCTCCAGGAACTGGCAAGACCTCATTGTGTAAAGCATTAGCACAAAAATTAGTGATCAGACTATCTGATAGGTTTAAATATGGACAGCTGATAGAAATTAACAGTCATAGTCTGTTTTCTAAATGGTTCTCAGAGGTAACATTCTCCACATAAACATAGATATGAAGATTATGGTTATGTTTATAATCTGTTGTTTTAATAAGTGAAATTTTAGACAATTTAATTGAAACACGAAAATTGAAGTGATTAAAAAATGATTTTAGGGAAAACAAGTTTTTTTCCTCTCAGATGACGAATGTGTTGATGGCAAGGCATAGCAAATTACTTATCCACCATTGACAACACCTATAGCAATTTTTGTATTGGGCCATTTCAACAAGTACTTATATGAGAAACCATTTATTTTTGTTATACAGTTACTTAAGCATCATTAAACCTCAATATTGATTTATTGCTCACATTAGTTTTTTTAATACTGAAACTTCTAAAATATTTTTGAAGGACAAGTGGTCATTTATAAATTTGAACTTAAAGGGAAACTTCGCAAAAAAATGAAAAATTCATATTCTGTTCATTATGTATAAAAAAGCACAAATTCATAGATATTAAAGTTTTATTCTGCAAGTTAAGAGATCACCATCGATTTTAAATTTAGAGTAACAATTCTCCGCATGCGGCCATTTTGACATCCTCCCCGAATATTGACCACGATATATCTATAAACCACAAAGGACCAAAACAAGCAGTAACCTAACGTAGCCGTAATTGAGTGTCGATATCTTGTCAAGCGTACGGTTGTTTTATCCGACAAGGAAAGCATAAACAGTTTACCGGGTCACAAAAAAGATTATGATAGACATGGTTGTGCAACCTTTCCTAACTAACTTGATACGGAAAATGTAATTTTATATATATTATTTTTTAAATAACTAGTACTAATAGTATGGTCTGTCGTTTTGAAACTGTTTTGTTTACGAAGTATTTAAAACAAGAAATTGAAATTAGTTAAAAAGTCAAAGTTATAAATAAGTGTTCCGTGTAAAATTGTTTTTGAAAATCTAGTTTGTTCATAATTGTTTTATGTAATAAACTTTTTAAAATAAATTCGGACCTTCCCTTATCTGATCACCAGAATGGCTAAAGGGATTGTTCCCAGAGGTATTGTGAGGTGACACGTACAGGTATTCAAGCGATTTCCTGTCGGGCTTTAAAACTGTTATTACACGATTACATAAAACAAGTTCGTGCATCACTTCTTTTCTGGGGGTATTGATCAGTGTACACGGCCGATAACATGTAACTTCCATTTTGAATCTATCAGGTGTAATATACAACTTTGTATAGCGTATCCGATAGTGACATACAAGTCATTGCTAAACTCATACGCTTGTTTATAAATAACATTTTTGGTGTAAAGAATGATATTTATGAAAATTTAAATAATTAAAAAAAAATAAAATTTGATGAAATAAAAATCTATTTACACATTTTCCAAGGGTAAATTGGGGAAAATGTAAGTATATACTCGTTGTAAATAATTATGGACATTTTGAAACATACAAATATTGATTTAACAAAATGTGCGGCACTTATCGATCATTGGTTTATACGCCTAGATGGAAGGTTTAATACGGAACTATGGATAGTCGCAATATAGAACTAATATCATACAAGTATATTGAATATACGAGAGAAACATCCAGAACCAATCTGATTTAAATACAGGTCGATATCTAACTTGCTTTGGTTCATCGAAGCTATAGACATAGTAAAATCACAGATTTATATTTCAATAAGATTATTTCGAACAATTTAAGAAATTCGTCATCATCACATTTTCCTGGTCCGACATGCATGTTATATATATATGCCACTGGACGTGCACTAATGATCCCCAAAAGCCTATTTGAAGAAATAAAGAAACTTCACTCCGGATAGACTGATGGTAGTTGTATTAACGTCTGGTCAGCTAGAGGGTTGATTTATTTATTTAGTTAGCTTGTAGGGGATTTAACCACTCTTAATATTGCACTTATGCATTAGATATTAAATGACAGTACCGGTAATATAAGAGAAAATATAAATACGAAAAGTCGCATATCTGATAGAAAAGGACTCACCATGAACTATAGGATTGTACGTACGATTGTCATTCTAAATCGCATAACGGACAGTCATTTAAATGCATGCATGTACGCTGTGATAAAAAGGGGTGTCGCAGTTGCAAAGCATTCATCATAAATCTATTTCAAGTTTATTATTTCCTGTTATTTTTATAAGTTAACGCAGAGACATGTATACACTAGATCTCTATTTAACGACAAGCAACTATATAAATATCTGAATTTGATGTGACTTACCGTTCATCTCTTTCTTTTTTCTCATTTTATTTTTATTTTTGCAGGAATATACACATTGTAAGATATACTGTTCTTCGATTTGGGTGGGGGGGCATTTCCGGGTATAACAGAGCTACTTGAATATTACCTGAATGTGGTTAGGTGACGTCCCATGAGGTCTTACGTATACATGTTCATATTTATAATGGTTTCTGATATAACAATTAGGTTTTATAACATTCACACTTTTGCATGTTCTGTATACCAAATTCGTATCTTTTTTTCAGACCGAATGAGGATGTGAATATTTTCCAGGATCAAATTCATTTCGGGATTTTTTTTATTTCTTTGTATTAAATCTCAGAAATTTACAGAATATACTGCTTGTCCGCTTTAGGAGTTTTTTGTCAGTTTAAACAGACGTATATATGTCTCTGGTTTAGAGTGGGTTTATGAATGAATGATAAGTCTTACAAAGGTACAAGATATCAAGCACATTGAAAATTGATTTCAACGTTCTGTCTTCATTTAAAAAAGGAAAGTTGACGTTAGATTGATTCTGTTCATTTTTTTAAACATCGTTGGTCAAATAGCTTAAGAATTATATAAATACGTTGTGAGATTTATAATATTTTAATAAGGGCATTCCTGATTAGGTAAATGAAGATCGCTTTGGACGACAAAACTATATTTTTGTAACTGATAATTTTCTCTGCACATTTAAATATTCAAGGTTACCGATGATAATTTAAAATAGTACTGTTTTGATTTATACGCTCGTTTTCGTGGGCCATTTATAATATTTATATAATTATTTTATTAAAAGTGATTCAGAATTTTGATGTTACAACAAAATACTCACCTATTTATTTAAAAACTGAGCAAATGCAAAATGTTAAAAATATATATATTTATAAAGGCGATTAAGGTATTTTGCCACCATATTCCTCCCTTAATAATTAAAAAAAATCTGTCTCATACCTGCAACGGTGAACCCTTGAGGACAAACACCACTCTAGTGAAGATCAAAGGATTAAAATTACATAATGCTAATCTTTTAATTACCGTGAATTTAACCACGCCTTTACCAGGTGGTGTCAGCATAATACACATGCATTGTATTTACACAGTACTAGACTGAAGTAAGGATTTGTTTAGTAAGACAAATCCTCGACTGAAGTAATAGGGGAGAATACAAACGTGAATTTCTATTATACTATCAGTTATATATGTTGTTCAAAATATCCGTCGAAAAAAAATCATAAAAAAATTCTATTGTATGTTTGCTTTTATTACTATAATCATATCAGAAATCCTTAAAATATAAATCGTAAATTTTAATTTAAAAAAATGCACGGCTGATCACTTTTCTTTCTGAATTGTTAGTTGGTTAATAGATACACCAAAAGTCGTTGATGCGCTTTAAATCGCGTTATTAGATGATTAACGAACAAGACTTTAAATGAGATTAATCCACTCCCGGCATGCAAAAAGACTTAAACTACGTCACATAAGTCAGGAAGTTTGAATAAATAGAATTAATAATTCCCAATTTTCTTCTTTATTAGTTTTCATATCCAGATAAAACTTGGTGAATATGTTTTTAATGGTATTATGAACATAATAAGATGATAAGTAAAAAATCGCGAATTTTCCCTTTAATAAGAACTGAAAAAATCAAGTAAATTTGAGCAATTACTTGTAAATTGACTGTTTATGACAACTTCATTCATCTTTCTTTTTCTTCAAATGTCTGCAGCAAGAAATGTCTTGAAATCTTGTGTTAGAAGATAAAAACTACCATTAAATTAAACAGATTGAAAATTTTAGTAAAATAGGGCCCAGCTGTTCAGTTTCACAGAACCAAAACTCAAGAACATTTAATTGTTAGATGTATGATTAATGGCCTTATTTTCTTTTTTATAGATTTTAAAGTTTTGTATTATTTGAATTGATGTTCTGTTTTGTTAATTTGTTTTCAGAGCGGTAAATTGGTGATGAAGATGTTTATGAAAATTCAGGAGCTTATTGATGACCAGGAGTCTTTAGTTTGTGTTCTTATTGATGAGGTAATAACAAAGTTACATTATGAGCAATATAATTTGCATGAATACAAATTTTGTTCTCTTCCACAGGTACATATATCACAAAATGTTAATTGTTTAAAAAGAAATCTAAATAATTGTATCACAATGGCAAGTAAATGTAAACCAATTAATTTTTGTGAGCAATTTATTTTCGCGACTTTCGCAAAAATTAGAAACCTGGATCTTTCCTTGTCTAACTACATCAAGTAAATTTGAAAATCAGGAAATTAAATTGCCGCGAATTTGGATAGAAAAGGCTAAACGCGAAATAAAGTATCTGCGAAAATAAGTTGGTTTACAGTATATTGTGAGGTATACTTGTTTAGTCATGCTCTGCTGAGTTGAAGTAATTATGGTACATCTCTGATCAGATAATCTTTAGAGGACCTAGAAAGGGATATTTTGCTGTTGAATTTGAATATTACATTTTTGTTCTATCAATTATGGGACATATCTGTCTATATGAATGCTCATGTTTTACAGGTAGAAAGCTTGACTTCAGCCAGAAAAAGTGCTCTATCCGGAAGTGAACCTTCAGATGCCATTAGAGTTGTAAATGCTTTACTGACTCAGATAGATCAAATAAAAAAGTAAGTCATTATAATCCTGCATTTCAGTCTATCCATTCTTTTGTTTCATATTTTTGTTACTTGCATCACCAATTGTTAAAGCAGGTCTAGTAGCCATGCTATTCTGTCTGTCATTCAATCATTTCGTCATTCTGTCAAAGTTTTCTTGTCTTCTATGAAGGGAATGATTAGATATTTGGTCTGCAGCTTGATAATGTAAAGTTGTAGTTTATAAGCATTTTTTGCATCTGCTGTGCAGCCACTTCCTGTTTGCCAATAGTATGAAATTTTACAAAACACATTGAACAAGGAACATTTAAGTGAAACTTTTCTTGGCACCTATGCAAATGAACGATTTAAAATTTGGTCTGCAGCTTGATATTGTTTGTTTGTAGGGTGAAAGCAATTTTTTCTACAAGAATAAGTATTTTGGTCATGAATTATATTCTGGACTACAATATTGGAGAGAGGCCATTGTTGAAGGTGCAAATGTATCATGGTGAAAGTGTCTTTCTTTAGAGCTTCGAGTATAGCTAATTGCACAGTTTGCTCATTCTAAATAGGAGTGTGTATTGGGGGATAAACTTATGATAGACCATTAACATATGGTTTGTTGTTATATTACCATACTACCGTAGATGGGTTTCTGCATCAAGCATAATGCAATCCTCATCCCATCAACCATGCTTCAGACCTATGAGTATTACGTTGCTCATATGTAAAGTTTTCTGTGGGGTTTTTTTTCTAATTTTGTTGCAAAGTAGTTGAAATTTATCTCAATTTCATGTGTTAAAGTTTTCTCTCTTTTTTCTCCACAGACACAACAATGTGATGATTTTAACGACTTCAAATGTAACTGGAGCAATAGATCTTGCTTTTGTTGACCGTGCAGATATTAAACAGTATATCGGACCTCCTTCACCTGGAGCCATTTATAAAATATATCTGTCATGTATATGTGAATTAATGAAGGTATGAAATATTATTGTAAACTGCATTTAATGCAGTTGATAGGCTTGTTTCCCTGCCATTTTTAACCACAAAAAAACATCATCATCAAATGTTCTGGCATATTTTCCAGTTACATTGGTCTTTTCGTCTACTAGATAGTGTTCACTTATAACAATTACATGTTATTATCATACTGTGATACCTGCAAGTTATTTATACAAGTATATATTAAGCACATTAAGTATAACCTCTTGCATATATATAAAATCACACAAATTCTAGATTAAGATAAATGTGTCATTGTGATTATGTTTTTTTTTTTCAGGCCAAAATAATAAGTCCTGCTCAACAAATGTTTGACCTGAGACAATTAGAAGTAATGAGATTCATGCAGAATGATGCAACTAAACTTAGTTTACAGCTCAGGGACATTTCTATGTAAGTTGTCCCCTTCTAACACAATCACCCAAGCCCTTGTTAAACATTTAAATATTTTCTTCTCAATTGAATGAAAGCAGATTCTCTGGAACCATATTAACACTAATAATCGATATTATTATGATTTTCTTTGATTTTGCATTGAGCTTTTTCAACTCAAGCTACTTGACTAAGTTTGGTTTTTCTCATTTGAGTAGAATGAGAACGTTATGCATCAAAAGCTAACGTCATTGACGTTGCCTAGAAAATTAGCGATAAACAGATTATTGTTGAAGGACATACAGTGACCTGTAGTTGTTAATTTCTGTGTCATTTGGTCACTTGTGGAGAGTTGTCTCATTGGCTATCATACCACATCTTCTTATTTTTATATCTATGGTCTTCCAATTTAAGGAAGTTTTTCAGCTACATCTCATTGGATAAGATTGAAGCCGAAAAACTCCCTTTTCAGAACCATATGTAATCTATAATAAGAAGTAGCTTAATTATACTGTAGTCAACATATCATATGCTGTTTCTGATTTTTACTGAAGAGTTCTGAAGTTTATTGAAGTCTTATAGTCTATCTATTTGAGTGTTTTTCATGCATTAAATTTCAGTTTTCTTATTTGCTAGGTGGACCATGAATTCTTAATTTGTGCGCTCAAAATGATCGTTTAGATATATTAAAACATTTTTGCTTATTATTTTGAAAACTATAACAGATTGAAGGAAATGGTAAACAGCTGAAACGATCATGAAGGCAAGATTTTAAGTAATAAGTTATACTACAGAAAGTCTCAATTGACTGCTCATTGGAGTATAATGACTTTTATGAACTTATGTTTAAATATTATTTTGAAAAAAAGTAATGAAAAGAGAGAAACTGTAAAAAGTGAAAGTGATTTAAAAACAAATTGAGATCAGATTTCTACAAATTATTGACAACTCACATTTTACAATTTTTTTCAGAAAAAGTCACAGTTTAAGTGGAAGAACACTTAGAAAACTACCATTTATTGCCCATGCAATGTTTGTACAAGTAAGTAACACAGAAAAATCGTAATACAGTAAAACCTAGATAAGTGGAAGAAAGCTTAGAAAACTATTATTTGTTGATCATACAATGCTTGTACAATTTTGTAACACAGAAAAAGTGGTAATACATTTGAACTTAGATAGGTTGAAGTCAAAGACACTTGAGATCACTATTCAAATTATCTGAGACTCAAGTCATACAGGTCAAGATATTTTTCCATTTGAATCATGTTACTTGTGTTAATATTGTACTTTTTATTTAAGTCCTAGTATGTTTAAAATCAAAAACAAATGTTTCATATAATATTAATAATCAATCTGCATCAGTAATATTGCAAAATAAAGGAAAAGTTATGATAAGGCCACTATTTTGGCACTTTGAATTTCAAAAATAAAAAATTATTATAAAACAACCAAATAACATCGTTCAGATGTTCATAATACACTTGTATGTTGTATACCAGTATTTAGACTTTTGAATTTTGTCTTACAAATTTGAAATAGTGCTTCAAACTTCTTACATTTAGTGCAAACTGCAAAACCTTCATAAATAGCCTCATATTGAGATCTTGTCATTAGTTAGACATAGGCAACATCTTTACCCAAAAAGATAGTCAAATACGTAAATTTCTATATGTTTATGATGTCATAGTGACATCACAAGTGACATTTCTTCACAAAAGTGTCTAAATTATATTATCCTGTTTATTTATCAATGAAATAATCATAATTTTGAAAGGCTTGAATAAGTTTATTATTATTGCAATTTTAGAGGTCAAATAATGGTTCATATCATATCTTATCCTTTTATGTTTACAAAGATAGTTCAATGTAAATAAGGACAGTACTTGTAGAATGAAACAGATTGTTGGAGATCTTTGCATTCAGCTTTCCGTTTAGATGATAATTTTACCCTAAATATTTTTAAATCATTTATTCAGATACTTTTGATTATAGATATTTTTCATCTTTCTTTTTTTTATATTCCTCTCATGGGTCTTTGAACTCATTACATTATTATCCTGGGTAAAAGTGTTAACCAATGACAATATTCTGATTGTTGTACAATTGTACATGCAAATTGATTGACATAGTATTAATTACAGAAACTAATTTGAATCCACTATAAAAACATCAGCTTTCAGTATTTGACTTTGAACATTGATTTTAAACCTTAAAAATAAAAATTGTATTTTTTCTTCATCAGCGAGGATTACAAAATATGCTTGAGTAGACAAAGATTTGAATCAACCAGGTTCAGATTCATCAGAGTTAGAAATGTATTGAACAAACAGGACTTTTACTGGACTAACAAAATTCCTCAAATGATCTGAGTTGATCACAGTTAGGTTTCACTGTAAATAAAGTTATGCTGAGGAAGCGATTTTTTTATTATACCAAATTGTATCTAAATCACCAAGTCTATTTTGAATGGTCTTTCGGTTTTTCCAATTTAAGATTATGTCCAGCATTACACCTACCGTGAAAAATGGTTTTTAAAGCACAGTTATCCAGGATAACTGATAGCAATAGAGAAAGGAATTTCTCTTCAGTATTTTATGGAATCCAAAAAAAGTTATGGACCATGTAGGACTACAACGTGTATTTTTTACCCAAAACATTGTTTGATGTACATTTATTGGTAGTATGAACATGTCATGAGTCAAAACTTTGAATTCTGATGTAGATACCTTTTTTTTTAAATTTGTTTTATAAATTGTGTCAATGTTATACATGAGTGGATCGTTGATGATCCTTTTTAAATTTACAAATTTGTGATAAGAATGAATTTGATTTGCACACCATGCCATAATAATTCAATCAGCTGTCGAGAAATGCACCTTCGATTTTCTACCTCTTTTGCATGTCTTGACAATCTTAGTTTTTACAGAATCATGATTTCATATTTTATCTTTTGTAGTGTTCTTCTGTAACATTAGAAGACTTTATGAAAGCATTAGACAAGGCGGTTGAAAGACAGTTTCAAGAAAGAGCTGACTTATCAAGAGAATGATAACAGAAAATATTTATTGTAGACGTCTATTATTTTATAGTTATCCTATTAAAAATAAAATTTGCATATTTTTGAGATGAAATGTTATATAAACATCTGTTTAATCACAAGAACTTTTAAATATTATTTTGTTTCAACTGCAAAAAAAGTTCAAATCAAATTCCATAGACTTTTCTCTAGGGTCAGTTCTTCACATCAGGAAAACTATTTGTATTGTAAACTCTTCAATATTTGTAATACAATAGTCAGTTTTGAAATAAAGACTTTGGGAAAGAACTATACCAATCAAAGAGAAATCATAGCAAAATTGATGTCAAAGTTTCCAATACAATTTGTTCTATGAATAAAGTAAATGTGGCTATCAACATCAAGCTTTGTTGATAACGTTTTAGTGTTATAAGAGATAAGGATTCAGTTATTGAATTTTTGTTTACTGGTAACTTAACCAGTGTTAAGGATAGATTTATCATTATGAGAGAGAAGAGCTGAGAAAGAAAGAAAAATGACATAACCATATGTGATATTCTGTTCCATTATTTCTTGATTAAGTTATTATTGTATTTGTTGATTGATATTTGCACAATGGATGGATGATGACTTATATCCTTTGTGGTTCATCACAAATTATCTGCAGACACTCACATCAAAAGGAAAACTATTGACCATCTGAATGCACACTCTCCTATAAAGAAGGTACTAGCAGTTTGAAACCTTTAAAGATGGAGGTACGATAAATTACACTTAAATTTGCAAAATAGTCAAATTCTTCAATCCTTCATATTATTTTGATTTTTGTCTGCACTGTGTCCAAATACTTCTTTAAAGTTAAGTTTTTGTGATTATGTCAGTTTCTTAGATAGTATAAGCAATAGGTCAACTGTACTTTGTGTATCGAATAATTGTTGAAAAAATGTCTATCTGGCAGGGTTCATCTAGCCTTGCCATCATTTTTATGGTTCATTGGTGAACATAAGGATTTTGGTGGTTATGTCCATTTCTCTGATACTATAAGCAATGGGACGTCTATATTTATGAAATGATTGTAAGGTGAACACGTCCATCTGGCAATGTTCATCTGACCTTGACCTCATTTTAATGGATTATTGACAATTCTAAGTTCATGTGGTACCTGCAATAAAACCTTAATCTGGAATACTTTCAGCATATTGATTGATTGTTGGTGTTTACAGCCACCTTCAACACATTGGCTATATTGTGGTGGCCTGCTCTTGATAGTGGATGCAGCCCGATTGCCCAGAGAGATTTGATCAACTGACCTTCGGCAGAAAAACTAGCAATCGTAGTGAATTAAGATTAGAGTCTAACATATCTGCCAAGTGTGGGGCTCGACCTCATAACCTTAGTGCAAAACAGGCTAGTGATACAGTTGATGAACTACTTATAAATAAGAAGATGTGGTATGAGTGCCAATGAGACAACTATCCATCCAAGTCACCATGTGTAAAATGTAAACAATTATTAGTATGGCCTTCAACATGGAGCCTTGGCTCACACTGAACAGCATGCTATAAAGGGCCCCAAAAAGACTAGTGTAAAACAATAGACTACTTGGCCCCCTATTTTGAACATAAAATTCATTCATAATTAGTAAAGCAGGAAAGACTCCTGTATTGATAAACTAAAGGAATGATATAGTGTGACCATTTTAGCGATCGAATATCATTTATGATGTCATAAAGATGTCAAAATTGACATATTTGACCTAAATAGCCATTTTACGTATAGTTTTGGGGAAAATGAAATATGAGCAACAAACCTTACCCAAAAAAAGGTATAGAAATATACCGGTAGTACTCTTTAGTTAATTAAGTTGTAGTAATATTCTGGCTGTTATTACTAAAACAATATTGGTTAACTTTATGGGTCACCAATTTTTTGTAATTAAAACAATCTGCACAAAAGTGCTGCAGCCAAAATAATCATGTGTGGGCCAATTATATAACTTTAATCATAATCATTGCTCAAAATGTTCTACTTGTAAAAAATCATGCACTTATTTTTCGATGAATGTTTAATGTAGATGCCATTTATTCAATTAAAAGTATAAAAAAAAGCTTGTTTTGATTTTTTTGTATGAATAGAGTTCCAAAATTCTTGGTCTTCATCATTCTCTAATTTATGAAAAAGGTTTACTAGTGCACCAATTTTGATGTGATATTTTGTTCATATGAGGACCTGTTACCATCACTTTTGAATATATCTTGAATTAAATTTTCACTGAAGAAGAAACTTTATTGTCACATTTTGCTATAAAAATAGCAAATACAAAAGAGTACATGTCAGATTAACTTAAACACATCTCATTCTATCACATAATTCATGTGATCTTCTCTTTTTTCTAAATTATAATTTCATTGTTATTGAGGGATCGTTGTAGGCCTTACTTATTAACATCTATTTTGTAAAAGAGAGGCAAAAGATACCAAAGGGACATTCAAACTCATAAGTCGAAAATAAACTGACAACGCCATGGCTAAAAAAGAAAAAGACCAACAGACAAACAATAGTTCACAAAACACAACATAGAAAACTAAAGACTGAGCAACACGAACCCCACAAAAAACTGGGAGTGATCTCAGGTGCTCCGGAAGGGTAAGCAGATCCTACTCCACATGTGGCACCCATCGTGTTGCTCATGTTAGTTCAAACCCGGTAATAAGTCTAATTCTGTAGGTCACATTCGGGAAAAGGGGACGGGATTGTAGTTACAACATTAGGAACATATCTGCTATCATCTGTGAATCGGATATTCCGTAATGGTCAACCAACTCATGATGGCCTCCCTAAAATTTATGAAGGGATGATTTCAACTTCACCACTTGGAACTCTTGGTTTAATAGCTTCCCTGTGAGCAGCAACACTCTAATCAAGAAAATAATGATAGGAAATACAAGCCCTGGAGTATCGTATCAACTGGGAGATATATACTCCGTATGCAGGCGCTGCTGGAATGTTGCTACATAAAAATGGAAAGTTCACAATTGGGAAGCTGAAATCATCTCTTTTGTCATAAAGTTTTGTTTTCAACCGACCCTCATTGTCATTTTCTAGATGTAAGTCAAGATATGAGGCAGACTTAACTGTATCTGTTGTATCATTTATCTCAAGTTAATAAATCATGTGGACATGTAAAAATTCCAAAGATCTGTTAGATATGCAATCTTCAGTCCCTCTTCTCTTGCAGTGTGGTGTTAAACATTAGACTACTATGCCCTTTACAAAGGTACTAGTATTACTTATTCTAAACGTTAAGACAGATAAAAAAAATTATTCCAACTTTGTTTCATAAAAAAAGAATGACCAATGCAGATGCAAATATCGTTTATTAGGAAGGGACAACTCATACTTTGTAAAAAAAAATAAGTACACTGATTCAAACAAAAAGTTCTTTGGAACTCACGTCATCAAAATGCTTGATTTTTTTTTATTGACACTATATCTATTATGGTTTGAGGAAGTTTTTCAAATGATAACCACCATTCCTAATTAACCAAAAGTGATCCTCTCCTAATGACTTTTTCCTTTATTCTTTTGAGACATACTTTATACAGGAGCTTCAAGAAAAATGAAAAGAGGCTGACATTGACCTGTAATTTCCTTTATGTAAACAATGTCCTTTCGTTTAATTAATTCGAAGTTTGGTCTTAAAATTCCCTGAAATTATAAAGAAACTAACATTCGAAGTCCCTCAGGCAAAGTTGACTTTAGATGATTTGCCAATTATTGTTTTAGATCGGTCATATTGCTCCTACCATTTCTACTTGCATTCAAATTTGTAGACTTTCCCGATGAAGTTAATCCAGAAAAGCAATCCGGATGCAAGAAGTTTATTAGTGTTATTTTGATTTATTTGCACTGGGTCGATACCACTACTCGTGGCCTGTTAGTCCCCTGGGGTACCATCAACTCAATAGTCAGTGCTTCGGCACTGACATGATTTTAACAAATATCTTTAAATTCCCCTTTGATAAATTCAGTAATCATAAAGAAACCAGAGACATATAATACAATCACAATTGTATTATATGTCTCTGAAGAAACATCACAATTGTATTATATGTCTCTGACGAAAAATTACAATTGTATTATATGTCTCTGAAGAAACATTACAATTGTATTATATGTCTCTGAAGAAACATTACAATTGTATTATATGTCTCTGAAGAAACATTACAATTGTATTATATGTCTCTGAAGAAACATTACAATTGTATTATATGTCTCTGAAGAAACATCACAATTGTATTATATGTCTCTGAAGAAACATCACAATTGTATTATATGTCTCTGAAGAAACATTACAATTGTATTATATGTCTCTGAAGAAACTAAGGTTCCAATACCCTCAGGCAAAATTCACCTTAGATGAATTTGGTTATTCTTTAGATGTCCCCTTTTCTCACATAGCTCATAACGTTTCTATGTATTTATACATCACTTGATTTCCAATGTTAAGCTTGATTGTTCTTGATGAAGATCAATCCAGAAAAGCGCCTCGAAAGCACACAATTTAAAAAATGTTATTTTTATTTGATGAATATGGCGATCAAATCTATCCCTTTTAACCTGGAAAAAAAATATACAACAGACACATTTAAGTCTGCTTCATATCTTGACTTCCAACGATGAATAGTTCAGAATTGTTTTTTATGTGTGAACTTAATTCTCCCAGTTGATACGATATGACGAGGCTTGTATTTTCTTGATATATGGTTGTTGCTTACAAGGAAGCTATTTAACCAAGGGTTCCAAATGGTAAAGTCGAGGCCGTCCCTTCGAAAGTTTTACGGATACCATCATAATTGGGTTGGCAGTCTTGGAAAGTATGTGTCACAAATGACCACAGATAAATATTTATTATGCTCCTTTTGTCGTAGATCTTATCCTCGGTTGTAAAATCACAGCATGTGACTATAATCACCGATTGTTTTACTTGCAGTGAGTTACATGAATAATAGTTGAATAAGAATTGCTTTCCTTTCAGGATATTCCCTAATAATTTTTTAAAGAGTTTAGTGCTGCTTTGATAGTATTCAGTGATGTGTTTGTGCTATTTTATTTTTCAATGTCTGTCTTTTCTCTACTGGTAATTGTCTAGTGTATCCTTCTTCTCGGAAAATTGTTTTCATTCGGTCAAGTTTAAAGGTTAGAGAATGTACATGTACTTGTCTTATTTGGATTGGATGACGTCTCATAGGTATTGTAAAATGACTATCTTCGTTGTATATGACTCATCTATCTTTGTATGATTTATAAAGCACTACATGGAGGGAGTCACTAGTGGAGCAGAAACGGCTCACCCTTTTGGGGGACCTCAGTTCACCCCTGCATGGTTTTGGTAGAGTACTTTTTTCTCAATCTTAAATTATTTGTGTTGTGTTATCTTAACTGTTGTTTGTCCTTCATAGTATTTCTTTCTGTCCATGGTAGTGTGTGTGGAATTAATATCTTTGGATACTATTTCCTATAAAATGTTGGAAAACAGCTAACTCATAATTTCCCTGCCTTAATTACTT